TTACCAGGTTAATAAAAAACGACAAATTTAAGTTTATTATTCGTTAATAATGAAAATAAAGTAATAATAAGAATAAGTATAAGGCATTATTAAAGTTGTTAAGGGGTTTAATATTAATTTTATAATTAATAAAATTTAAGGCATTTTTTAAGTACGCTTAAAATAATTAATATATGGATATATATTAAATGCTTATAAAAGGGATTATCGACTTGTTAAATTATATAAAATCACGCTTTTTATAAAATAAAATAAGATATTATAAATTTTAAAACGATAAGTTATAATATAAATATAAGGGTTATTAATAAAGGTGTTTTTATTAAAGAAAGATAACCAGGACATTTTAAATAACTTATAATATAAGTAAGCACTTTTTTAAAGTAATTACGCTAAAACGGTTAAATTAATTTATATATTAACTTTATATAGCTTAAGATATAATTAATTATATTAAAAACTACTTTTTTTATATATATTATAAGTTATCTCGACTTTTAATATCCTTATAACTTATTATTATATATATATTTTTATAAATTTTAATTATTAATTTTATTAAGCCATTTTTAATAATATTATATAAAATATAACATATTTTAATTATTATATATTATTTTAGCCGATATAATTAAGCTATTTTAATTAAAAAAGCTATGTTAATAAACGCGTTAAAGGAATTTAATTTATAAGTTATAAATATAAGGATAAAATTTTTAACTTTTTATTTTAACTTTAAATTTACGTTTATGTTAATAAAAATAATAGTTAAGATAAAATCGATAAAAATTATAATAATTTATAAATTTTTAGGTTTATATATTAATGTAAGCTTTGTTAAAATATTTAACAAAATTTTTTAAGTTATGTTAAAAAAAACTATTAATTTATTATTAATAAAAATATCGATAAAATTTATAAATTAAATATCTTAACTAATAGGAGTAATAATAAATATAAACCGTTAATATATAAAAAATATTAGATTTTTATCGTATAAAATCCTTTATAAAAACTTGCCGGTTAAAACATTTAAGTAAAAATACCCTTTAAAAAACTTAAGCTTATTAATACGTTATTTACGAAGTGGTAAAACGGAATTTTTTCCGGTTAAAAATCGATTTAACGACTTAATAATAAACCATTTAATAAAATTTTAACATTATTAAAAAATAATCTTTTAATTAAAAAAGGAAAAATAACTAACATATAATTATATTTATTTTAATAAACTTAAACCATAAGTTTGTGCTTATGTATTTTTCCAGTCATATTAGCTTTTAATTAATTATAATAATTAAGTAAGCTAAAAAAATAAATATAGATTTATGGTTTAAGCTTATAATGTTAAATTTTCGTTAAAACACAATTAATTTAATTAATTAATTAATTAATTAATTAGATAAAAATATTTAATCACATTTATCTCATTTATTAATTATTAAACTTTTAATTAATTTAAACATAGGATTTAAAAACGTTTATAGGGTAGGTTATAAGCTATTTTACGATTAGGCTAGATTAGATTATTATTAACGCGGCGTTAACGTGATTGTAATAAATAATAATTAACACGCCTTAAAAGCTTTTTAAAAAAGCTTTTTAAATATCACGTTTTTTAAAGCTTTTTAAACGTTATAACTAAATAAAAAAAATCTTTAAGGTTAAATATTATAATAAAATAATAGCTAACTAAGTTTGGAATAATTTTGTTAAATTATTATAGCGTAGTTATTAATAAGCATAATAATCTTTAATATAATTTTAATTAAAATAGGTTAAAATAAATTAAAACGTCGCATTTTTAAAAGCTTTTTAAACGTCGTAACTAGATAAAAAAGGTTTTTAAGGTTAAATATTGCAATAAAATAATTGCCAGCTTAATTTAAAATCATTTCATCAAATTGTTATAGCATAATTGTTAGTAAGTATAATGATATTTTAACATATTTTGGTTGGATTAAGTGGCCGTGGCAAATATTATCGCAATTTATGGTCTTTGCTTAGATTAGAAATTAAAAAACATCATTTTTTTAGCCCCACATGTACATGTGCACAGGCTAAAAAAAGATGTGCCTATAGCACAAGCGGGCGCAGCCCGATTGTTTTTTGATTTTTAAGCTAAGCTCGTTAAGATAAAATTATATATATATTTTTTATATATTTTAAATAAAAAAAGATAACTTAATAATAATTTATTAAAAAAGTAAAACCTTAAAACTTTGGAAAAAATAAATAAAACCCTTTATTATAAAAATATAAATTAAATAATTTTTACATTAATTTTATAATTTAAACAAATTTATTATTAAAAAAATAACATATTATAAAAACCACTTTAAACATTTTTCCCTTTAAATAAGCTATCTTTAAACAAATAATAAACTAACCTTACTTTTATAATTATAATTGTAAAAAAAAAAATTAAAAAAGAAAAAAAATAAATAAATATTAAAAAAAAAAAAAACGCTTATATTTATATCTTTATATTTCCTTTATAATTTATCTCAGCGAGCTCAAACTAGAAATTAAAAAACAATCGGGCTGCGCCCGCCTGTGCCACAGGCACATCATTTTCTGGCCCGTGCTCATGTACATGTGGGGCCAAAAAAATGATGTTTTTTGATTTCTAGTCTGAGCAGAGACCGTAAATTGCGATAATATTTGCCACGAGAATTAAAATTTGTTAAATTTGTCAAAATACCATCATGCTCGTCAGCAACTATACCATAAAAACCTAATCAAATGATTTCAAATTAAGCTGGCAATTACTTCATTGCAATATCTAGCCCTAAAGACCTTTTCTATCCGGTCGCGACGTTTGGAAGGCTTTCAAAAAACGCGACGTTCCAACCCATTCCAACTAAAATTATGTGAAATATGTCAAAATATCATCATGCTCGCCAGCAACCACGCCACAACAACCGGACCAAATCGCTTCAAAATAAGTTGCCAATAGAGTTAATTGCAATATCTAGCCCTAAAGACCTTTCCCATTTGGTTGCGACGTTTGGAAGGCTTTGAAAAGCGCGACGTTTGGAAGGCTTTTTTGGAAGGCTTTCAAGGCGCGTCGATTGCTGTCCATTACAGTCGCGTGAGACGCCGCGTTAATAATAATCCGATCCGGCCTGGATATAACAGCTTGTAGCCTGCCTTGTAGATGTCTTTGGATCCTGCATTTGAATTAGTTAAGAGCTCAATAGTTGGATAGATGGGACAAACTTGATTGAATATTTTTATTCAATTAATTGATTGATTGATTGATTGAATTGGTGGTATTCTGACCAAAATTTGACATAATACGCTCAGACCACAAGTTTGTGTTCATCTTTTTAGCTTGCCTAATCGTTGTGATTGGCTGAAAGCCGATGTGGCTGGAAAGGTACATGAGCATAAACTTGTGGTCTGAGTTCACTGAGATAATTTATAATTACATTTTTATAATTTTTATTTTTTTTATAATTATATTTTTATAATTTTCCTTTATTTATTTTTTCCTTTATTAATAATTTCATTTATTTATATCTTTACCTTTTTTTTTTTTTTCTTTTATTATAATTTTCTTTATTATTATTTTATTTATTAAAGTTTCCTTTATTAATATTTCGTTTTTTTTTCTTTTAAAACTTTTATTACTTTTCTTTATTTTTTTCCTTTTTACTAAAAATTGCAAAATTTTCTTTAAAAATATTAAGCTTTATTATATAGTTTAAAAACTTTTTTTATTATATTATTATAACATTATACCTTAAAAAGCGGGCCGCTTGCTTAACTTATATCCCCTTTAATAAATATTATAATAAATATTATTTATTATAAATAAAATAAAAAAACATAAATAAAAGGCTTGTTTTATAAGGATTAATTTTAAACCTTTTCTCTCTTTTAATATATAATTTATTTAAAACTAATAGATCTTTTTTATAGGGTAGGTATGTACTATTAGTAGTACTTATAGCAACCTTAAAAAACCTTAATAACGTTAAAAGCAACAGCGAACATTGAATTATTTTAGTGGTGGTGGTTGCCTTTAAACCACCCGATAGTAACATTACATAGGTGGGACTTTTTTATATTTTGCTTTCTTATTTTGTACTACTAGTAGTAGTTAGGTACTACATGTAGGTACTTACATTAAGTTTGTTTCGTTTTAAAAACACATGCATTGCACACACTACATTAACTGCATTATGTATTAAAGAATCAAGACAAGTAATTGTATTCAACCCCCTTACATTTCAGTATTAATTAGGCTTCCGACACTGGAGGTTACAATCATTAATCATTAAATAACAACATCAAAGAAGGACAGAATTAGGTACATTGATGTAATACTGCTACATATGTATGTAGGTACTACTAGGTAGTAGGTTAGCACATTGTATTATGTAGTAAAAAGTACAAAGGATCCACCTTTAAAGCCATGTTCCCCATCTTTCCACCACAAATATCCATTAATACATCCTTCCTTCTAAGGGCCCCCCGTTCGCTCCTGTTCCCATCCCATCCCATCCACCATCCACCATCCATCATTGCCATTGTCCTCACCTTTGCGAATTACCTTGAACAAATCTTTTCTTACACCCTAATAGTCTTGGCGAACAAGCCATTGAGGCCTCCTCTCTATTCCGAGTTCCGTCCTCACACTCTTTAGTGTTTGTATGGAAAATCTCTTGCTTGGAAAATCCCAAGAAACCCCACATCTGACCGAGCTTGACTCTGCTCTCTCTTGTTCCCTACCAGTCTATCTCGATCGGCCCAAGCAGCCAAGTTGGTCTCAGTTCCTTAGTAGTTCCAGCTTTATTCTGCACCAATTAAAGCCCGATTTCTTGGCTAGTAGCCATGAGCCCAAGTTGAGGCTCAGGTTCAAGTCGAGAAACGAACGTCAGCAATAAAAAGGGTTTTCTTCAACACACAATGCTCTGTCTCCGACTACATCGAAGACGTCCGACTATTATTCCACGATAGCATCAATCCGGCGTTTATCGATTGCGGTTCTTAATTAGCTAAAAAAAAAAGAAGAAACACACTATACTCACTACAGTGACTACACTACTCTGCTCCACTCTAAAGTCTACAGCACACCTATATCTTGCAACAATACAACCATACTTCTTCGAACGTCATCTTAGACTTACTCAATACACACCTCGTTCCTAACATAGCTTAGTCGACGAGTGCTTTCCTTCGATTTCAACATCTATCTGTCGTACACGAAGAACGAATAATAGCACGCATTGGAGTAGCGCAATTGTGATTGTTACAGACGCTACGGCAATACCTCTAAAATGGCGGGAAGAAGACAGATGTCTCTTGAGGCGGCCCTCGAGGAGGAGCGAAGGGAGGTGGAGAATCTTGTGTCGATGCAAGCCGCCAGAAGAGCCCCCTCGGTCGGCCACCGATCTCCTTCGCCTTTCACAAACCCTCGATCGCCCGTCCGAAGCATGCTAGATATCGGTGGTGCACCTCGGAGCCCTGCCCCGCAAGCTCCAGTCCGCAGCATGCTAGATATTAGCACTCCTGTAGTCCAACACAGAAGCATGTTAGATATTGGCGGCCCTTCCGCTACTGCACCATCCAGTAGAAATACGTCGCCAACACTTTCTTTCAAGATTCCCGGCTCGGATAATTCAACTCGTAACAGGAGCATGTCGGATGCTGGCTTGAATCCTGTAGCTGAATTGAGTCTGCGATCGCCACCACCGGCACCAATGACCCCACCGATCTCAAGGAACACCGACCCGACGTCCTCCTACAAATTTCACGATATTCTACCGACCAATGTCGGACAAGCTATGCCAGGTAGACGTGGTCAAACGGCTGCCATGCGATCAAGTTCGATAGGTGAAGCGCTTCGCGGCCCCGACCTCTCTAATCTAGTACTTCCTGGCGAGCACGGCCGCTTTTCCAGGAAGAACAACAAGTCTAAGTCGCCCAGCAACCGATTCAGTATGCGGTCCAACTCTCCCTTCGGAGCCCCTCCAGGACGCAGTCAGGCGCAGGAGTCTATCATGTTGAATAACGGTCAGATGATGGATATGAACAATGCATATAGAAAGCTGTCGGATGCCAATCTACTTTACGGCGGTTCGAGCTTAGCATCGTTAGCCCGCAAGAGGCCAGACACCGATGGACCTGGCCGAATCGAAAAGGACAATCTAAGTCCATACGGAGAACTACTCCCAGACGAAAGTGACGATGATATAGTAAACTCTTCCGACGAGGAAATGCATAGGGGCAGGAAACTTACCACACGTGCCGAGTCGCAAGGGCAGGAGTCTCCGGACGGCGGGAATATAGCCAAAAGCTTAATGGCAGCGATTGAGGATGAACGTACGTATAAATTAACCTATGATGTGAAACTGCGAGTTTCGGCATAGCTAATAGAATATATAGGAAAACAAGTTAATGCCACTCGACCCCATCAGTATAGGTCACTTTTCGACGAACCGGAAATCATGGTCACGGGTCCGGGGGGAGAAAGATCAAAAACAAGGAATGGTAAGCCGGTTGTTCAGCCATCAACAAGTTTTGATCAGGAGCCCTTGTCCGGGACTCAAACGCCACTCGACCCCGATTTGGATGCCGATGTCGATGCTATCAGAGCCGCACAAAAGCTACAACTATCTTCTACTCCGATTCTTTCCACGCCTGAAGTCCATCGTTCTCTCCGCATTCTTTACCGCGGCGAGTTTAATAAGATACAGCGGGAAGCGGACGAAGAGCACCGGCGTCTCCGTAAATATCTTGTAGCAACGGATTTGAGCGATGAGTCCACGCATGCACTCGAATGGGCTATCGGGACCGTTCTACGCGATGGTGATACGCTCGTGGCGATGTACTGCATGGACGAAGAAGCCAGTGGTTCTGTTGACGCCAGTAACATGGTGCCAGATGAACACAAGGCTATGAAGGAGCAAGCTGTAGCGATCAATGCGATCTCTAAAGGAGGCTCGATCAAATCACCGTATCGTACCGCTAGTCCCGGTCCGTTTAAGATACAGGGGTCTTCGATGTCGCCACGCATTCGTGCACTTGATGCCAGCGGTAGTAATAATCCATCTCCGGCGCCTAGTGTCCGCGGGAGGAATAGATTACAAGAGGAGAGGGATCGAGCTGTGCAGGATATTACCGAAAGGGTGTCCAAGCTTCTCAGGAAGACACAGCTACAGGTGCGTGTGATTGTGGAGGTGATTCATTGCAAGAATCCCAAGCATCTTATCACTGAGGTAATTGATATACTGAATCCAACATTGGTGATATTGGGAAGCCGTGGCAGGAGTGCTTTGAAAGGGTAAGTCAAATCACATCCGTTTAGAAAAGGCACGCAAGAGACTAAACCAGAATCACAGAACACTCCTCGGATCCTTTTCCAACTACCTAGTAACGAAGAGCTCGGTTCCCGTCATGGTAGCACGCAAACGATTGCGCAAGAAGAGCAAATATCAGCCACCGCCGATGAAGCAAGTCAATAACTTGGCCAACCCATCAGCACGCAGTCTTGAGACAGCAAGAGTCGACTAGGCGTCGGGTGGAAGGGAGATGTCAGGACCGACAGCTTTAGGAATACCCGTTATCATGCCACAAAACTCAAGATCGGAACCAAAGCTACCAGCACTAAGACGTGGTCCTCGGTCGAGTTGGAGATTCAAATTAGTTTAGCCAAAAAGAAGCTGAATGGCAAGACTTGGTCTACAGGACGTATGAAGTGCCCAACTCGGAGTTTCGAGTAATGGTAGGAAGATGAAGAGGAGGAGAAGGGTATTCATGAGAGCTCTCTCATGAGATTACGAAGCTACAGTTTTGCTCAGAGCGGGTTGTCGGAATAGTTATTGTTGACAGCGGTTTTTTTTATAAAACCGAAAAACCAAAACATGAATCGATTACATTCTTTCTCGGGACGATGGCAAGAAAATTGTAGTGAAATAATACAGATGTACTACTAGTAGTTACATCTCTGATAAACTCATGCACCCTGAAGCTCTGTGGCGTTATTGTTACTCTTTGCCAGCTCATGTACCCTAATAACCCCAGATACATACATCAAGATGGTAATACTTTTAATGCCCAGCATCAATGGATCATTGATCAGACGTTCAGATGGTCAAGGTGGGGGCACCTAAGTTTCCATTACATCGTTTATGATGGTTGAAAATGACCGGGACTTCCCGGTCCAAGGTTAGTAGCCAATTGCGGGGTGATAAGATGTAGTAAGATGGAGACCACATCAACTGACAGTGCGATAAGAAACGGTGCTATGTATAATTCCAAGGGTTGAGAAAGGTTGATTGAACTTCACCTCAGTGCTAGGCAATCAATGGATCTGCGGGGTACATGATTGATGTACAACAACGAACTGGAATGCACATTCAATGTTGAACCTCACCCGGGGTACATAAGTTACTACATACATACATGCCTTCAGAGGTTAGCAGGTACTAGGTATATGTAACGTTGGTGTTTTTAGCTATGTAATCCAACAATAAACATGGAAAGTTCAAATGTTGTACACATTCACGAGTGCATTGCAAGTATAGTATGGGCATATTGAATCGAATGTTTATTGATATGTAGCTCGGGGTTATCATCCAATCTTGCAGCTGTAGTGTGTTTTGAGAGCGTGTTCAACAAGCTAGATATGTACATATATGTACATATATGTACATCCATATGGATACTACTGGGTACATAGTATTTAAGCAAGAGTCACGGTGGGTTTTGATTGGCGATGACGATGGACTTTGATTCGTTCCATGCAAGCACTTAGAGTCTCAGGACAACTCATCACTTAACATATTCTGATTGGACGATCAACCCTTGGTCCGTATTCCTACCAGCGCTAATTCGACCAGGGGGGTGGTAGGGATCCATGGATTAGAGAGGTGAATCCTCGAGAGGGCATAATTAATGAAGTTACTATGTATGTATTGACTCACCTAACTAAGGGAAACTAAAGATAAAAGACATCTGGAGCCATCGAGGTAAGACATGATCGAAGTGATCCCTCGTTACCTACGTAGATGGTTACCTGGTTACTTTGATATATATCTCATATATTGATACCTAGTACTTGTTTGCGCCCTCCCTTTTCCAGACATTCCAGAAACAGGCTATTATATGTTATTATAGAGCTTCAAAGGTATTGGCCCTTGCATTGGGTGAGACCAGAATCTAGCAAATCGATTGGCTTCCAGGGAGTCTGCTGCAACATCCCGAGGTGGGGGTACCAGAAGGGTACGAATCTAAGTGGAAGGAAGCACTCGGGGAAGTACTTGAAGTAGTGTACTTGGGTTCAAGTACTTCAAAGTTGGGGGGGAGCAGCGCCTGGCATTCTGTATCAAATGTGAGCGGCGGAAGGTCGAGACGGTGCAGTGTTTCCAGAGTTTCCCAGGGTTTCTCTTAGAGTTTCCCAGCCTCTCAATTTCGATCGCATCTTCCTCTTTCATCAACATCGCTTCAGTCCCCAGTCTCCAGTCTCCAATACCCCATATCATATGGTTATCACTTTACCATACCTATAGTACCCACCCGACTTCAAGGATCCAACGTTCCCAGTTAGTTAACAGCATTGCGCTTCGAAACCCGTGTTGGCGCAAACGAGGTTATCCACTCCCATCTAACCTGAATTCGTTACCCCGCCTTGACGACTTATCGCCTAGATATTTGGATGTTCACTTTGCGCAACTTCGAATTCTTTGCGACAACGTCTTTCGATAAGACATCAACAAGGTAGTAGCTATCTCTATAGCGTACTACTTATTATCAAACGAGTCGCTATCTTACATATCCGATAACTCTTTTGGAAACTCTATACTCGTATTTATCTGCATAGCAGTAGCCTACGAGATACAATACAGGGCCAGGTACCCCCCTCGACGATTGAAGTTGCCAAACCCTACACAGCAGTTACTCACTTAACATTATACTCTACATCCCATATCTTGGTCGTTTTCGCAAAATACTCGGTAACACATAACATCTGGGGTTGAGTAACTACCTTGTGTAGTCAGTCAATCGGTCAGTTAGTTAATCAGACATCAGACTCGAGACGGCCCCAGAGCTTAGCTAGCTCGGTCGTTTCCGATCTCGATGAAACCTCTGATATCTATCGAGACTCATAATCACGTATCACTATTTAGCATCACAATCGCGCCAAGCACATTTATCGTTGCACTCTTATTCACTTTCGCCTTTTTTTACGCTTACCTCCTTTCTACCGGACATATACCGTTGCGCAAGATCTTACCCACGCGCTTCCCTCGTTTCGTCTCAAAAGCGCCGCCAACTATCATACCCCGACGATCCGTAATCGAATCGCCACAGCGAAGAGCAATTGAGGGATCTCCGCGAAAAGCAATCGAAGGACCAAAGCGATTGAAGGCTCTACCCGCATTGCCTGCGCCGGAGTCAGAAACAGACTCCGCAAAATCTCTTGTCAGGCTAACTCAACAGTCTTCCAACCTCTCGTCTGCGCCAGCTACAACTTTGCGCTCAATATTTTCTTTCCGTGCCAGAGAAGCTCTTCCCAGCTCAAGCCCAATTCCTAGTACAAGCGTAGTTCGCTATCATAGTTCAACTACGCGATCAGATAAAGAGAATAATGACATCTCTGTTCTCCGAAGCCAGCCTAGACGACATAAACTTCGCAACCCCGATGTCGCCACCACCGAGACCGTTCGAGCTCCCCTCAACCCACTCGGGCTTTGGCTTCTCGGACGAGGACCCAGATCTCCACGACGAGAGCGACGACAACATGGACGAAGCGTCTAACGGTAACTACAGCCCGCCTGCCTGGCGAAGGCTTGAGAATGGCGATCGCTGGTACGGTAATTGGCGTGGAAGTAGGGATATTTTCGGTCCAAGGCGCACAAACACATTTAACAACAACAATAATAACCATATGGGCCACAGCAGCCACAGCAGTATCTTTAAGGACGATATCTTTGAGGCAGCTCGTAGGACCCGCCTACCTACCGGAAGTCTGAGCCCTGAAAAGGGGATTACGCCCGAGCCCGAGGCGCCTACCGAGGATGATACTCTCGTAAAGGTGAAAACCGAATCCACAACGGAGAAATACACAGCTCATATCGGTGATGATATGATAACTTCCATGTCACCTGACCCTACAAGGGACAATTGTAAGATTCTTATATTCGGTATGGGAAACATGAAATACTAACCTCAAGTCGCAGACATCCGGTTAGCTCTACGCGCCGATATTCAGCAACGAACAGAGCCAATTGAGGCTGCTATAAACTTTATACGAGACAGAATGGGTGTCATCACTAAATCATGGGGCAATATTATCGTTGCGATACTTGTCGCTGTCCTATCTATGAGTGCGGTTAGGTCGTTGTTTATACCAGCATCGCCACGACCCTCACCTGATCTGGTTAAGGTGGCTGGCATTGCGCGCTCCTTCGAACCGTTGATTTATTACTCGGAAAATGGCGTCTCACAAGTTGGTGATCTTCAGGCCACTGGGGTTGCCGTATGGGATTTAGGGGAAAGTGTGCGATTGAGTAATATGACGTCGGCGCCTATTATTGTTAAGTCTCTTGACGAACTCTCGGATAGTCTAAAAACCCTAGCCATTGAGCTTACGAAATTCTTCGCCAACGTTGACGGCGATATCGATGGCATCCTTATTGTGATGGACTGGGCGCGGCGCGAATTGACGCAAGTGCAAGCCGTTCCAAGCCCGCCCCTGGCTACAGCCATCGCCAACATTCACAACCTTCTCTGCGTTGTTGGCCTCTTCGAAAATCCGAATACAGGTATGCCAACACGCCTAGGTAATGTAGCAACGACCATGTTTGGTATGTCGAACCCCCAGCGTACTCGTTACACGCTTCAACGGACGTTTACGGAGTTTCTATCGGTTCTTGAGGAGGCGATCGAGACGGAGCTGCAGCACTCCCTCGCGCTCTTCAGCCTGTTTGAGGCCATCGATCGGCAATTCTTAAATCTAGCGCGTGTTGTGGTGCGTGAGTCATCGCAACAAGACGAACAACACGCTGATCTCCTATCATCACTCTGGACACGCATTCTAGGACCCAAAGCAAGTGAGGTGAAGAAATATGAACGTAACCACAGGTTACTCCAGAACGTGCGAGAGAAGACAGTGCGCAACAAGGGGATTCTGGTGGAGCACAACGGCAAACTGCTCAGCTTGAAAGCCAACCTCGAGAGTTTGAGGCGGAAGCTCGTTTCGCCATTGGTCAGGAGTGTCAACAGCAGCACTCTTACTCTCGAAGAGCAAATCAAAGGCCTCGAGGATGTGGGCGTGTATCTCGAAGGTGTGCGTGCCAGACAGAAGGGCAAGCTCATGGAGATGATTTACGGAAGTAACGCCAGGGCCAGCGTATCAGGAACTCCGAGGCTTATTGACGAGGACAGACGGTGGGCTTAATGGAGAATTTTGCTTCCCTATGAAGGCGCAAGAAGTTCTTTGACTTGGTTAGGGTCATTAGTCGGGCTTTGTTCCGAAAACCTACTACCTTGCATACCTCCTTGCATGCCTAAGGTGCCTAAGAGCTGGCTACACCCGCGGAAGTATTGGATGGATAGAAATGTTTTGCTTCGCATCGCCAAAGAATGCCCACCAGAGGCATTAATTAGGCTGATCGAAGTGAACAAAGGAGCGCCACACGGAAAGCATCTCATCTCGAAGGCGTATTTGCGTTTGATTGATTGAGTCCATACTTATGAATGGGCTACGGTGGGATCGGTCGGTATCGCCTCATTTTTTGGGTCCCGGTGTTAAAGCTGTTCGTGCAGGTATGTTGGCTGCATTTCTATTCCATCACACGTGTACACTACATGTAACTGCCTACCTATGTATGTATTGAGTAACACACCCCTAACTCGACTTTCACAGGATTCAACGCATAGGGTTGGCAAGATTCGAGGCAACGAGTTTTTAGTCTTTAGGGGGTTTTTCTTCTTCTCGGTGTTGGGAAGTGCATAGGATAGGTATTAGTTAGGTACAACTTTGTATGCCAGTTCACCATCTGACTAGTGTTTTGTTGGAAGCGTTCGGTATTGGTGGTATGGAGGTAACTATTCGGTTAGGGATCGGGTTTAGGGGTTGGGTTTGCGTCTTCGCTCCCTTGTGTTTTTTTTTTCTACATACTCCTTAGCGAAATACATATTTCTGACATTATTGTTATCGTGGATGATGCTATACCTGGGAGCGTATTGTGTTGTTGTACCGTATTGTATTGTACTGTATGTAATTACTTCGTACGCATTGTAAAAAGGTGAGCCCCTTACGGTCGTGGCGTTCGGGCAGATAAAATAGGAGTCGCGGTATACTTCCAAGGTTACTTTACTCTCAGCTACCTACATGTACGCAACTCGCTCCTTCGCATATGTATGCGGTCATGCGTTAGCCCGCACATCCATACATATCATATCCCCACCGCCTGGCACCTACATACATACCTACATCCTTAGCTGTAGCGATTACGTTCAATATTCTTATACTTTCTTTCTTTCTTTCAACTTCCCTTGGCTTTTCCTTCATTCCCCCATTCTTATGAGAATAGACGCCTGGGGCACCTTGGCACTGGAGAGCTAAGTATGTATTGTACAATACGTCTGGCCTAAACTCCGTCGATGATCAGAGGTTCCAAGGTTCTATGTAGGTAGGTACCTGACTAACCCGCACAACTGAGTAGGTAGGTAGGTAGGTAATTATGACTAACCTTAGCCTACTCTTTTCGCCCCGATTCGCAAGCTTGCGTTTGGAGGATATAAACGCCGATGCCTACTACTAAGTATATAACTACGGCCGTAGCGCGGGGAGGAGGAGGAGAGGAAAGTGGTATTGATTTGATATGTGCGGTGATAAGTGATGTCGTGCATAGCGTCGGCGATATGCCGGTTGTAGGCGTGGGTGCGTGCCGCCCCTGTCGGCTTGGTCTCAAGGCGCTTACTGATTGATGTTTGGTGATCGTGGCGTGGTGTGCTTTTCTGCTGATGGCTGGCTGGCTGCGGAGATGGACGGGAGTAGAGTAGAGTAGGTGGAGTGGAGAGTTATGGTGTTTTATATGGTGATATAGGTACCCAGGTATGTAAGTGGAAGCATAAGTGTGAGTGTGGGTAAGGAGGTAAATAGGTAGGTACCTAGGTAAGTAGGTATATATATAGATCTCTGGGTCGTAGATGAGCTGTGATTTTTTTTTTTGAACGGGTATAAACCTTGGGAAGAATTCTATCGCCGGCGAGTGGCTATAAGTTTCCACCGCGACTCTACAAATCTTCACAACTTACCGATGTTACCTACTAAACGAAAATAATAAAGAAATTATATCACCACGGGGCTTTTTTTCTCGTTTAACCCAATCTCCTACCCAGACAAGACAATCTCCGACCAACTCTCAATATACAAACTTAAGGGAGTAGGTACCTACCTACCTACCGACCTACTCACAACAAACAAACAAACAAACAAAAAACCATGACGACCCCCCAAACCAAAGGCACCATCCTCATAACCGGCGCCGGCGGCCTCGTCGGCGGCCAAATCATCCGCGAGGCCCTGGAGTCCGGGTTCAGCGTGCGCATCGCGGCGCGCAGCGCCTCCTCCGCCTCCCGCACCGCCTCCCGCTTCCCGTCGCACGCCAGCCGCCTCAGCACGGCCGTCGTCGCCGACATGACGACCGCCGCATCCTACGCGCCCGCCTTCGCGGACGGCGCCATCACGGCCGTGGTGCACGCCGCCTCGCCGTTCGTGCTCGCGCCCAGGGACAACGTCCAGGATCTGCTGGTCCCGGCGACGCGGGGCGCCACGGCGATCCTGGACGCCGTTCGCGCCTACGGCGGCGGCGCGGGGAAGGTGCGAAGCGTGGTGGCGACCAGCTCCTTCGCGGCCGTCGTCGATGTCGGCAGGGGCAGGCGCGAAGGGCACACGTACACGGAGGCGGACTGGAACCCGGCGACGTGGGAGGAGGCGGCGGCGGCGGCGGACGGCGTGGTGGCGTACTGCGCGAGCAAGGCGCTCGCGGAGCGGGGGATGTGGGCGTGGATGGACGACGCGCAGCGCAAAGGTGGTGGTGGTGCTGCGGTGGGCTTCGGCCTCACGACCATCTGCCCCCCCTGGGTCTTCGGCCCGTACGCGTGGGAGCTCTCGGACACGAAGGGGCTCAGCGAGTCTATTGGCTTGCTGGACAGAATCCTTGACGCGGAGGCGGTCCCGCCGTTCGACTTTGGCGGGTACGCGGACGCGAGGGAGGTTGCGGCTGCGCATGTGCGGGCGATTGAGAGGCCCGAGATGGCGGCGGGGAGGAGGTTCATTGTGGGGCAGGGGTTCAGGTACCAGGCTGCGGTGGATGCGGCGAGGGAGGCGCTGCCGGAGTTGAGGGGGAGGTTACCCGTGGGAACGCCGGGGGAGTGGGTCGATGCGTATGAGATTGATGGGGGGGCGGCGGAGAGGGTGCTGGGGGTGAGGTATGGGAGGTTGAGGGATACGGTGAGGGATACGTATGTGCAGTTGTTGAGGGCGAGGGAGTTGGAGGGGGGAGGAGAGGGGGTGAGGGGTTGAGGTTGTGGTTGGATGAGGTTAAAAAGGGGGGAGGGGATTCAGGGGGTTACCCAAAAAAAAAAAGCTAGTTCACCAATGGATCACTACCTAAGTTTCTCCTAGGAATTCTTCTTTTTGTATGCCATGATTCTATTGCATAGTACCTAACTATTCTAGGCATTGGCAGAAACTGTGTAAAGTCTACGACTAAAGCATTACCAGCGTAGGTAAGGTATATCGCGCTCTAGAAGCCAAAGCTATCCCCATCCACCGTGGCCCCAGGCTCCTTGGGATATTCCACGAGAAACCTGACCTTAGTTCTTAGGCGCCGAGCGGCCCCGTTGACAGCCGCACCATATCCTAACATTTTGCTCGCTCCTGGCCGACGTGAAGCAATTACTCGTTCCCTGGTTGCGGCAGTACCGCCTTCCCACGATCTCCATCCTGATCAACTGGTCACACCGGTTGCAGTAGCAGCGTTGTCTGATAAATGTACACATGATCTACTATGTGCGAAGACTCGATATACGCGTTGGAGTTGTTTTGTACCTAAGGTTGCTTTCGATAGGAGAGAGGTTGGATTGCTGCTGGTTAGGTATAGAGAGCTCTTCCTTGTCTGAGGGCGAGACAGTTACTTTGTGGTTGTACTGAACGCAAGCTTCCGGCGACGATTGTCTATAACCATACTTCTCTTATGTCTAAAACTCTCACATTTGCAAGAATGCCTTATACATTCAAAGGGATATTTTAGTGTTTGCTTCTACGAAGCTATCGTGATGGCCGTACTTGCCTTAGAGGGAATATCCTATCTATTTGCCATGACTGGATTCACTTGTATTCCAGTTTCCCAAGCATTGATGCCTCTCTCGAGTCCACACGTCATTAATCTATCAATATTGGCATATTTAGGCAAGCACAAGAACCGCAAAGAGGTTATAATGAATTTCAGTTTGCCCATCAGTTCGACGGTTCTTTCTCGGCGTGAAGTTTCTGGTATGACTAGCTTTATTCTCCTCACTACCTATATCACCCCTGAGTACCTAAGTAAGAGCATGCAATCACGCTCTGGATATCTCAAAGCTACTTGAAGCCTTGAGGCTTGCTCGAGAATTGGGGTGATTCGCCTAATAAGCACGATATTTCCCATGACCTAGGTAATACACAGTCACGGAATCTCATAGATTATACTTCTGGGGCTATGGCGAGTAAGAAATGGATAATGGAATGGACCTTTGTTCATCAAGGTCCTGTGAATAGGGGCAATCCAGTTGGATACCTGCTTATGCTGTACCTAGGTACATATCCAAGGTCTACGATATCTACCGTGACTCATGCTTCAAGAAACCTCAGGCATCAATATTTATTTCATCATTGATCATGCTATATGCCTACTCCGGTATCTAGAAAATCAAAACAAATCCCAATCCATTTTGTCACCTACAACCTACCATATTATCGCGTATTACGTATCACAGCTGCATAACGCATTACCAAAGCACGATGGATTCTCACGAACACCAAACCACATCTGAGACAAAAGAGAAAGGAATGAGCGGAGAATTTCCATTCGCACCCTATATGCTGCCTGAGGACTCGTATACAGGCCCGGAAGACAAGGGCCTCACTCTGTTCAACCAGAAATATGCTGTGCGTGTCGCATCTACCCCCCTCACCCCAGAAGAGCTAGAATTAGTTCGGGGCCACCTCGAAGACATTTTTCACGAAGAAGCATCCCTTGCGATGCGCTTGCACGACACGTTCCTGGAAGGTTGGGCGCGCAATCTCGGGATGGCACCGGCGCCTCAGCATCAAGACATTGACTCCATGAAATGGTTCCCTGACATTTGCGACTACGCGAATAAGCATACAGCTGTGTACTTCGTGAGCGGCCGTTCCACCCACGAAAACTTTGACCTCCGAGACTGGCTGGATCACCGCCACGGTTACCTGGACCACCGACTGGGCTGCTACATTTACCGCAAATGGCATGAGCTGCATGGTGGGCGACCCAACCTCCAGCGATGGCACTTCTTCGCCAAGTCGTTGCGCCTGCCCGAGAGTGAGGCCGCGAGCTGGACCATCCCCAGCCTCGTGGCTGCCCACCGCCGACTGTGCGATGCGACGGCGGCCCGTCTCGAGAGCGAGGTTGTGCATCTACGAATAAACTACCCTCCTTATTCTAGCTTCCCAGTACCAACTGAGACAACACGGACATGGAGGGAGCACGGCTTGTCTTTGCACTATTTGTTCCGCGCCGTGATTCTTCTGGCGGACGAGAACGTGTTGCCCGTGGAGTGTCCGGTACAGCCAAATCCAAATATCAGCGGCTTGCAACAGCTCCAGACAGTTGGTCCATGGCTGGAGCAGCTGATGCCCGAGTGTAGCGTGCTGCTGGTGCGGACTGGGGACGATGAACATCTAAGCCAGCCCGTTTCATTTGAGGGGCTGATTAAGGAAGGGAAGACAATCCCACTGGGTTTGGAAGAGAGCAAGCTGGCCAATGAATTCAGTGTTGTGCGGGTGAAGATCGACGTGGCGATGCGTTTCCTGTTTGACCTGCAGGCCCAAGAGGAGGCCGCGACTCCAAGGCTGCGAGAGGCATCAGCCATGCTCACGAAAGAGCGAGAAGCAGGTTGCCATGCTTGGGTAGAAAGCGTGCTGAAGCATGCCTCTATTAAGGAAGTCGGACTGGACGGTAATCAATTTACATGGGAGGCAGTGCGACGGATGTGGGCCAAACGAGATGGGGAGATGTTTGATTATTTCAAGCAGAACGAGACACGATTGAGGTCGATAAAATTATGGTTAGGGCAATTCTGAGTTCTATGGAAAGCATGGAAAGCATGAAAAGCATAATAATGGTATCATGATGGAACTAGGGAGGTTTATGTAAACTAAAGTTATAGAAGATGTCATGTCATGCCATGATATGCCATCGATCATGTCATCGATCATGTCATGTCCTCAAGAGAGTAGCATGCGCCTGCCCTAAGACTGTAACCTAGACTACCTAATAGTGAGACTTCCGCGTCAACACCATTATGGTCCAGGAAGGTCCAAAACTGTAAATTACCCTACTTAGGGTAGGTACCTATATATCTCGCATTGAACAGCTTTTCATTCCCCTTCTGAACTTCTCACTCACATTGTCCTTCTCGCAAACCATTGCCAACGGAGCCTACAACTACAGCACTATAATGGCAAGGAGATTTCAATACATATTGCCAGGACAGCCACGAGGAGGCGCCGGACTGACCTAGTGACATTGTCGGCGAAGGGGACACGGAAGAGTCGGCCGCAGCATATATAAAATATCTGCAGAGGCCGCCAGCTATGGAGCAGACAGCCTCTTTCGAGTTCCTTAAGCAGTGGAACTTTAATTCCAAATATCCAGAAAGGTGGAGGGTATGGCAACCTCCCGTGCGGCCCAGGGCTCTGTGCTACTTTCTTCGGTATAAGGCCAAGACTCCAAGAGCAGCCATGCCCAGTTTGAGGACTTCTGCCAGGTCAAACTACGCCCACTCGAAAAGCGAGGTTTAGCAGGTTGTATATCGCCGTTATATGCTGCATGAGTGTGTACACGATCTCAGAGCCCGACCCTCGATCGCCGAGTTGTCTCGATTACTTCAACTAAGCACTAAACCAGAAGTTAGATCGAGGAAAAAGGCCAGACCAGTTTATTCAGTGATGGGAGGTGTCGAGTCAACAACTCATTTTCCGGCGAACAGCGTCGGCTGGGTGCCTGAGCCAACAACTACTGATTCGACGGGTTCAACGCGTGTGCGGTCCATGGTGTCAAAATCAGAGTGATCGTTGATTGTGGCTCATTGATTGAGTTGATGAGCCCGTCCTTCGCGAGAAGAATGGGTCTCGTACTCTTGAAAATCAACGGTCCAGCGTTATACCTAACTGACCATTTTATTGCCTCCTAAACAAGGATCTTCAAACGGTCTACCTCCGCCTACACAAAGGATACAACCTGCCAGGCAAACCCCCCAGAAAATGATCCATCCAAAGAGTTGGTCCCCTCACAGTCACGCAGCGAGTGGGACCGCTCGCATACAAGCTGAATATACCAGCACATTGGAGAATCCAGAGCTCTCCTCTCCGCTTTAGAAGCACTAGTAAACGGTGTCAACATAGATATACTAAGACAAACATATCAAAAGGAAGCCAAAGAAGCAGCAGACTTCGCAGCAGCAGAAGCTAAGGCAAGATACGATACCTACCAAACACCGCCCCGTATCATTCAAAGTTGGCAAGACCGTCTATCTCCGATTACATAAAGGATAAAACCTACCCGGCAAGCCGTCTTTGTTCTAGCTACCCCTTCGGTGGACCCTTGCCATATTGTTCGGCGACACGGATTCGCAACTTTCAGCCGGTAGCCTGCGATGCTACCTGTGATGGACTGCACTTATAGGCGTAATGATGGATAGGAGGCTCGAAGGATGTGCTTAGATATGTTGGGATGTGCTGGGCTGTACTGGGATAGGAGAAATAACTGGGGCTGATGCCGCGCACATGGAGATAACAGAGGCCACCCCCACGACGCCGGGAGTTGCAAAAGTACTACAGCGAGATGCAACCGACACCATACCCGACAGCGCTCGCAAGTCGACGATTTCTGACCCAAGGACCGACGACCGAAAGGTCGGAACGGCCTCGGAGGAGGGTTTCGCAGCAAAGGAAGGCACTCTCTGTTTCAACTGCGGGAAGAGGGGTCACTGGGCAAAAGACTGCAAGCAGAGGAGAAGCTACCAGGACAGAAACACCAGTAGAAACACCAGAAACACCCCCGATCGAAGAGGGCGACCAAATCAGTCAAGCCAGGCAGGCCAACCGGTGACCTTCAAAGGAACATTATACCGGGAGGCCGTCCGCAGAATGAGCGGGATGAGGTCCAATGTGAAGCAGCTCTCCAAAAGGTCCTTTTTTGCAGGTAACACCGAAGACAGTGCACATGACGACAACACCGTCGAGCTATCGCCGGACTCGGGCGATGATTCGGACACTGTCGATCAACAGCTGTCACAGCTGTTCGACACACCCTCAGAAGAAGCGCGCGCTTCGGAAGGGAGGTGATATTTAATGTAAGTACTGTAGTTATCTAACTAATGATCGGTAACGTGCACCACGCGCTGGTAAAAGAAAATCAAAGAAAATTAATTCTGAGGCTACATCATCACGAAAGACCCTTAGGCATAGACTTAAGCAATCTTTTTGTTATGCACATGGCTTGTTTATCTGGATTATGGCGTTGCGGTGTGTAATGGCGGCGTACATTCTCTTTTGGTGTGACAGCAGAGCTGCGTTTGCGCCGTCGCTACCCCCATTGTTTTGTTGTCCTTGAACGACGGCAAAGTAAAGCTGGTTTGCTCCATTTTATACTGTCATGCTCCGTTGGGTTCTTTGGTAAGCTTCGTTAGGTGGAAGCTGGATGTGTTAGTTTATTAATTTGTGGTTGGTATAGGGGCGCTAAGAGTTCTAGCTTTGGAGCCCTCTACTACAGGTAGAGTTATCGCTAACTTCAATGTTGAGTGACTAGTGATCTGAGTTGCACTCTTTTTCATAAGACTCAACTCTTATGCTTTCTAGATGTTTTGATTTATGTAGGTACCTAGGTAGTCAGTTACCTCGTCAGTATTTCGAAAAGTAGGTGAGCAACCACTAGGTTAGGCAAACAGGTTATGTAAATATTTACAACTAAAAGTACTTGAAAAAAAGGAGAGGTATCCACTTTTAACCCCTGAGATGACAGTTCAACTCGCTAAAGACTCGGGAGTTGAGCTGCCAAGTCATGCCAACTAATATAATATTACTGAGTACGTATTAACATAGTAAGTTGTGCAACTTACTATATCTAATAAGATATTTCAAGAGAACGGGAATTCTAGGTAGGTAACTGATCGATTCACGAACAATCTTTCCGACCCTACACTATGTATTATAACTACACTAGTAGTTTGCATGATTCCTCACACACACTTCATTCGTTGGCACCTGTGGAAATTTGAGGCTGAGCGGAATGTGGGTCGCCAATACGAGTTCAGGGGCGTATACAGCGGTATACAGCGGCGTAGTGCCGGCATATCCACTGGACAGTGACTAGCACATCGACGTTGTGGAGTGATCGTCTATTCCTGGAGCGGACAGACGAATGGGAATCATGAATTCCTTCCCTGTCCGCCCAGGTGTTGGCAGATGCATGCAAGTTGATGTGATGCGGATTTTCGATCCCTTAACCGAATCTGAATCTTTTTTATAGAAACCGCTGATCCTTTTCCTTTCTTCTTTTTTTTTTTTCTCTTCCTTCACCATCACAACACAAACCCCTCCCTTCATTCGCTCGGCATCATAAAAACCTCATCGCTGCATGTTATTGTAGCTATCACTCGCTCATTCTGTCATTCGCTCTAGTTGTCCCTAATACGATAATACACATAAGGTACCGAAAAAACGATGCGTTTCTCGTCGTCGGTCCTCGGCCTCGCGGCCACCGCCAGCACTGCCATGGCTGCCGGTGCCGCCAACTCCGGAATCAAGGGCTTCAACTACGGAGCTTTCTTCCTCAACCAAGCTGCCAAGCAACAGGCTGACTTCACCTACGAATTCAACAAAGCCAAGAACCTTCCGGGTACCAACGGATGGACGAGTGCTCGTCTGTACTCGATGAGTAAGCTTTTATGCTAATTTTTTTTCTTCTGAGCTTGAGGTTACAGGGTTGTAGCTAATTTTCTTGCACAGTCCAATGGGGAACCGCCAGCGATGTCATCAGCGCCATCCCAGCAGCCATCGAAACCCAGACCACCTTACTCTTGGGCTTATGGGTGTCGGGCAGCGACCAAGCCATCACCAACGAGATCGCGGCTCTTAAGGCGGCCATCAGCCAGTACGGATCGGCGTTCACGGACCTCGTGGTGGGCATCTCCGTCGGCAGCGAGGACCTCTACCGCGACGCCAACAACGAGGTGGGCCTGCCGGCGGCGAAACTCATCGACTGCATCAACCAGGTGCGCAGCGCCGTCGCGGGCACGCCGCTCGCCGACAGCCCGATCGGCCACGTCGACACGTACGACTCCTTCCTCAACGACACGAACCGCGCCGTCATCGACAACATCTCCTGGCTCGGCTTCGACGGGTACCCCTACTGGGAGCAGACGAAGGCGAACAGCATCGGGGACGCGCACGCGCGCTTCCACGACGGCCTCGACAAGACCATCGCCCTCGCCGGGGACAAGCCCGTCTGGGTGACCGAGACCGGGTGGCCGATCGCGGGCAAGACCGTCAACCAGGCGGTGCCGAGCCCCGAGAACGCGCGCAAGTACTGGCAGGACATCGCGTGCGGCCTCGTCGCCCAGGGCGTCAACCTCTGGTGGTACGACCTCCAGGAGTCCCAGTGGGGCCAGGCCGACCCGGACTTCGGCATCTTCCCCGCCGGCGATCTCGGCTCCCTCGCGCCGAGCTACGACCTCTCCTGCGTAAGTAGCCATTGCACCGTCTGCGTAGTCCCCATCACACGTTCACATTCTAACCACAATTAATCTGCGACAGTAAACAAATAAATCTTCTTTTTTTTTTCGGGGGGAACTTAACTTACGTTACCCACGAGTGCGCTGTGCTGTGCTGTGCTGTGCAATGAAAGGAAGGATACGATGCAAACTAGGTAAATATGGTCATTTAACGTTATAGATGTTGGATTTCGCCTCCTGCCCCCGTATAAAATCTCAAGAAGAAAAAGCGTTCTGGTGAATGGTACATACATACGTATGATACATACCTGGTATTTTGGTTATGAAATAAAAACAAAAGCTTTTGGACATGTACACATACAATTAGAGGTTAGACAGGTTATTTATTACCTACCATGCATATATATCATGTAGTTATTGGGATATATATGGATACGTACCTACCTACAGTATGTAGGTTAGACTGTTTAGCTGGAGCCGCAAGTGCCGTCGACGTTAGATATATTTATATATAGATTACTTGCCTGGAAGTTGAAGTTGCTGAAGTGCGTGGGATATTTAACTGGCTGGTGCAAGTTGTACTTGTACCTACCTATAGGTGTGCGCAGTAAAATACATACCTACATCGAGTGCCGTTGAAATAAGAAACAGCTGGTGACATCGTAACATTTAGTTAGTGCTGGATCCTCCCGTCCTGGTAACTAACCATAAATAAATAAATACATTGAGCGAACCCTTGGTGACCAGGATCAATCGTGGTAAGGTCAATACCCTCGTATTAGGATTTATTTACTTCACAGCGTGCACAGCAAATAATATTTACATATGTACGCCATTCAATGTTGCTATCCATTATAACTATAAGTTTTCGCTGTAACTATATAGTATAATGGGTGCTTGAGTACAATACCTACCTAAGTTTAGTAGGCACCTAGGTAGGTACCCAAATAGGGGTTCATTTTTATCGTCGATTGGAAGAGTGCAGGCGTTTTCCGACTTTCGTTCTTTAGTATTAAGTTGTTGTCGGAAACCCCCATGAGAAAACCTATGAATCTCAAGGTGCCCCTATTGCTTGCTGGTGGTTCTAGTGCCCCCACACAGCTCGTTAGGTCATCTTCACTTCAATACCTATCGCTCTAAATCATCAACTTAATCGAGCCTAAAAGGGCCAATTAATCATTGGGTAGTACAAAATTGAGCCCATATTCTAAACGCTATGGAATACGAAGTACTACCTTGATAGAAAGGTGTGACAGAGTGCAAAAAGACAATTAACTGCCTCATACCCAAACCATTTCTGTCGTGGCCTTGAAGCGCGCCAATACACCGAGCTCCGTTTTTCAGGGACCTTTTTGCTCGTTAAATCCGTCGTTGAAAAAAAGCGCCACCTCCCCTTTTCAAGCATCAACTAGTGAAACCTTTTAGAACTCGTCTACGTCTAATGTGTCTCGTAACTAATGCAACCCAACCCAACTCGGTAAAGTTAGGGACTAAGAACACCACGCCATGATAAGATTCGCAAACCCGGGAGCCGGCGCATTCTATTGTGCCAGGCCTCCCCCCACCGTCACCGTAAGCAGGACCGGGTCCCCCGCATTGACCTTCCCGGACTGATCGTCGCCGCCGCTCGGCTGCACGTCGTCGTAGGCGAACGCGTAGCCCTTCCCGTCGACGGTGTGCGCGTGCACGAGGCGGGCGTAGTGGTTCGTCGGCTCCCGGCGGTAGAACGTGTCCGGGGGCGAGGGGTGGCGGTGGTCTTCGAGCAGGGCGGAGCGGGCGAAGGCCGCGGCGAGCCGCGGGATGATGGCGTTGCGCACGGGCGACGGCCCCGTCGTGAACGGCCCGCTGTTGCACCCCAGGATGTCCGCCGTGCTCGGCCTGCCGAACCTCTCCTTCCCGACCACGACCTCGCTGTCGCTCGTGAAGTCCGCCCGCAGCACGCCCGGCGCCGCTTGCGTGTCTATCATCAGGGCTTGTTGCTGCCTTTCTCGGTAGCGCGCCCATACTGCGTCGACGAACGGCTCGAAGTACCCGCTGAACCGCGCGCCGACGCCGTTCCCGTGCGTGGGGTTCAGCACGCGGAGGACCGTGCCGTTGCGCTCGACAACCAGCCTATCCCACGGGAGCCCGTCGCTGCGCGCCTGCTCGCGCAGGTCGGCGGCGAGACGGTCCAGGCCTTCGGGGGGCATGCCAGCGACGTGCTGGGCGGAGCCGGAGACCCGGGTGAGGGTCATGGCGAGGGGCAGGCGGGGCACAAAGTCGACGTAAGTGAGGTTGGCGTAGAGCTGGGCGTCGTTGAGGGTGAACTCGCAGAAGCCGAAGTCGAGGTCCCGGTTCGGGTCGGTCGGGTTCAGCACGCTGGGCTCGACGAGCGCCGGCCCCGGGTTCAGGAGAAACGTGAGCTTCCCGCCCCGCGACACCCAGATGCGGCCGCCGGCCATCTGCGGGATCGTGACGGTGACGGTGCTGCCCGGTGGGCCGAGGGGGATGGCGCAGTCTTCGGCTAGGGGAGAACAGATTCGTGGAGGGTTCTGGGGGAAGTAGAGGCCGTGTCCGTCGGCTTGGAGTATGCAGCGTTGTCCGCCATGTTGAAGGGCTATTCCGGTGATGTATGCGTATACTTGGTCGGAATTGCTGGTGTTCCTTAGAGCTATGTTCAGGGAATTGGGCATGGTTTAAATATTGATTTGTCTCTATTGTAAATGATGATATAATGTTTTAATAGCATTGAATATTGAACAGTGAATATGTATGATGGGAGTATATGGGGGTATAGACTAGGTACAATACATAGTAGGTAGGACCTGGTAGGTACTATGCCACTACCTAGTAGTACCTAGGCATGCACCTACCTGTGTTGACTTCTTACAGGCTGGCACTTCCAGGATGTTGTTGTAAATGATGACGTAGCCCTGGACTCGATTTAGGTCTAGTCAAGACTCTTCTACAGGGAAGCTACATGTACCTAAGAGCCCTAAATAAGAACATTAATCTTTCTAAGGTTCTTTTAGACTATTTAGTATTTCTCTTGGTTTTTAAGTTGTTGCAACTACATATGTTACGGGGATGAAAGGATAAGCTTTTGAAGAGATACTTTCGTGGGAAAACATTCGCGGAATAAGCCGATAACTATAGTTATTCTGATTCTTAGGGCAACGTCTCCACCGATCGTTATAGTTCCAGGGCCTGCGTTTTGAACCCCATTGCCACTGAGGATGACATTATCTCTCCTAGCTATGTTCTTATTCGCACGAAACAGGTTCCGTATTCTTGCCCAGCGGGAAAAGTCGCCATGACCACGTTATGTCCACACATATCGCCATGCTGGAATATGTAATCGTCCCCAGGGCCAGTAGGGAACCCGCCAGCAAGTTTATGGTCCAGCATATGCGAAGCAGCCTGTGCCTCGATCTCTAGAGGGGCAATCCAGACGATACAATAATCTTCGGGCCGTAAAGTTGCCATATGTTATAAGCGTCGACGAAACAGTAGATCGATGCATTGGCCATTCCTTTTACTGACTCCTCGAACAGTGACTCTAGTGATTCAATGTTCCAATCATGTCCCATCCCAATAGAGTCAAGTATTCCCTGGAGATCTGGTTGCGCTTTAAGTAGCTGCAACAACAGTGAGCGATATAAGCCTACTGTAGACTTCTCTGGCTCATCCCCACGTGCGTTGAAAAGGAAGGAAATGATTATGTTCTTCTTCAGTTTCCATTAAGCTTGGGAAAGTATAGCTTTCATCAACGTTGGCTTCCCTTTGATCCACAGGAGACCTCTGTGTGCTTGAAACTTGTTGGGTCTAGCCAATCGTGATACTGTGAAGTTTTCTGGAGCCATTGGCAAGTCCCTTTATGAGCTCTCTCGATATTTGTCCGACGCGCATCTATCTGCTCAAACTTGAGCGATTCGAGTTTTTGGAGTCTGAGATATGATTTTTGCTTCTCTCCGGCGAAAGGGGCATTCAATAAGATGGTGTTATCGTGGATGTGCGGCACTGAGACGTTGAGGTTAGTCGGAAACTAGAAACTGTATAACGCTATTATGCCTACTGTTAAAGTCATGCCCATTGTCTAATGTGCCATGCGTGTTCTAGATGCCTCTCCCAGACAGTTCAGCAGATATACTCGGCCCATGACAACTTCTGTCTTGTTCCTGGGTAGCGACATTTGAGTGGCTATTGTGATTATCAGGTATCAATATAGGTAAATATTGGATATCACGGTGTTTGTATTTCCAGGTATTTCCAGATCACAACTAGTTAGAGGGATAAGCTTTAAAGCGAGGGGGGAAGGCTGTGCTGTCCTTGGAGATCTTGAGAAATGTGTAAAGTCACAAAGTCATGTGATTATTAACGCCATGCATAGACGGGCTGAACCTCGTCAGCAGCAGCCCAATGCCATAGGTAGTTACATCCTGTGAAAATAAATGATTGTCAGGCGTTGCCGAGGCAGACACAAGGCAGACATGAGTGAAATCCCCTGGGCACATATATGCAAAGATTCTATGAAAAAGGAGGCCCTTGTGTTCTTTCAATCTTACAAGTTCATACCTAGGTACCCAGGGTACCCTACAGCAGGACACGACACACCACCTTTCGAATTTGGTGTCACATCTACTCTACACCACTCAACACCTACCACAGCCTCACAACTTGAAGACACCAAGCTATTATTTTTCATTCACTACCTACTTACTTACTAGGTAGGGTAGGCAATTCCAGCAACCCCTCACCCACCCCCTCCAACACTAAGAAGAAAACATCACGGTTACCATCATCATCCTCTTAATCAAGTATCGTCATTATCAGCGACAAGTAGCAAAAATGCAAGCCTACCCCTTGTACCTAGTGTGTATTTATTCCCTCATTCAGCAAACCCAATTATGTACCTACTACATGCCCTAGGTACCCTAGGTAGTGTGCTGCTTATTATGTAGATACACATGTATTGGTAAGACAGGAGCACCTCGAGTAAATTCCCTAGGTAGGCTACGTAGGTACTATGTACATAGTAGGTAGCACAGGCAAGTCCCATGAGTAAATAAAAAGGTTCCACTGGTACGACAACATCAGATTGACTCCCCTGGTGATTTCCCTTTGTCACGATATACTATGTACAAAGCTACCTAGGTAGGGTAAGAGGGCTCGGGAACGATGGCACCACAAAGTGGATATGCGTTGGTTTCGTACTTACCCTGGGCATATATCGGGGCAGCTGCTCTCCAGGTAATTTGTAGTAGCGATGAGCTGATGTGAGAAGGAAAAAAAAGAAAAAAACCTGCTCACTTGTAAAGCAGTCAGAGGCTAGTGAACCTTGTCGAGGAAAAGGCAAAGAAAAGACAAAAAAAGAAAAGCGATCTCATAGAGAAAGATCTTGTTGTCTGTCAGGTCATATGTTAGTAAGTCATGTCGAATCTTGATATCATGAACGAGCTCGTAATGCATCACAGCAGTGAGGTCAAAGATTGGCCCGACTAGAGCAAAGAGAAAAGGGGGTTTATTGCGTGATATATCAAAGACTGAAGAAGGGGCTGTGATGGGCAAAGGTGCAGTGCCGAAAATCGTCCTGCTAATGGTGATCGGTCTCACGCAGACACGACAATATGGATGATTGGCTCTACTAGGACATCTAGGGTCCTTGAAGAATCACCTTGACTCTGTCGTCTTGCTGGTCCCAGTTCAGAGGAACATGAAGATATAATTTATGTGGGTTATCGATGCCAGATGATGGGATAAGCTGGCTGACAGTCCAAAGCAGACCCCAAAACGAACCAAGGACAATACTTGTGTATAGTACTGCTCTTTGGAATGTGCCTCTAGTGGATGATCCTACCATCTCGGCCATCCAAAACGTACTTAGGACCATCACTATCCGCAACAATTTCTGTGACACTATTGAAATCAGACTTCCTGTTCTCCCTAACGAGCCATTCACCACCAAGGAACTTACGAATGCACGGGTCTGCGGGTTTGCGCTGCTTCGACTCATAAGGCACCAGCTTGGCGTTATTGTTGTCGATCGCACTCACAGTACAACCACAGGAGAGTCCAGGGATTCCTTTCTGGCGCTCAACATCTTGGGCCATAGTATTCCATCGTCGATGACTACTTCCAAGGCTTTCGAATGGTCCTGCAGCTACGGTTGACGTGTTACCTTCATCAACTCTGGTAGAAGCTGCTTGTTGCCTAACATCTCTAGATAGTAGGCCATTCGAGTTCGGCTCGGGTCCTAGGTGATGCTCGTGGGGGGGACATTGTTCGCAAAGACCATGTGCGTAGCCGATATCACGGAAATACCAAATGCGAGTCTTGGGCAGAAACATGCTAACGCTAAGTGTATGAACGGGAGCATCTCCGAACCGCTCATAATAGAACCCACCAGCTCTATCCAGATGATCGAAATATGCCATGTGTTCCTTGCCACGGAAGAAGTTAAGAGACCCGATTTCGAAGTTGGAGTAGAACTGGCAATTATTGTACTCCCCATCAATCTGAGCCTCAACACCTGTCTGTGGGCGGATAGTATGATCTTGATCATCGGCTGTGTGCAGCAGCCAATTAAAATCAGCATCTTCGTCGATCAGCTCTTCATTATGGTCAATGAAAGCCCTAGTTCTTTCCCAGAGGGATGGAAAGGATCGAGCGTCATCGAGAATGGCCATGTTGAATCCGTACGCCATATCGTTATCTTCCATGAATCGGAATACGTCGTAATTGATATCGCAGTGAAATTTCACCTATGAGATTCTCTGTCAGCTTCAGAATACAAACAACTGATAAAAAGCATTTTGTCCAGTACTAGGACCCATGGAGGGAGGGGACTATCGAGAGGCAGAGTCACAGTCAACAATCGACTTACTGCAGGTTCAACCCGCCAGAACCAGTCATAATCAGCAAGACGCTTCTCTAATGCGAATATGCCGGCGTTCCAGCGACACATGTGGTGGTAGCTCTGTAGCCATGCTTTGCCCACACCGATGCCTCCCATAAACTGGCGACCGACATCAAAACGAGTTATATCGATCCAGGGTGGAATACTCCAATGCTCTTCTGGGATTCGCTCAAAGTGGCATTGGGAATTAGTCGCTGCAGACACAGCAACCTTGAATCTCTCGGTGAATTCCTCATTATTGAAGAATACCCAATCGTATCGGTGGGTCTGGCGAGAGTTAAAACGTGTCTCTATCTGAACGATGCTGGAAACCATGTCGTCAACTTCCTCATTTCGCACAAGGGAGATGAAAGCCGCCTTTGGTCTTGTTTCTGTCAACTCCTGTAGTTGACTCAAAGACAGGTCCTGGATGTCTAGGAAGGTATTCTTGCGAAGCCACTGAATTGGATGAGGACCTTCTGCTTGGATGGTGTATCCTGCGGGCGGATGGGGAATCGGAGGAACATAGGAGTCGATGATCGGCATCTCCTGGCTGGGTAGCTTCTTCGCATCCTTGCTGAATACCCAAGTACTGCCGACAAGAAATGACGCCAATAATAGGAGCGATGTCTTGCGTAAAGAGAATGGCCTTTGAGAAACAGGAGTAGTATTAACGGATGACACGGTCCCATCGATGCTAGACGTTACGTACCTCATTTGACGCGACAAGAATCCCCAACTATATCCCTTGATTCCATTACGAGATGGTTCGTCTACGATAATAGGAGGACTTGCCAGAATCGAACTCTCGTCGTCGTTCAGTTGAGGGACGAGACCTAGAGGGATGAGGAGATCCTCATGGGATGAGCCAGATCGAGACGCAATATGACCACCACCGCTGGCCGATCGAGTAGCAATTCGAGCACTTTGGCCAGCGAGATGGCGAGGATACGCGGAAGACATCTTGAAATTCCTCTATTACATGTCAGTAGGAGTTGAAGCAGTGACGAGGGTAGATGAAGGTTGTCCCTACCCAAGTTCAAGGCATAATACTCGACATAGGAAAGCCGAAAAGTAATGCGACCGTGATATTGACTCTTGATAGAGGGAATAAAGCGAATGCAACGGCGAATATGTGAAGGAGTTGTTCCTAAGTTAGGAAGTCGAAAAGCTAGGTGTGAAGAAGAGGATTCGAGTGAAATGGAAGGTTCAAATGAACAATAGCGAAAGTAATGATTAGGTGTATTGCCTCGATTTGAGTCCGAAAGACGTTCAAGGATAGTGAGTGAGAATGATAATCTGATAGGAAGGTTGGTGAACTTGAAGATGAAAGGCGGGTGGTGATTGTTGATAGATGGCAGGTCTTCTTTGAATTTCCCGCCAATTTTGGACTTTTGGATTTTGCTAGGCGTGGTTAATGGTTAGTGTTGTTTCAGGAACAAGATTGTATTGTGCCTGAAGGTGAAGTTTGGAAGTTGTAGATTGCTTGTGGTTGGGTTACTGGGAACATTGGAGCAAACAACTTTCCATTCAAGTCGGAGGAGGAGGGAGTGTGGGTGGTTCCCTTATCCATTCATTGCACCTGGCACGGCCTATTTTAGAGTAGGTAGTTACCGAGGGAGTAGGCACAGTACTGCATTGTACACTGCCAGTATAGGAGAAACGCCACAGTGAATGCTGAGTCGCAACTGCCTTTTCTATCTTGAATAGACGTGTTGAGGCGGAATCGACCTTTAGGGGGGGGGGCTCTTCACTGGCGCGTTCCCTCCCCTCCCTCATCATCATCATCATCTGTCCTAACCTAAGTCACGCATATCCTGAGCGCCACAAAGACAACATCACCATTTTGTTTCATGCCTAGTACTTGGGTAGGTAGGTACCTAGGCACTAATGTTGGAACCTGATATGTATGGCATGGTCATACGTGAATTTTAAGCTATGATACATCTGACACCTCCATGTTAATTATATGCAGTGTGGATTTGGTTTACCTTACATGTCGGTTATTGGACACCTGAAATGAAGAAACAGTTGATTATCAAACAACGAACCGCCCACCCCACGCACCAAACTCTCCCTCAGGTAGGTAGGTAGGTAGGTAGGTGTGTTAAAACAAATCCATCACGTCTCAATAACCATGGGCTCGCCTGTCATGTCGCCCTCTTGCGTCAGGTCGAGGACTCTCGCGTATTGTACAGTTAGGCGCTGAAGTTCCCTATACTTCCCTGCACGGTGATAGTTAGTGCCTTAGGCATTCACACGATTTTTGAGGTATTTAGAGCAGAAAAGGAAAAGAAAGGAAAAAAGAAGAAAAAAAAGCTTACCTAGAATCATCACAACGCCCTTGAGAAGTTCCTTCCGATCCCATCCGCAGATAAAATCGCCCTTGCTATGCCAGCCCTGGCCTGCCGGATCACTCTCCTCTTTCTTGTCTTGCAACACCCCGCCCAGTAAGGTGTTCAAGAGCTCTTCTACTTTACCTCTGTGGCCTTCTGCGCCAATTCGTTTGGCGTACATGAGCAGGTAGAGTCGGAATTCTTCCTTTGCGCCTAACTGTAAGGCTCCGGCAATACGATTCTCGAGGTGAGCGATGCTGACACTGGACTCGAAAGACTCGAAGCTATCCTTTGACAGCAAGGTTTTGATTAGGCGTTGCAGTGTGTATGCCCTGCCCTTTAGCAGGAACTCATTTGTTGTGTGCCTCTCTAGGAAGGGAATAATGCCGGCTGAGACGGTTGCTTCGTCAATCTGGCCATCCTTGGGAGAGACCGCGCCGACTGCCGTTGACTGCAGAGCTCCGACTGAGGAATCATTGCTGTTCCAATATTGACTACCCACTGCCCACCACGATTCAGAGAGTCGTTGCCAGGTAAACATAGTGGGAGAATAGTAATATCCGTCGCCAGTAGTAAGTGTGACGATGATATGACCACTCGAGTTCAGGTGCGCAGAGGTGACGCCAGGAGCTGGCATGGCACTGTGCATCTGCAGAGAGCTGACGGCTATTTCTAATACAGGCCCTAGCGATACGGGTGGATGGGGTGAGGAGAGAGTGTTAATATTCCAGACGTAGCACATACCCACAGCCGTAACGCAAAGTAGCCACCAGTCACGAGATTCCAGAATTACCGGCTGAGACTCCAAAACCATGGCATTTATCAGTCGACGGCCCGCCGGCGTCCACGTATACAAGCTGCCATCCTCGCAGGCGGCAGCCCAGAACCTCTTACTGCCTGTCACAAGAATAATAGCTCGTGGAAGGTAATCTTGCCAAAGTACGGAACCACGCTTTGTGGCTGTGATATGCGAAGGCTCCCTAATCGAAACCGGGTTCTTGGCTTCCAAGATAATGTTTTCGGAAATTCGAGATGCCTCATCCGCAGTGCTATCCTCAAGCAGAACACCTCTCTCTAGCGGACGTAGAATGTGTGATCTCACTTTGGGCACTGCTAAACGAACTTGTGACATCGCAATGGAGGGGTTGAGGACTGCTGGCCGTAAATAGTCAGGCGTGGGTAACAGACCTTGCTTAGGTGGTTCGAGGGCCGCGGGCTCCAGACCTTCGGCCCCATTTCTCATTATGGTCCTCGGCCCTGTAGAAGTTCGTTTGCTAGGGTGCTCTTCCTCCTCTTCGTCTTCCGTAATCACCGCTTTCCGTTTATTACCCAGTAGCATAGCGGCTAAGCCACCTTCTGGCAGTCCGTCGTACGGTTTCGAGAGGTCTAGTATAGTTTGTGGCGTATCATTCTGTGCAGCTTTCGAGCTGGACCCAACCAACTGGCTTTGGGGTAATGAGGATTGGCCAGTTCCAGATGATGAAATGAGCATCGGTGCTACCCTTTTCTTCCCATCCTTGGTAATTGTTACACGTGATTTTAGTTCAATCACTCGCTGAGCTGATTTATCAGCCGACTCCTCTGCTTCGGGGGCTGGAGCTTGGTCCTTTTCTGGTTGAGATTCCGTTTGGCCATTTGTCGGCTGTATGTTCGGTGTTGTGGCGGTGTGCTTGACGCCGTTTGTCGTAGGCGGTGCATCTTTCGGGAGCGGATGAAAGTCACCCATGAGTGCTCCCATCCGTGATTCTGCCCCTTTTCTCTCACCTTCTTTGCTATGATTTTCTAGCTGAAGTCCATCTACATCTTCAGATATTCCCATGGCTTTCCGCGAAGCTCCATACTTGGATAGAGCCTTGTCAGTCTCCTCTAGGTTAGCTACCCAGCCCAATTCCCCCGTCTCAAATTTGACTGCAACAATGCCACCATCAAGACTTGACGCAAACAAAATTTGCCCATCAGGAGTCCAGGCGAGGTCGGATATCGATTTCGCTGCTAAATCTTGTAGGATAACAACAGGTCTTGAGGTATTGGTGTTCCAAACGCTGAGCGTCTTGTCCTGGCCGGCGGAAGCGATTACCGTTACTAACGATTCTCCGGAATGGCCATTGGCCGTGCCATTCTCAACAGGCTTTTTCGTGTGGAAAAGCCTAGGAGAGAACATGCAGACTTCCGTTGGACCCTCGTGTCCTATCAAGTTGATCTCACTGTCCCATCTATTTCGTTCGATGATGGCCACTGAGCTGACAGGACCATTAACAGCGTTAGCTGCCGCAATATGGTTTCCGTCGGGTGACCAAGAGCACCTTCGGAAATACGTTGTTAAAGGAGAGGATTTGAAGGGGGAGCTGATTGTAGTCTCGAGCTGGAAATTATTCACCATGTCGTGTTGAGTGGCATTGGGGGCGGGTGGAGTGAATCGGAATATTTTGATAGATCGATCGTCACTAGCGGTAGCAAAGAACTTGTTGGCAGGGTCGAACGTAATCCCTTTGACATGACTTTGGTGATTTCCGAGGACCTTTAACTTCTCGAAAGTATGACCTGACCAAATAACTACTTTTGAATCTAAACCCACGGAAACGAGTATGGAACCATCGTAAGACCAAGCTAGATCCTGAACATCATTGTCGTGTCCTATCAATCGTCTCGAGGTTTTCCAGTTTTCGACTGGGGGCGGCTCATTCGTTCCGAAAGGGGCGATGGCGGGCGGACCGCTCTCGAGCTGGTATATGCAAATAATCTTGTCGTCGGCTCCGGATGCGAGATAGCGACCATTAGGTGAGAATCGCACGGAATGAATAGTGCCTAGATGATGGCTCATATGGCAAAGCTGTCTCGGTTTTGTGTATGAGGGGTCGTCGGTGTTATAGATGGATTCCGTCGACCAAACTCGGACGTGGCCATCTATACAGGAAATGCATTAGCGTAAGCAAGATCATTGGCGATTCTGCATCGCGTATATGATGGACATACCTCCGCCAGCAGTAGCGAGTCTCTTTCCGTCCGGTGATATATGGCAGCTATACACCTCGAAGTCCTTCTGTTCGCCTTTGTAGAATAATGTCAGCTTCGCGAAACAAATCAGCAGCAATGATCCAAGGGTGATCACCTTTATGGCTTAGCCACGACGGTTTAATGACGCGCATGATGACTGAATGATTGGTATTGTAATGCGCATGTCGGTATGGAATTGCAATTAGTTGATTTGAATGGTGAAGCGAATGGAAAAAATTGCGCGTGCTCTACAACGTTGAATGATAGATAGTTGCCCTTGGAGTAAAAGTGTTAAAAGTGTAGATGTTCCATGGCGCGCGACGCGGCCCCAATTAGTTAACTATCGCTAGGTGCATCAATTAAAAAAAAGTGGTTATGTAATCATCTGTTCAAACCACCAACGTCACGTCACTCGATTTACAGTTGGACTAGTCGTCCTAGTCCCTGCAATATCCCCTGTCGGGATCCACCTGTCAGCGACTAAAATGCACTCCACCCTGGAAAGTTTAAGGTTAACGATCAAAAAAGGTACGCGTACCTACCTAGTAGTACCTACTATCAATGATCTAACATTGATCTGAATTATCTACGTACTATTTTGAAGGTAGACAGGCTATTCTGTCCCTTAGCGTAGGCAAATATTAGGAGCGAGACTTGATTACATCAATATGTAGTACATAACTACCTACCCTAGGTAGGGTAGTATGTAGTGGCCAACTTCGAACCTTGAAACAGACATCACATAAACTTTAGGATATGGATATATGATAATACCGGTAATACCCTTTTGCCAATACTTGCAACGAAACGTCGACAGTTGCTAACCAGATAAATCAGGGGACACCATCCGAAATTCTATTCGATATCCATCGCCTGGATTCAACTTCAAGAATTAGATATTAGATAGGTATAAAAATTAATCACGAAAAGTCCACAATCTCAGTAGCATAAAGAGAAAGGGGGTCATCATCGTTAGGACACATTCATTCTTGGACAAATTATAGAAAAGTCAAAACTACCATTGGGAATGCAATCGAGTCTTAGTTACCCTACCTCCATGCGAGCGAATATACATCGTCTCAGGTGAGCAATTAGTTCAGATAGGAAAAGAAAAGAGCCCATTTCAGGTGCGGCCGGACAGTCCGAGACCTGATGGGGCTATCAGACTAATGCATATCAGCCCCTTCTCGTAAAATAAGAGAAAAGAGGTGCTTCTCATCCGTAAGTCCCTGTTCCCCTCCTGACTCCTCTTAAATGCCAGAGTAACCCCCCTTTCAACGCCCTGTAAAACCCCTGTTCATATGCCGCGTAGGTTTCGAAAACATGGGAGAAATGAAGAGAGCTCGAGCTTCTTTGTGCGAGCGACCCATTCAGGTCGTAGCGTAATCAACGATGCTTGAGTGGAAATGTACTTGAGTAATAGTGTTGCAAAGCATCATTGGGCGCTCCAACGTCTGAATTGCCGTATCCTGAAAGACAAGAATAATACTTCTTGCTAATAGGAATATTCTCTGCTTCGGATAGGCCGTCTTATGTTATACTGCTCGGAAAAGTGAGATATCACTTAAGCATATGCGTTGCTCCCGAAGCGACCCTGCTGATGAAGTTTGTTGAAGTAAGGGTGGTGGCAGGCTTGCTTCGCTGACATTCGGCCGGCAGGGTCGTAAACGAGGAGAGCTTCAAGGAGATCTAAGCCAACTTCGTCGAGGTTGGAGCATAAGCTCTGCGAGGTATCCCGAATCCACTTAGGAAAGGATGCCTTGAAGTCGGGATAAGAGGTCACGCCAGGCCAAACCTCTTCAGTAGGCGTTCCTAGTAGGCTAAAGTAATGTGAGCATCATTCACACGAGTCGAGTTGGTATGTTAGGACTTACCGGAAAGTCTTGAAGATCTGGTCGATCTCCGAGTCTCCAGGGAACAATGCCTTTTTGGTGCACATCTCGGCAAAGATGCATCCCACAGACCACATATCGACACCGGTGGAATACTGTCGGCCACCAAGCAAGATCTCGGGGGCTCGGTACCAGAGCGTGACGACCTCATGAGTATAGGTACGAAGAGGAACGCCAAAGGCGCGTGCCAGACCAAAGTCAGCAAGCTTCAGGTTTCCGTCACGGTCAATCAGCAAGTTCTGCGGCTTCAGATCTCTGTGTAGAATTCGATGGCTGTGGCAGTATCGGATACCCTCGCAAAGCTGGCTCATGAATCGTCGGACCATACCATCGCCCAATCCAAGCCGTCCCAACTCGGGGCCGGAGCCTTCAGGAAGAGCTTTACCACGACCGCCATCGCTGATGGGAAGCGCCTCCATATACTTCTTTAGGTCGAGGTCGAGAAACTCGAAGACAAGGTACAGCTTATGCCCCTCAGCGTGGACGATGTTAAACAGTCGAACGATATTGGGGTCTCGCATCTCCTTCAGAAGAGAGATTTCTCGGATGGCAGTGCTTGGTACACCTTCATCTTCGGATTCAAGTCGAATCTTCTTCAATGCGACGATGCGGCCGCCATGAGAGAGATCCCGGGCTTTGTAAACGACACCGTAGGTGCCTGTAGACAGATATTCAATTAGCAAACCAGAATTGATCGACGCAGGGAGAAGGCAAGAGTATTGTGATATATTGGGGATTCAAGATCAGAGGCTAGACATACCTTCACCAATTTTCTCCAGTTTTTGGTAATTCTCCATCATTTTGAAGATCACAACGAATGCGATGAATCAATTTAAAGGAGTGTAAGAAGGGAAACCGGTTGTGTTGTGGTATGCGTCGATTGAGATGTCCCAAATGGCAAGAAAAATTGCCAGGTACACAATGCAACAATCAACAATTAAGTTGAGTCTGGTTGCTGTTTACCAAATCAAAGTTGGCATGTATTGTACTGTGGCTTGTTGGGGGGGAACGCCAGAAAAAAAAAACGAGGGGCAATTGGTAGAAGTGGGAGCGGCGGTTGTAGTAGTATGTAACGGTACCTAGTAGTGGTAGACTGGTAGTAGTGGTAGGTAACTAGTGGTACATGTAGTGGGAGGAAAGAATTGTCCACGATTACCAAACTGAACAGACAGCGGACAGAGATAACTAATTCTGTGCGGTCCCAATATTTGATCAAAACTCCATTGGGTCTGGGGAATTAGTTACTAATCTGTCAATTGCTGTCTGGCTCCGGTTTACGGGAAAAGAATCCGTGAACTTGTGAGCGGTCAGCGGTAATTCTTTAATTTACGTTGGTGAGTGGTGTGATGAGAGGTTGTTGCTATTTTCCCATGTTCAAAATCAATAAATAATATAAACAGTCTACTAGAAGAGCTAACTTTTGATACGCGCCAACTGTGTGGCTAAACAAGATTATCGCGTTTGTGGCGTATACATGTAGTTAGTTATGTAGATGCACCGTTGATATGCACATTGCACATGTCACGGTGCCATGTGTCCATTATGCGGTAGGGCTATCATGTACCGCGCATGTACTCCGTACATAGTAGTTATGTAGTATTCCTACATTGAACCTTCCAGAAGTTCAATGTTGAACTTGAAGCTATATACAGTTCGTACTGCGGTACATAACAGGTACATACATACCCCAGGTAGGTACTATGTACTAGGTAGTGTTTATCTTATCGCCGAACTCTCATAAATACATACACTGATCTCCACATTCTATGTAACTTGAAAGATGCAAGTCATGCATGCATGGCATTGCATTTCTTCTTGTTCTTGTTCAACATCAGATCTCATGAAATTGACGTTCTTAGCAGAGCCCATATGAACCATTCAAGCAGAGACCACTAAGATACTCGCATACGAAGTACGAACGTACATCACCAATGCTTACTTACCATGACGCTTGACCTCACCACTCTAGACGCCCATCAGCAACCAGATCCAGAACTAAAGGCTACCTGGAAGAGGTATTCTAGAACAGACCATGGAGAATTTATCAATCATCCTGATATAGATGAATTAGACGTCACGGATATCAATAGCCCATTCAAGCTCGCAGGACATATTCCTAGCGAAACACTTAAGAGCTCGTTTGAGAAGCTTGAAGGCCGAGAATGGGATGTGAAGGAGGCCCTTCAAGATGCCCCTATTTACTTCCACCCTCTACTCCCAGGTAAGCCTTCTTCAGAACCCCCAGCTAATGAGAGGCTCATAATAGAGTGCAGGGTTGCTCATATATCCCTCATTGGTGCCCCCAAACATACAGAAATCACTGCTATTGCGTATGGTCCATAGGGATTTAAGTGATCACACTCATCAAACTAATCTACACCTTCACTATGATCTTCCATATCCAGAAAAGGGTGATGTGGAAGACATGACGTCTCGGTCCTTCTTCTCCTATTCTCCAGATTCTGACATAAGACTCACACCAAAGGACCCTTCTATACACAAGCCATTATCTATGAAGCAGGTCCTCGATCGGCGATTATCCTGGGTCACTCTCGGTGGTCAGTACGACTGGTCCAACCGAGAGTACCCTAACCAGTCACCCCCCGATTTCCCTCATGATATTGCTGGGTTTCTTCAGACCCTCTTCCCAGATACCCTTGCTCAAGCTGCCATCGTCAATTTCTACAACCCAGGGGATACGATGATGATGCATCGAGATGTGAGCGAAGAAACAGACAAGGGTCTCGTTAGTCTAAGCATTGGGTGCGATGCCTTGTTCATGATCGCGCCGAACGAGTATGGAAAAGACACGCGCTCGGATAGCAAAGGAGACGACGAAAAGTCATACCTTCTTCTACGACTACGATCCGGGGACGCCATTTATATGACCCAGGAATCTCGGTATGCGTGGCATGGAGTTCCCAAGGTTCTGAAAGGCACCTGCCCAGACTTCTTGGCTGATTGGCCGGCAGAGGGCGATAACTTTGAAGGGTGGAGAGGCTGGATGCGGAATAAGCGTATCAATTTGAACGTTAGACAGATGAAAGACTAAAACACAATCTCACAATAGGGGGTTTAAAGCATCGATAGGCAGATCTTTTGAAATATTCTCCGATGTGCTTCCAACTACTACTAGGATCGACCAAGTATCGGAGTAAAATGTTCCTAGTCATATATATGGTGTCGTTTTAGGGGAAATAGACGTCGTCTAAATAACTAGGTACAACCTAGGTAAGACATCACAAGATGTCTCATGGACATGCGCCACAGCAGTGAATACATAACTACTAGGTACCTATCTACCCCTGCCGACGTAGGTATCAATTACTCCTTGCTCAATGATCGGTATCACTCAAGTCACAAGACAATAACTAGGTTAGTGTACATGTAGAACGTAGGTGGAATAAAAAGATACTGCGTCGGAGTCATTATATCCACTTTTACATCGATATTCACGGCCCAGGTAGATTGACCTTCTCGATCGAGTAAATTGACCGTGTCTCCACCTTAAGCCCTGTAAATACCCACTTAGTTAGATTACCCATACAATTTGTATGGCGATCGTAAATTAGTTATGAACAAATTAATTAGGGGTATCAACACCACCGGTAAATATTAAAATCTTATCAACTAGTTGTTATTTTCAAAGTCCCATTGCCATCGCAATTGTAACTGAAAAATAGAGCAAAAATATTACTCGAAAGCTAAAGTACCATATACTACTAAAAATGTCTTTGCAAGCTCCTTCGGATGGTACATACGCTACATTTTCGGAGTGTTTTGAAGCTATTCAGAGCCACGCCGCGAACCATGGGTATGCCGTACGGTCGATACCTAAGAATAAAAACAAAGCCGGCGCGTACGTTAGGCACCTTGTTATTTGCGACAAAGCCGGCACTTTCGTGTCGAAAGCTAAACTCAAGGTTAAAACCACAACTACGAAGCGTACCAACTGCCCATTCGCCGCTGTTGCCAACGTTCGCCCTCAAGGGCACTGCGACTTTAAAGTTATCAACCCTCAGCATAACCACCCGGCATCCTCCTCTATTAGCGATCACATACAACATCGCAAACTAACTGATGACCACCGGCGATGTATAGAGAATGGGGTGATAGCTCATAAAACATCACGCGCAATATGGCAGGAGATAATAGCAGCTAATGTCCGATGCCCCCTAAAGCTGGATGATATCAAAAATTACATAAAGAAATATAAAAAATCACTCCGGCCGAAGGAGTAGCTTCTTGAACTATCATTGCTACCAACCACCCGGCACCTACCTGCCTACTTACCACCCGCCCTCATCCGATCATACCGCAACACACTCTGCAGCAACACCTCAGCCCCAATCGCGCAATCCTCCGGACTCGTGTACTCCTCCGGGTTATGGCTGACCCCGTTCTTCGACGGCACGAAGATCATGCTCGTCGGGCACCGCCGGCTCGCGTACACGCTGTCGTGGCCCGCCCCGCTCGTCATGTCGCGGACCAGGCCGCTGCTCCCCGTGACCGCCTCAGCCGCCGCCCGCACGACGGAGATGCAGTCCGCGTGGAACAGCGTCGCGGGCGACTCGAAGTCCGTGCGCCACTCCACGCTCAGCGGGCGTCCGGGAGTCGACGCGTCCAGCAGCCCGTCGAGGTTGGAGCCCGCGGCGAGCAGGGCGAAGTCCCGCTTCATGGAGGCTTCCATGCTGGCGACGCCTTCGTTGGTCGGCGACCGCACGTCGAGCGTGAAGCGCACGTGCCCGGGGATCGTGTTCGTGCTGCCCGGGCTTAGGGTTAGGATTCCGGTTGAAACGAGAGCCGGGCACGTGGTGGCGAGACGGTGGGAATGCGTGATGAGGCGGGCGGCGAGGAGCATAGCGTCGGCGCGGCTTTGGAGGGGGGTGGTTCCTGTGTGTGCGTCTGGAAATGGTGGGCTTCAGTTAGTATCGACACATGAGTCAAGCAGCCCCCTTTTCTTGGAAAGGGGGATGGAGGAGGGGTGCGTGGGTACCTCGTCCGTGAACGTCAACAGTAAACCACTTGTAAGCCTGGACCCCCTTTACAACACCGACCTTCTGCCGCTCCGTCTCTAGGATTGGTCCCTGCTCGATGTGAAGCTCGAAATGCGCTGCCATGGGCATGCTCCGGTAGCTTGCCGGCGTCGAGCCGAGATACCCAATCCGTTCTAGTTCTGACTTCATCGTCGCAGTGCCTCCACCCACCTCCTGAACATTATGGGCGCGCTCGAGAGCGATCTCCTCCGCCCATACCCCCGATGACACCATACTAATCGGGAAGCGAGCGCCTTCCTCACTAGGTAGTTGGTTCTGTTAACCATATAGACATAGACATCGCTAGGGGAGATACATAGGTATGTTACTGGTACCGAGGGACTGCGTATTAAGGGATCAGACATACTTGGTCCAGTTGACAACACCGACTGAAAACTCTGTCTCCACCTGGTGATCCTGCAGCACGCGCAGCATCTCTATGCCGGCTAGGATCCCCAGGATCCCGTCGTACCGGCCGCCGCTCGGCTGGGTGTCGAGGTGGGAGCCGGCGAAGGTGGCGGGGCCGTCGCGCCTGCCAGGACGCACGGCGAAGATGTTCCCCATGGCGTCGATGGTGACAGCGCACCCCAGCTTCTGCGTCGTTTCCACGAACCAATCCCGCGCTGCCCTGTCCGAGTCGCTTAGCGCGAGCCGCGACATGCCCGTCTCTGTCGGCGCACTATAGAATCACACCCCCGCGGTTTGGTGTAAGCCTTCATTCACATTCTTCGCGTGCTACTGGCTGGGGAGTTTTCTCCGAGAATGGAGACAACCGAAGAAAAAAAAAACTTGCCTTCCCCATCGCTTCCCTGGCCCGAATGAGGAGCACGTGTGATGTAGTGTGTCCATCAACCTGCCCTTCTGCACCCGCAACGTGGTGCTGAACTCGCCGTTCCGTGCGTCCGTAGCGCGGGTGCTGGCATCGTGGTGCCCCGCATTACTGCTGAGGACCCGCGACGATGTCCCGAATGTTTTGCTCTTGCTTTTGCCGCTGAACGATGACCCCTGCCGGGTGGCCCATGCAAGACAGCTTACTGTATTCAAGTTCTTGCCTGCTTTATGCAGACTAGAAAAATGGCGTATGGCGCAAGCCATGATGCAAGAGGATAAGGAGGATAAGAGTACCTGGATCTACAGAGGCGTGGGAAGTTGTCTTTACCTGCATATGTATGTATGTATGTATGCACATATAGGCAGAACAAGGACAAGGATGGCAACTTGAAGAATGAATGAGACACATGTGAGAAGTTCCAAGGTTAAAGGTCACTCCGACTTAGCTGGTCACGTGGCTCCACATTGATGGTCTCCTACATCTCCTATGTACCTCTTCTCCTAGTCATAGGCATCATGTATAATATAAGATATTCAATTCAAATAAAGGTCTTTCATTTGATATAATGTTTATTTTATTTCATTTAATTTCATCTCATTTTCTTCATAAGAACGAATCTATCTATCAAGCTCTTATTGGTAACGATAGATTGTAGCGATCGCCGTTAATATGGCCACGACAAACATGAATGAGTGTGTGTGGATGTTAATGAACGGATGGATCTATGTGTCGTACTCCTTGCCACTAATTGGCCATTGTTTGTCCGTCTTTCCCATACACATTTGCTTCATGACCCAGTAAACCCGAATAACCCAAGTTTCCATCCAAAGAGCACCACCCAATTGAGTCCTATGTAAATAACTCCGAGAGAACCCTGTACTCCAGTTACCTAAAGAGAAAAAAAAAAGCCATAGCCGTTGATCCCCCTCCCTCATGAATGCTGAAAGAAAATGCCATTTAACGCATTATACTGCCCGAGTATCATGGTTTTTGGTTGCTTCACCAGGTATGGGATGCCCTTATGCCCACCTCGTACTCGTGTATCAAAAGGTGTGTGAAGATCCACCAGGGTGGGTTCCGTAGACCTGGCAGGATTTCACGTGCACCCAATGGCGGCGAATTCGTCCTGAAATGATAAACTAGTTCCCGGGCCAATTCCATGCGTGAAGTTTGCTGTAATCAGTTGCGATTTGCGGCAGAGCTAACTTCAAATGGCCATGCTTTCCAATGGTCCCTTTTTTCCCTTTTCTCGCCCAACTAAGCCTAGTCGGCGCAGATCTGAGGCGGCTTCACCCGCTGCCCCTCTGTTACTTCCAGATAACACGATCACTCCCAAGGGAAAGCCAATTTTTTTTTTTGTCTGCTGTTGGTACTCTCGTGCGAGTCTTGGGTAGTGAGCTTCTTGATGCATTGGTAAACAGCTATGTGTCCCTGCATACCTAGCTATGCCCAGCATGCAAAGCCAAGCTCCCCTAGTCTGCGAACGAATTAGACACATTATCCAATTGCTTTACAGGATTCGGGATTTTTTTTTTCAACTTGCCTTGCTATCGCTTTCGTCCAATATTGATACCGTGTTCAAGAAGAAAGGCCTGCGGGCTGTACACCCCTTATCACGCCCGTAGAAACCACCTACGATAGGAATGCTGGCGCCGAGACGCTGGCGTTCCCCGAGTGGTGCGGTGAATGGAATGTTAAAAAATAGGACGATAGCCATTGCGGCCCAAAGGACACACCCGACTGCTGGAAGGCTGTAAAGCCTAGGCAACACAGGAAATATGACAATACCACCGAGAGAACGAATTGTGTGATCATGTACAGAATCCATGATGATGTCGTCCGAGGCGTCTGCGTCTTGCGCTCGACGAGTTCGACGTGCTTGAAACAACGAGGCATTTTCTTACCCAAGATTTCCTAGGCTGTGATAATAAAAGCCGTAAGTGCGAATGTGCTTGCTTGTTGGCCTGCCTTTCAAGCTGTGTAGATGGTTGCGGATATCTGACTTGTTTTTCAACGACACGAGGTTATTCTTGGTCGATGATCAAACTAGGAGGACTGTGCGGTCTTCGAATAGAATAGCAACTTAAGTAAATAAGGGAACAGGCAGAAAAAATAGACAATTCAAGTTTGAGAATAATAAGTGAGAGATGGTCTTACATCGAAAATACTGTCTCGGTGTGATCTAAATATAGGAATTGCCCTTCACATTCCTTACTCTTATGTAATCTTCCAAAGGGGAAATTCCCGGGCCCAAGAGTGTGCCTAACGCTCTAACCTGGAACTTGTGGGATGCGCCCTGCGCTGCAACCTTCACACCGGTGTCCGTCAAGTGACTCACCTATATAGACAGGGGGTTGGTTGGTATGTAATGTAGGTATGTATGTATGCCTAGCAGTAGGCATACGCAAGTTGCACGTTAGGTAGCTATGATAGTCTCCGCCTATAAGGTTGCACTTTTCTGTGTTGCAGCGAAGTTGTTTTTGTGATAGCGTAGACCCGAAAAGCTGGAGATATGGTCCGAAACTGCTGATCATAGAAGGTCTAGACAATAAAGCTGATACTAAGGTTCCGAAGTTCGCAAAAAAGTAGCCGAGGGGTCTATAAATCACCACGCATATTTTCAATATCACAGACAATCCAGTCCAAGGCGGGGTATGAAATCCAAACTACGGGTCTAGCTACCACATATATACTACATATATAGCAACAAGGACTACCTACTAACATGCATAATTATTCATTCATAAAGCTATAGCTAGGACTTTTCTCCGCTCTTCTTTATCTTTACTCGGCTTTGTGTTACCCTTGATGGCGATATTTGCAGCAAATATACAATATTCTCACCCTTGTATTATGGAAATACCTCCAACGCATCCACTATCTTAATGAACTTTCAATTAAGGCAGGTAGTTACTGTATATTTATGGAGCGTCGTTGAAGACTGATACTTCATGTACGCAATAAAGCAGCTCTGGTGACCTGGCTTCCGTACTTTCCGTGGTTACTTCAATATCCTGGACATGAGTATTGCAGCCATGGTTGAAGGCATCGGCAAATGTATAAACAAAGAATCATGTGGTTCTACAACGACACTGGAGGAGCCATATAATTTGAAGATTGGATGAGTTATGTTAAGCGCTCGGCAATTGTGTCACCGCTTGCTGAGAATGGCCAGTAGCAACTGAGGGAAGAGTGATGATTACTAGTTAGGAAAAAAAGTAAAGAAACTAAAGAAAGGAGAGAACGAATGAAAGAGAGAGAGACAGAGAAAAAGATAAAGAAAGAGAGAGGGGGGGAAGATAGATAGAAAGAAAGAAAGAAACTAGGTAGTCTGTTGTCTACGGCAAATTTACTACCGCAAAGTTTCAATCTTTTGGTATATCCTAACCTTAGTTACTTCACATGTGCTCATCTAACTAGCCGTCGCTTTGCGTGGTGTGGGCTTTGTTGACATACAGCAGCCAGTCTGTTGGCCATTTGATAAACAGAAATGCAGTATAGTAGGCGTCTTCATCATCGATGCATTCTATATAGATTCTTTGAACTATAAAATCCCGCATATACAGCACTAGGTGCTTTGTATTGTCCATTCCAGCTGTTAAGGATAAAGCCCACGACACTAACCAGGTATGCATAATGCTGTGCTTCCCAACACTATCGACTTCATACATGAGAGTCTTGGCTGTTGTAGCCGCTGATGTCAGATTGAGGTCGGCATCAATATTGATCCTTCCTAGTACGGACGACTTTGCTTTATACCCAAGTCTCAGCTGGCATAGAACTCTTGAAAAGCTGCGTTTCTCACTCATGAGACTCCATAAGATTGCCTGGTTTGTTAGGCATTGCTGATCAGCTAGCAAAGCACGAAAGCAGGCTTTCTTCGAGACACGAACCTGAACTTGCTAATGATAAGAACATTGACAAGAACTAACCAGGGATTTTATATCATACATAACGGGACCACATATCACGCTCGAGTCCTTGAATCAAGCAACAGATACTTATCTTCGTTGCTGTAGCCTTGGGATGAGTAATGTATTTATACTCGATTAATCAGACACTGCTTGATGCTACTAAGCCCGATGCAAGATATAAAATGGAGAACAAACGATTAACTATTTGCTGTTGTGGCCATTGTGAAGATAGTATTTCCAAGTGCAGACAACCCGGGCCCTATTCGGCCGGAGACCCCAAAAAGGGAAAAGGAGAAGAAAAAAGGAGAAGAAAAAAGGAAAGAAGCTTCGGTATAGTTAGACTTCAAGTTCTCCAATCAACCGCGTAAGACGTTCGTAAGAGTTTTCTCAGATGACAAATCTACACGTAGCATCACTCTTAAGTAAGCTACTGTACTAAGTATATTATCTTTCGAGAACGAGTTCGGCTTCCTTCCGCACCATACTATGTAAGAGCGGAATAGATTGATCAATTCATTTGATGTATCTAACCTAAGTAAGTGTTCAGCAGCAAGGCACAATAGAAGGAGGATGGAATTTGACGGTGAATACCTTGGCAGAGGCTGAAGAGATTCCCCTTCCTTGGCTATTGCGACAACCCTTCCCAATATCGTGAAAGAATCTACCAGGCACCTACTTAGATATTTACAAACCTAGCAGGTAAGTAGGCTGCTTGGGTTTAGGGTGATGTATTCGTGATCTAAGAAGTCCCGCCACCTAGGCAAACCCATTATCGAATCGTTGTTGGATAGACTACTAACCGAAGCGACCCGTAAGTATTACGTTGGAAACTAATTAGAGCCTCAAAAGGCATATCAAAGGATCTAACACAGAACGAGATTATCAAATTATTCCAACGGGATGGTTAAACCGGGGTATGCTGTAACGGTCCAGGCCATCCATCGTTACCCTGCCCTATCAGCCAGCCTGGTCTTTCCCTCCCCCGAATCTTGGGTAATGGATCCGTACACTAAAATCTACCATCTAGTCGGGATGTTAGGATGTTAATGACTTCATCTCAAGGAACCGTGCAGCCGCCGTGCAAATCGGAATTTGAGGCTGAAAAGGTGTGGGTCGGCTCAGGGGCATTCCATGGGCTCGGGGGCTATATCAATTTCGGTTCGAGAAATAGTTCATTTTCTTAGTCCTTATGAACCTTAGAATATGATTGTAGTTTGGTCCTGATCTTGGTCCAAAGGGAGCGCCAACCCTTCGGTAACGCGATTTAACTGACCTTAGGCAGCACCTACAATTTACCACCAGTCTTATCCGCACACCCATTATTATCCCACCAAAATTGCCAAAACTTACCAACTTCATTATCCATTTAAAAGTGCAAAATAAATCGTAAAAATACAGATTCTAATCTAAGATTATAGAGGATTGCTTTAAATTATCACCAAAATGTGTTTTAATATATTATATGGTACGTAATGTACTTTTATAAAGCAAAAAAGACAAAGGAGAAAACTTCCCACCTAAAAATCTCAAAATTATTAGAAGACAACAATATTTCAACTTCACTGACACTTTATTAATAAAGTATTAGATTAATAGCAAATTCTTCACTTTAGACTAAAATATATCCTAAATGTCTACTAGATTGATAATTTTTAAGATTTTCACATATTCTTTTAATATTATTCAAGAGCTCCTAAAGTTGGTGAGTTTTGGTGGGATATTAGTTAGGCGTGCGGATAAGATTGATAGGTAAGTGTACCATATGTATCAGTAACCCAGCTAAGCGACGTTCATGATCTAGAATGCCTACTGCTAAATGTCTTCAGATACTCTATTACTATATACCTACCTATGTTCACCAGAGCATATATTTACGTATGTCTCTGTATCAGTGCTTAAATTTGGAATGCTACCTGGAAAGTGAAGTACTATGTTCACAGTGCAAAGTTTCATTGTTGCGTCGTGAGTCCCGTACGAATATAGATGTATAACGTAGCTGCCTAGCACCGCGTGAGCCCTATTTCTGGATCCAACTATAATAGATAGGCGGCGATGCCATACAAACTACGATGGTGGCTCATAATAGGCTAAGTCCCGAGGTCCTTTTCGGCCGACCCCAGAATTTTCATTCCGAGTCAACTTGTAGCTGCTACTCGTCGTTCTGGAGAGATGTTCTAGAAATATGAAGGAAGTTTCCATGCAGAGTTTCCAGCTCCTGCTACGATTAACTCAACTCGTTCGAAATGGACTCGCAAGCTACCTCCCAAACCCATATCGATGGATTGGCATTGAGCCCGAAAGCTATAACATCTTATGGACAGATATTGGCACTAGTGGCCTTTCTTGTAAGGCTGAATACTAGATTCGATAGTGGTAGAAGCTGAAACTAATACTCGGGACTAGTCCGTGATCTATACTGGTAGTCATATGATCTATAACCTGTACTTACACCCTCTTAAGAAGTTCCCAGGGCCGTTCTGGGGCCGTTCGACACTGGTAAGTAAACCTACGAAGACATTAGACCGTGCAATAAACGGTGGCACACTGGATATAACTAACACATCACCCAGCTTTGGCGTTTCTATCACTCGACCTCAGGCCGCTTCCACCGCCGTGTACAGGAACAGCACAAGATCCACGGACCCGTAGTCCGTGTCTCGCCCAGCGAACTTTCATTCGCCAGTATCGAATCCTACAAAGACATATACGGCCACGCAACCGTAGCACGTCAGGCGTGCATGAAAGGCGAGTTCTACAGAATATTCGGAAGCGGCTTCAAGTCAGCATGTATCGCCACGGAACGAAATGCCGTCGAGCACGATCGCATGCGCAAGGCGCTCTCCGGGGCTTTCTCGATGAGGGCCCTGATTGAACAAGAAGACATCGTCAGAGGCAATATCGACGCCTTTATCAAGCGTATTGGAGTTGACGGTGGACCTGACTCGAAAGGACTGGATATGACGAAGTGGTTCGAGATGGTGTCTTTTGACATATTGGGGGACATGGCATTCGGTGAAAACTTCGGTAGTATTGCTCGAGGTGAGTGAGATTCTTTATTTGGAATTATTCGTCGTGGAATCACGCAACTTACTCGGATGCTTCAGGGTCTCCTCACCCCTGGCAGGAGATGTTGACGGGACACCTCTATGCCACTGCCTTCGTAGATATGCTTAGGAGGTATCCCCTATTCGTCACGCTCGGCAAACTGGTCATGCCGTTGACTACGTCTATACAAAATAAACATACGGCACTTAGTCGAGAAAAGGTTGCACGGTATGGTCTCGTCGCCCACTATTGTCCGCATAACGAGACGAGGTCCATTGCTAATGGGAGCTAGTCGCCTCAACTCAACAAACCCACGAGCAGATTTCATGTCCCATCTCATCAAGAAACTTAACGAAGGCGAAATGGACATGGAAGAACTAACAGCACACGCCTCTACCCTGACGTGAGTTTCCTTACCCGAGCTACGATTAACTAGTCGTTTCGCTGACTTCCATAGCGTTGCCGGCGGCGAGACTGTCGCGACAGCCATGGCCGCAACCACATGGTATATCCTCCACACACCCCACGCGCTCGCCCGTCTCCAGAGCGAGATCCGCGGCGCCTTCCTCACCTACGCGGACATAACTGCGACGCGCGCCGGGCAGCTCCGATACCTACAGGCCGTTATCCAAGAGGGCCTGCGCATCTTCCCCCCCGGATCCCGCGGCTTCCCCCGTACCTCGCTTGGCGTGGAGGTCACTGGCCACTATGTTCCGCCTGGCACGGAGCTGTACACCAGTGGATGGACACTGACGCACGACGAGAAGAACTTCCACGACCCGTTTGCGTTCCTGCCGGAGAGGTGGATCGACCGCGAGTGTAAGGATCTGAAGGAGGCGAGCCAGCCGTTTGCCGTTGGGCCGAGGGGCTGCATTGGGAAGAAGTAAGTGCAAATCGGAGTCAACATAACAACCCACTAGACTGTTATACCTAGACTAGGGCTGACTTTGGCAAAAGCTTCGCATACCTAGAGCTCACATTGATCCTCGCAACGCTTATCTGGACCTATGACATGGAGTTGGTGGACAAGGAGGCGGGCTGGGAGGAGGATAGCAAGGAGCATGTCTTTTGGACGAAGCCGCCGCTCATGATTCGATTCAGACCCGTCCAGCGTGATGCGACGTGATGGACATACCGGATAACACGTGTCTAGGTTAGTAGGTGTCTGATTCTGAATAGCTCGGCGTTTCGAATATTTGAAGTTTCAATCCCAACGTATTGTCTTCGAAAGGGTTAGTTATAGGCTATTTAAAGAGGTTGATCATTGTTATTTTGGATGATACTATTTTGGATGCTACTGTTGATAGGTATTGCTAGGCACTACGTATGCATTTGATACTAATTGATAGACCGTGGGCTGTAGGTACACATGAGAAATTCGCCCTCTTACCTGCGTGTGTTCCTAAAACGGCAATTCCACCAGAAAATGATTGGATGTGAGTTAATCTTTCTCAATCGAACCCCTGCAAATCTCCACTAACTGATTTTTAGTACCTACTATGTTTGTACTACTGGTAGTAACTCTTAAACAGTCTCAAAGAAAAACACTCTTGTGTTTTATGCTTTTCGATACGATAAATTTCATTCAATACGAAGTAAATAGATTGGTCGTAAATGTAATTATTTGACCTATGTATTGTACATATGCCGGGTCTGATTAAAGGTATAAGGTGTAAAACTGTGCCACTGCGCATCCGGTTCAATTAACTAAGGTTAGCAAAGTAGGCTGTATATTACCGACCAATCTGTTCGGCGCAGCAACCCAGATCCGCTGAATGATCAACCTAGCCGTCGAAGCGCCGTGTGTATTTTCATGTAACCTCACAATTGCTGTTTATGTCAATCCCTTAACCTAGTACTATGCATGGAGTGCTTGCCGTACACGCGACAAATCCTTGACATGGCCATCTGGAGTCCTCCAACTGCTTTTCTTAGGTACCTAGGAGGCCCACGTTGGGGGTTACCGCATTGACTCCCGAGCCCGCTCTAAAGAGGGTTTCTTGTCAGAGATCAAGACACTGCGTCACCTTTTATCTTTGTTTTTTATTTCCTTTCTCGTCCTTCGGTCGCTCGTTATTTAAACTTGGCCTACGAAGTAGTCCTATGTGAATGCTTGGATACGAGTATTTCGGGATTCATGCTAACCTTAACTACCTAGTGACAGAGGAATGGCAATTACCAATCTGTATTATTCTACACCCTCAACAAAGTATTACCATGTTGAAGGCTGAGGACCAAAATATGGTCCAAGTATATTCCAATACCAACGTTTCTATGTGCAGATGCGATGCGCTCTTCCCTATTGAACGAAAATAAGAACGAATCAAATGTATTAGCTTAGAAGCAAGCCGCCGAAGCCAATCGTGTTGGTGCTTCATATTTAAATCATATCTAATTCGTCAAAAAATCTACCGTCGTACGCGCTGCTGAAAAGAGATGAGGCCCGATTATCATCATTATGTACATTATCATGCGCGCGGTCTACTACCAACCTAGGTACTACGTAATTAATATGTGTGGCGATCGCATGATGCAATTCGCATGGTGATAGATAGGCTGAACACCAACCCCGCCAGCCCGCTCAGACGAAAAATTCCTCTGGAAGGTAAGGGTCCCGTTTGCAAATCATTCACAATGTCTCTATGCTAAACATGGGCATTTGCGTAGTCATGTACACTACGATAAATACATGTACATAGTATAGTTACATTTAGGTAGAACGTAGTACGTATTCAAACAAAAAAACTGGCGATGGTCAGGGCATTATTATTGTACAAAGTCTATTGTCCTACTCTGGTTTGTTGCACGCCTAAGATCAACAGGGGGTTTTGCTTCACATTGGGAAACACCAGGCAACTAATGCGGCCGTTGAAGTGCAGTGGAGGAAACAAACTAAGCCCGGAAACCAATGATGAAGTTTGATCATCTAGGGTGCTAAGTAGCTATGCAGGGTCCGGAGTGAGCCGAGAGGGTGGAATTCTGCGGATCAGGCGAAGATCAATCCCGTCTGGGAATGCCTCTGGGCACAAAATGCCCCTCGATACAGCTGCCAAGGCCAGTTTCAGGGAAGATGAAACCACGGCTGTGCCCAATACTCGGATCATGACTTCAACTAAGCAATCTTGAACGGGTTCATCGGCAGCAAGGGTCTCAGTTTCCCTTCATACTTCCAAGATGAAGTCCCCCTTCCCCAGCTTCTGGAAAGAATCTTTCTTTCGTTTCGTCTATCTTCAATTCTATTCAAAAATCCTAAAAAAACAATAGGTCCCTATCGATGTGAGTATCCCGGAGATAGCATCGCACCATTCTTTTTTTTCATCAAATTTCATTCTTTGGACCTGGTGTTCTTTGTTTTATCAATTCACGATGGCTGGCCTTTTAAGTGGTGTGGGTAACACTTTGGGTGATACTTTAGGAGGATTAAGCGGAGGCCTCTTGGGCGGGAATGATGAGAGCAACGAAACTGGGAATACCAACAACAGCAACACCGGAAGCAACAATAGTAACAACAACAACAATGATACTGGGAATGACAGCAGTAACAGTAATGACGACGACGACACCACCAACAACAGCGAAACCGACAATAGTGGAGATGCGCAAACAGCGACATCTACCCAGGGCACTGGCAGAACCGGCCAACAGACCACTGCTACTGCGACATCGATTGGTGACACCGTAGCGACATCAGAGGCAGATAATTCAGATGAAGACTCAGATGAAACCGGATCAAACACCCAAGCTTCTACTACAACTGCCAACGCAGTAACAACAACGTCGCGCGCGACACAACCCACAACCACAGCTGTTGCTCTCATTCCCTCCAGCACCGAAACTACAGTAGAGGCTACAACCTCGGAGACAACGGCCGAAGCGAAGCCGGACACAACCTCCGTGATAGCCGCAGTCCCAACAACGCTTGCGACATCTACCAAGCAAGCCACCCCTACCGTCGACAGCATTGCGACAAGCCTCAGCATCCCGGAGCCAACCGGCACGCTCCTGAACACGGCAACGGCACTCTCCACCACATCAGCAACTCAGGCCATAGCGTCCTCTTCGGCGAACCCAACGGCTTCCCAGGGCGCCGTAGCCGCCGACGCGAACTCGCTTTCGCAGAAGCAGCCGACGGAGGACAGCGGGATGATTGGCGCGCTGCCCGTCGCCGCCGTGGCTGGCATCGCCGGCGGCGCTGGCGGCCTCATCGTCATTCTCTTCACGCTTTTGATCCTCCGGCGCGTGTGGCGCAAGCGGCGCAACGGGAACGACGAGGCGCTGGCGCGCCTCGACCACATGTACGATGCGGAGAAGCCCATCTCGATGGAGTCGAACGACAGGCAGATGCGCTGGGACAGGGGCTTGTCCGAGTACCACAGGCCGTCTGATAACAGCTACAAGGCGTATCGGATGTAATACGGCGCTTGAGAAGCGAAAGAGGGGGGAGGGGAGAGAGGGGGAGGAAAAGTCAGAGCGGTGGGGTTGTCGTCGCAGTTCAAAATAAATATCCATATACCATACTAAACTTTAGAAATTCACTTAGTCTAGTCGCTACCATAGTTATATCCCTTTGCTTGTAATTTTATCATTTTCCCGCCATTGACTGATGGATGACTTTGGAATCGGTGATCGCATTGTTGATTACTGGCCGTCTACTGAGATCAGTGGATGGACAATTATGGCAAGTAGGTATGAACATCTCTAGTCAAAGTTTTCATCCTTAGATCTCTTCTTTTAACATAATACTACAGGTCCTCCCACACTTATCAGCGCCCAGTATTTCATGCCTGTCTTTAACATTCTACTAAAAACTCCCAGGCGATTCTATAATAGAAGTCTTCTGATATGTGCCAAGTTTCTATTGGATATTCCAGAACACCATGGCAGCAGTCCAGGGTAGATGCCTAGGCTCACTACATCATGCTGCAGCACGACAAGCAATTCCCGAGTCTCCCCGCACTGATCCCTACTCCGATCTCTACCTACATATTATGTAGGCAGTACACATTAACAATGTGAGAACAGACAAACCCTTCAATACATGGCATCGGCCTAAATGCAAAAAGGAAAAAAAAGGGAAAAAAATGACTGAAGTGGTACGGTAGTTAAATCGCGATTTCCTCCTAGGGGCACGAACTAACGGGCCCATTCAGAACCCAGCCGTCGTGCTCCAATCCATCCGAAACATCTTTTTCGAAGACCGCGAGGTCCCCAATCTTCGAGACGAGTATGACGTACGAGTCCATGTAGAGCAGACTGGCATTTGCGGAAGTGACGTGCACTACTGGCAGCGAGGGCGCATCGGCGACTTTATCCTCACCAGCCCCATTGTCCTAGGGCACGAGAGTGCCGGGACGGTGGTCGAGGTAGGTGCCAAAGTGAGGAATGTCAAGGTGGGCGACCGCGTGGCAATTGAGCCGGGCGTCCCTTGTCGAAGGTGTGTATCAAATCACTCAGTACCTACCTACCTAACCGACCCCCCAACCAACCATCGCCTTTTCTCTACACTACCTACCCAGACGAAGGGGGCCATCCGTCCATTCTTTACTATTCTCTTTCACCCGTACCCTACCTAAGATACGTACCCCCCACAGATGCTCATACTGCCGGTCGGGCGCCTACAACCTCTGCGCCGACACCATATTTGCCGCGACGCCGCCCTGGGACGGCACGCTCCAGAAATACTACGTCGTCGCCAGCGACTTCTGCTACCCGCTGCCCCCACACTTTAGCGCCGAGGACGGCGCGCTCGTCGAGCCCGTCGCTGTCGCCGTCCAGATCTGCAAAGTGGCGGACCTGCGCGGGGGACAGACCGTCCTCGTCTTTGGCTGCGGGCCCATCGGCGCACTGGCCCAGGCTGTCGCGAAGGCGCAAGGCGCGAGGAAGGTCGTTGGCGTTGATGTGTCTAAGTCGCGCGCGGCTTTGGCCAGGGCGTTTGGCGCGGACGAGGTCTTTGTTCCTGAGTGGTCTGAGGAGCCGTCCGTGGAGGCATCGCGCGGAATGGCGGAGCGGATTGTGAACCAGTTCGGCCTGGGCGACGGCGCGGATGTCGTGCTGGAATGTACGGGTGCGGAGTCGTGCATTCAGGCTGGGGTGTTTGCGGCGAGGAAAGGGGGCACGTATGTCCAGGCTGGAATGGGTAAAGAGGTGAGTTGTTTTACCTTACCTTGGATAGGTAGGTAGGTACTATGTAGTACCTAAAGTTGGATACCTCCAACTACTAAGTACATACCTATCTAGCTGCCCAGGTGATCTATGGTTGTGGTTTCGTGGGCTAAAGAAGAAACTAGAACGTCGTGTTTCCAATCACGACCGCTTGTATACGAGCCTTGAACGTCAAAGGGTCTATTCGCTACACGGCGGGATGTTACCCTTCTGCCGTGGATCTCATTGCCTCTGGGCAGATTAACCCTCGTTTGCTAATCACGCATCGATTCAAGTTTGAACGGGCACTAGAGGCGTTCGAGCAGGTCAGGAAGGGCCGAGAAGATACTTTGAAGGTCATTATCCAGGGGGTACAGTGATATCATCTCTTTTTTTTCTTGACAAGTGACCTCAAATTTTCGGGAAGTTCTTCCGTTTTCAAATTTCTCGCTAAAGCTTCTACAACTAAATCTCTGAATATCATCCGCAAATCTGTCCGAAAAGCCCACTTTGCCTGAGGAGAAACCTTGGTGGGAAGCTTTAATTGTGGCTCCTTGTGTCCGAATGGTGCCGGGAGTGTACAATATCTGATTGGAGAGGGTAGAAGCGTTCCCGCCTGTACCTAGGGATGCATCCCCGTAGTCTATCTATAGCCTCGATCTCGGTATGATGTATTCCATTCTCCGCACGAATGCAACGCCGAGCGCATTTCACATGCCAAGACCTTAGGTATATTTTGGTTGCCATGCCCCCCCCCCCCTTTAAATCGTCATACCGAGTGACTTATACATAAATGATATCTAACCATACAGACAAAGAACTATTCTTCTACAAAAATCTTTACACTTGTCATCGTCACTATGGTTCTCGCACCCCACCCTAACCCAGACGCGCCGGTGCTGTCGCACTTCAGTCTCGCCGGCAAAACTGCTTTCGTCACTGGTGGATGCCGTGGTATCGGGCTCGAAATTGCGCGGGGGCTGTCCGAAGCCGGCGCAAAGGTCGCCGTGACCTATTCCTCCACAGCACCAGAGGCAGCCGACCAGATCGCCCAGAACATATCCCTTGCCAACGAGGGGCGCCTAGTCAAAGCGTACAAGTGCGACGTGCGCTCCCCCGCCGACGTCGAAGCCGTGATACAGACAGCCACCCAGGAACTAGGCAACGGCCGCCTGGACATTGTAGTGGCGAATGCGGGCATCGCCGACGGCACCCCCGCGATAGACTACGCCGCGGACAAGTTCCGCGACATGTTCGACGTCAACGTCAACGGCGCGTTCTGGACGGCGCAGGCTGCGGCGCGCGTGTTCGAGCGCCAGATGAAGGAGGACGGGAAGCCGTTCCGCGGCTCGATCATCTTCACGGCCTCCGTGTCGGCTACGCTTGTCAATATTCCCCAGAAGCAGGCGCCGTACAACGCGAGCAAGGCCGCGCTTGTACACCTCGGAAAGTCGCTGGCGGTGGAGTGGGTTGATTTCGCCAGAGTTAATTGCATCTCGCCTGTAAGTTGTTCCCCTAATCGCCATCATTATCCTCGATTGTTGATTGCATCATGCTGACGTGATTTTACCATAGGGGTTCATCGAGACAGAGAGTGAGTATCGCGTCGTAGTGTGCTAGTAGCTAGGTGTCGCTAACAACGAGAAGTGCTTGATACGCATCCGCGCGAATGGAGGGCTCAGTGGACAGAGATGATTCCCGGTCGTAGGTTCTGCTTTGCATCAGAATTAAAAGGGGCCTATGTGTTCTTGGCTAGTGATGCTAGTAGCTACATGACGGGTAAGTATCATGGATATCCTGTTGCAGGGTAAACACTGACATGAATCGCTAGGATCTGACATAATTATCGATGGGGGTTATTGTCTACCATAGGTGCCTAGGTTAGTAGTTTATTGGGAAGCTGGTGCGGTGTTGTTAATACTATTCTTCGACGGCGTCTGCGAATACTGGTGATGCCTACTTAAGTAGGTACCTAGTACCTGCTGGTATTGGACCATACCATTTACTGAGGAGTTTAAGAGAAATGAGTGTATTTATAGAGTACCCAAACTCAAGTTTTAACGTGTTTCTCGTCATCCAATTTATCTTATTCAAGCAAACCCGATCTGATATGTGACCCTACCCCTAACCCTGGCATCAACCCCAACCCCAACCCTGACCCGGTGGAACGTTACACGATAAACGAAGCAGTGAAATCTGAGCCAAAATACTCAAACATGAAGACTATTATACAGTGAATAAAAGAAGAAATCTACCGAGGAAGTCATGCCGGATCAAGTCGAAGTGCTTGAGTTAAGTTAACCCCTTTTAATCGCATGCCCCTACCATTACCCCTTAACTACCTAGTAACTACCTAGTACCTAGCCCAGGCTACATCGCAAGCGGCGAGCACATGAAGAACCATTCTTCTTCTACCTTTTCGCAAAGCTGTGGGGGAATCGTATTTTGTTTATTGTTCCCACATCTAAGCGACGGAAAATCCGATACCAGCCCCCCCCCCCCCCCTATTTCGCCGCCCCATCATCCACGAACCTCGCCCCCCCTCAATATGCACAGTCTCCCAGCCAACCTTAATATGCCCCTTCTATCCACCCCACCTCCGCATCGCGCCTCACCGTCGGGTACCCCGGATCACTTAACAGCCCCCTCACCACCTTGAAGCTGGGCACGTAGTAACTACGTGCAGGTGAAGTGCGTGCCTAGAATTTTTCCACCCGGGGCGCGTTGCGGCTACGAGGGGGGTGTACTGGGTTACCATGAGGCTGGGGTGTAGGTCTGTGGGTTTGGATTAGTTGGGACCGTGGTGGGTTGGGGGGGTTTACACTGGTGAAGCGAGGCACGCGGTGTTAGTGTACCAGCGCGGTCCACTTGGGGAGGATCTCCTCAAAGACGTGCGCCTCGAAGGCCGAGTCGGAGACGGGGTCGTCTTTGTAGTGGTAGGCGTCAATTTTGAGGAATTGCTTTGATGCCATTGTTGGTTCTCGTGGGATAGGGGTGGTGAAGGAGGTGCAGTATATGGTGTTTTGGTGTACAGCAGCGATGTGGAAAGATCGCTGTGACAAAAGCGCAGGAGGTTCAAATATACTTCACGGCGGCTTCTTTATAGCTTACCTACCTACTATTAATTTCCCCGCATCGGTAGGGCTCTAGTATTTAGGAGGCCAAGAAGCGTGAGCAAGGGGTTGGATGCAAAGGTCTTTTGATCGATTCATTGGATCGGCGTAGGCTACGGCATGTTTGCAGATACTGAATCGAGATAAATAAGAAGACTATATCATCGTAGACTGTACCTATGAAAAGGGGATCTGGGTCAAGCCAAGGGCGCGATTACGTCTGTCGTTAAGTAAGGACTAGATAGAGCACGTTACGTACATTTTGCCATCATAGGCGACAGCCATACAAATACGCTTATGCGCTAACCTATAACAACTACCCCCTATCGTCTGCTCTTCTTCGCATGGGGCCAGTACGTCTACCCAAGGACTTTTCACACGGAAGACATCAAGTTTATCTAAGCGACCCAGCTTTCTTAATAGCAGATACTTTTCCCCGAGTGTGGAGCTGTCGTAGTCATTGTTGGACTTGTCGTCATCACATCCGAGTCTTCCTATGCTGTTTTGCGAAGCTGGGCACTTCTTATTGGCGATGAGGAAGGTACATCATTTCCTCACGTCAGCATGGCATGGGGCCTGTTATGCTGGGTATCCTACCTATGTATGCTACCCAACTATCTTCTCATCAAATAATCAATACCCGTAGATACCTAGGTACTGTTTGGCTCGGTTCCGATGCGGGAGCAGAAAAAGGACGGTACCCGAGACACTCGGTACTTTCAAGAAGCACTGGTAATATAGGTAATATAGACGATCAGTGCTACTAATGACTGATGGGTTGGGTAAGTTTATGTAAATTTCTGTCCTGGAGGGATATCCTAGTATTACTTCTAAGATCTATGGATAATATGTGACCCCTTACCAGCCTAGTAGGTAGGTACTGAATGCAATACTTGGCCTGAAGCCTACCTAGTAGCGTGAGGGGTTTGATCTTATGGGCCATGCCGATTGCCATGATCTCAATAGATAATTAAGGGTTTAAGAGAAATAAAGTGTTCAAATACCAGTGGTGATTAGACATCTGCCTTATCGTTCGAGTCGTTAGAAGGTGTCGGACGCCCAAAACATCGGACACCGAGACATCATTAATCCTCTCGGGGGGTCCCAGAGTATACGCAACATAAAAACACCATAGTAATACGCAATTACCTTGTTCGATGGATCCCTATCACACACCGGATGAGGTTTCTTAGTAGATCCTTTCAGCTTCACCTAGGTATCAAGGGGGTCTGGGTACCTAGGCAGTCATCCCATCCTTCACATCCTACACTTACCCGTTTTAGTGATATGCTTCTTGTCGCGCGATTAGATCATGATTTATTCATCACTCGCACAAGATAGTACATTTTTAGTTCATTGGTAATGATTTGTTATCGTATGGGTAATGCTGAGCTATTGTGTTCAGGGAGAAGAAGTACAGCAGAGATCTGGTAGGTAACCTGCGGCCCCGAACGCTATCACGCCAGTTCCGCTTCAATAAGGCTTTCCGATCCCATTTCATAGCTATAAATCTTCGTAACCTTAAACCCAGCACGCTGTAATATGCTCTCCCAGTGCCCCTGCGTGCGCTCCCCCATCGCGCCAAGAACAAACACGAGCTGGTCCATCGACGTGACCGGCCACGACGCATTCCGATCCGGGACAATGATCTCGTTGATCAACAGCCTCGAGTACCCCGGCCTCAACGCCGGCCGCAGCTGTTCCAAGATCCGGACACAGTCATCGTCGCCCCAGTCATGCAGTACCGAGTGGAGATAGTACGCGCGCGCGCCCTTCACAGGCTGCGGCGTGAAGAAGTCGTGCGCAGCGGCCTCGAATAACGCAGATTGCCCAGAAACAGTGGAGATAACCTCGGCCCGGTCCTGCAGGATCAGCTTGCCGGGCAGAGAAGGATGCTTACCCCTGAGCTCCTGGAGATCGTGGCCCAAGCCGCCCCCAACGTCGACGAGGAGAACGCTACTTCCGTCAAACCCGTCGACCAGGCGCTCGGAGACGGGGTAGAAGCCCGGATCAACCCAGGAGGGCTTCCCGGCGCGGTATGCTGACATGTAGTTGTTGAAGATCTGGAGATAGGGCGGGTTCTGGTCCAGCCAGGCGAAGAATGGCAGTTGCGTCTTGTGTGCGGCTTGGAAAGGCCCGTCGGTCAGCTTCGTGGGAAGCGCGTAGTTGATGCTTTTCAGGTATTCTGGCAGGTCGCGGAACGAGGGGCCAGCGACGTCGTATCTGGGAAGAAGTAGGTGTCAGTCTCTGAGTTCGGAGTGATCAGGAAGCAGGCTTCACTTACGTGTAGATTAGACCATCGCGATATTTTGGTTCCGTGAATGCGTTACTCAGTCTCGTTCCAATATAGTTATCTGCGCCGCTTTCCGCAACAATATTCATAGCCGCGAGATGCTTTAGAGTCCGAACTTGGAGGCAAATCAGTAATTTAAGTCGTAAAGTAAGAAGCGATAGGTGGATCTACCAAGTAAGACCTCGTCGGCTTTGGTCTTTTCAGCCAAGTCCTTTGCGCTGATACCATGCTCGCCACTTTCCTTCAAGTGTTCAAATACATTAAGATCCACGGCGATGCGACAATGAGCAGCTCTGGCAGGCTACCATGCTCGTCTTTGGTTAGCGCCTTCATTTCTACAGAGTCATGGCAACACACACCTCAGCCCATCCCATCCGCTGAATAGCCTCGCTGGGAAGCTCTAAGCTCGAAACCAAGGCATGCCCAAGATTCAGAAGCTGCTCACGAGCTCCAGGTTTGTTCTTGGCATACGCAGCGCGGGCAACTTGCAGTTGCGCAAGGATATCATCTGGTTTGGATGCCATATTGAAGTCTGCGGCGTGCGGCGGCACAGGCTTTTAGTGGGGTGGAGAAGAGAAGTTGGCCCTTTTTAGATAGAAATTGGTTGGATATTGCGAGAGAACAGATAATGTAGAGGCCAGAGCTATCCAGAGAGCTCGTGATTGATAGCAAGTCGACCTGGATCATCTAGATTCAAGGAAGCAGGCCTTGGGTTTACTGCAATGAGATTATAACGGAGCTTAGATACTACTACAGTTTAAGGAGCTGATGGCAGCTTATTGGATTAGTAATTACTATGTAGCACAGAATAATCCTTTATACTACGACGTAGGTACAACGTAACCAAGTTCTCTCTATTCGCTTACCTATGTACACCTACAATTTGGCCCCCATGAGTGATAACTCGCTTACATTTTGTTACCATATTTAAGCTTATTTTCTATGTTTGTAGTTTAGGGGCGGCAATCAATGATCTGTGCCACATTAGCCTCCATGGCCAACTGCTCAATTGTTTCGGTGGTGATAGGTTAGATATTTACAACCTAGACAGTAGGCAAGGGGCTCTTTGGAGAACCCATGTTGAATAGATGTCATATCTGTGCGTAGTTGTGTACTTTCTAACATACCAGGGTAAACCAACAAACCCAGGCATATCACATATAATAGACCATGCAAATAGGGTGGGGGTCTAAAAATAGGATGGGACGAAAAGGGGACATGGTAACTAGGTAGCATCTGAGCTTACCTCCCTAGTAGGTGAGGGGCAAGACGAAGATACTACCTACCTTCTACTAGGGATCTGTATGTAAATAACTAAATCAAAAAGCCCTATAGCTATTAGAATAGCGTTTTATGAAAGTCTTTACCAAAACACAACGAGAAATGTCGAGTACGTTGCTTCAGAATAAAACCCCAAGACATGCCCGATCCTCCCATGGCCGATACCTGCTCCTTAAGGCTAGATTGACCAAAGCGACCTGGCTTTTATGGCAATATTGAACTTCATACCTAGGTAAGACCACATCCTCCCATCCTAGTCGCAGCGTGCTCTTAGATGGAGCTGTCTTTTATACTAGTAATGCCCCGTTCTTGTGAGGGGGAATAACTGTCGACATCGAATTGTGGAAACGTTGTGTACTACCTAAGGTATGCTGATACCAGCCTTCATTCGTCAGCGACCCAGCATACGATAGTTACCAGGTTTACCAGGCAGCTTTGTAACCTGGTTGCAGTCTGCCTCGCACGACGTTTATCGTCGCGGGGGCTTCGAAGGAATTAGAAGTCCAAGGCGAAACTCCCCAGATTGAATCCCGAAACCGAGCAGAGTCTTGTCTTGTTCATTGTGAAATGTCTATCATCATTGTCACCTTGCCATCTCTAAATCCCACAATCACACCTTTCCATTTACTATTTTTCTTAGTCTGTGATTTGGATCTCTGCAACTGCTAGGCATCTGGGATTTGGTGGATACATCAGCGATTACTATCTGCAGGTATGCCAAAAATGAACAGTTGCCACTTTTTGGTTTTATGGTCCCTGGTATTCACTACTTCGCCTCACATGCTCGACTCCTAGGTAGGTATCTATTTATTAGTAACCTACGATTTCCAATAACACGTGAAATCTGTATCCTCATCACATATGACTTATGTAAGATGCCCGACAGCCCGACAGTCTGATTATATCCATGTTTGGGTTACATGTAGAGGCAGGATTCACCGAAGCTAAAGAATCCATCGATGGGTATCGAAATGCTCTCCAGTTTCTCTCATTGGCAGAAGGTATCCGAATTTAACATATCAGCGGTAAGCCGCACGCTTAGAGTTTAGAGTGAATATGATGATCCCCCTCACTGCGTAGGTCGTTTCTTACATTATTGAGGCCAATCAACTCGTTCGGAGGATCATAAGCTTAGTTAAGAAGTAGGGTGCCCTCACTTGGCTGTGTGTCGCGCAGGTTCACCTCTACTTATCAAGAGTCAAACTGTACCATAGATGAACAGAAAGCCGCGAAGATGAATGTCGAAAATAGAGGGCCCGAGCTATTAGCCATCATCTGGGTTTTCACGGCCATATCCATCATAACAATCGCTATCAAGCTTGTAACGCGCGCGCATATACTTCATGCCCTAGGCTGGGACGACTTCTTTATCTTTGTTTCTGCGGTAAGCTGAGATTTTGAGTGGAAATACCGCAAGACTCTTTTCTTTTACTAACATGAGCAGGTTCTTGTTGTTATTTGCACGTCTATCTTTACTTACGATGTCTCTCTGGGGATGGGCAAACATGCGTGGGACCTACCAGACCCGCAGGCTCTCAGTTATGCTGTGAAGATCAACTTCATCGCCAATCCTTTTGGCATAATGGCATATTCATTTCCTAACATATCCGTCGCCATTCTTTTAGAACGGTTAATGGCCCCAAATAGACTGCGTGCTATCGGTCTATACACTCTGGTTGGTCTTCAGTGCGTTATTGCGGGCATTTCATGCGTTCTCCTATTTGTTCAATGCACGCCAACGGAGTACCTCTGGAACCCTACAATCCCAGCTGTTTGCCTTCCGCCGGGGACTATCTCTGGCTATTCATATTTTGTTGGATGTAGGTACACATAAGCTACCTTGAGAGTGTATGGGCATCGCTAATTCCATTTGAAACATCCAGCCTTCACTGCAGTTACGGATATCGTGCTCGCAATTGTTCCCGTAGCCGCATTCTGGAACCTGAACCTTCCGACCAAGTCAAAGGTCAGCTTGTGCTTTTTAATGAGTTGCACATTGTTTGCTGCCATCTGCGCCATCATCAAGACCACCAAGCTCTATCAACTAGAGGATCTGGAAGACTTCACGTACGGCACTGTGGACCTTGTCATATGGGCCATGTAGGTTGCCCCCTATCGAGTACCCAATAACCTGGATTCATTACTGACGCATTTACCAGCGTTGAGGCCAATGTGATTATCATCGCTGCTTGCATGCCCACTCTGCGGCCATTCTTCAGTCACACTTTTCATAGACAATCACCGTCCGAAGAAGGGTCTAACCCTAATAAACCAAGGACCGTCTTCAGCCTAGGCTTCAGTTCCACTAGCTCTGCCATGCGCGCGAAAAGAAGCACAAAAGACTCCTTTGCTAGACAGGAACAGGACCCAATGCATGAAGGAAAGTCCTCGAACGACTCTGGCCAAGCAATATGGCGCACCATTGACACAACTGTAGCCTATGACGGTTATGGAAATGCGATCCGCCACGACGCACCTCGCAGAAGTCCGGTCTTCGACAATCCGGCCTATGAGATTCCCATTTACGAAAACCAAACACATGCAATCACCACCCAGGACAGTCGAGTTCACGGATACGTCGTATATGGAAATGCTGTTTGATTAATAAAGTCTTTACTACTTCTGTCATATTATCACCTCACTTATCGCAATACAAGTACATCAAGATTGTCTACTGCAAAAACAGATCGGAGGTTATTTTCTTTCTTATTGATACCCCCTTTATATATAGCAGATAGTTAGGAGTTAAGGTGAACGATATTCAAGGGATACTGTAACTGGATGAGATATATCGCGTTACGTTACCAGTGCAGAATCTTGTGACCTCTGAGTGAAGCAGACTTAACTGTTTCGCCATGATGTAACAGCCACCCCCTAGGCACCTACATAGGGTAGGTAACGATGTTACAGGACGGTCACCCTACCCAAGAAACTACATAGATTTCAACAGCCATGTCATGGGCTTAGTATACAGACTATTTAGGAAATAATCCCGATTCTGACGGACTTGTCAGATAATACTATTTGCGCTAGGGACATAATATTCGTACATGGCTCAATCCCACTTCTTCGCCCCCAGGTACATGGGATTCTCAACCCTGTCGACCCTTATCGACTTAAATGCAACATCACGATAGGTTCCCCCGTCATTAGCATTCTTACATATCTACACTATTATGTAGTACCTCTAAAGACTACGCCGCACACATCCCACACTGATCGTCACCCCAAAACGGCAATCCGCTATTATCGAGCAACAGGGCCCATCTGCCTACCCCCTTGGCTAGACTAGTGGAATCGATGATGGCTCCTCCCGTGCCGCCCGGATACAGAGCTAAATAGGGCGTTTACTATGTATAATCACTCTAATCCAAGCCTTGGTACTCGGGATCTGAAGTAAAGCTATACTGCATCTAGTTCCTTGTGTATGCTAGTGCCAACTCGGCTACCGGTAGGGTAGTGCTCCGCCTAGGAACCATACCAGCGGAATGGTTTATAGGTTAAAACACGATGGAAAAGGGGGAGTCGTGCCATGAAACTATTCATAAGCCACCCCGTCAGCTTGCTGGGTGCCGGGTGGTGTGGTATCATAGGTAGGTAACGATCATCTATACCCGCTTTCGGGTTAGAAAGCGGGTTAGGATTAATATAGGTACGCTTACTCGACTTAGCTGATATCTGAACCGAGGCGACGGGTTACACTTAAATGGTGAGTCTGGAGCTCTATGCTTTTGGTAGATAGGTCTAAGAACCTCATGTGTCTATCTTCTTGAGTTTCGAAATTATTCCTTTCTATCGTTCAGGGTCAGCCAAGATGACCTCTGCGTGGAACAATATGAGCTTCTCCCATTTCCAATTACCAGACACGGCTACTATCTGCTACCTTGGAATAGCTGCAATTTTCACATATGTGTTTTCAACTGCTATATACAACAGATATTTCCACCCGTTAGCAAAATTCCCCGGGCCGTTCTTGGGCTCGCTGACTAGCTGGTATCTTGTCCATGTCATATGCTCTGTTCCGACCTACGGGCTCGAACTTCACAAGAAATACGGTAAGCTGAATGGTCCCTATATTAGTCATATCGAATATTATGCTAACTCATCTACCTAGGCCCAATTGTCCGGCTCGCGCCGAACCTATTGTCGTTCAGTGATGCCACACTCTTGCCACATGTCTACCACCGCTCGGCAGACAAGCCGGCGTTCTACGCATCGTGGATGTTTGGGAAGACGGCAGCGATGTTTCAGTCGCTCAAACACGAAGACCACTACGCGAAGAAGAAGCTGGTTGCCCCTTGTGTACGTCTCTCAATGCACCTATCCCGTTAAGTGGGCTTACATCACTGACTCCTATTCCAGTGTTCAATGACTGCCATGAAAGCAAATCACGAGAGAAAGATAAGCGAGCGCATAGATGAATTTTGCTCCAAGATCCAGAAAAAGTCTGCGTCGGGAATGCCGCTGGACTTCTCTGAACATCTGAGGTGAGATTCTCACCCCCCTAAAGGCCTCACTCAGCCAAATCCCTAACACATTGTCAAATCTTAGATGGTTCTTAACCGACGTCTGGACTCATCTTGTATACGGCGAGCCTAGGGGGTGTGTGACTCAAGACCGCGATGTCGATGGTCTTCTGGGCTCGTTGCAGGGCGTCTATGGGATGTCTGCCGAGGCAGCAGTGATGCCGTTTTTGACCCCACTACTACAACACCCCCTATTGCGGAAGTATGTTTGGTCTCACACCAAGACCTTCAAGCATATGGACAACTTGTTCTCGGTTTGTGATCCGCTTCATCAAGCCCCCTCCTTATGAACTCCACTGATACCTACTGATCATCCAGAATTTCGAGAAAATGTTAGCGCGGCGAAAGCACGACGAGAAGCTCCAGAACCAAAAGCTCTTTTTCGACGAGTAAGCCACACTGACCCCCCAATCACAAAAGCAGCACACCTACTAACAACCCTTAACCCCAGCATCGACCCCTCCAAAAACCCCCAAGAACCGCACTTCTCACCCACCGACTTCAAAGCCGAGGTCATCACCTTCACAGCCGCGACCCTCGACGGCGTCTCCGCCTTCATCTCCCCCTTCCTCGACAACCTGCTCACGCACCCTTCCGCGCACGCCCGCGTCGTCGCCGAGATCCTCGCCGCCGACCGCGCGGGGCGCCTCTCCTCCCCCGTCGCCACCTACGACGAGACCACGCGCCTCCCCTTCTTCACCGCCTGCATCAAGGAGACGCTGCGCCGCGACGCGCCCGCGCAGACGATCCTGCCCCGCGTCGTCAGCGCGCCGGGGTACGCCCTGCTCCGCGGCACGGTGCACGTCCCGCCCGGCGCGCAGATGGGCGCGAGCCCGTACATCGTGCACCGCGACGCCGCCGTCTTCGGCGCCGACCCCGACGCGTGGCGCCCGCAGCGCTGGGTCCCCGGGGAGTCCGGGATGATGGACGCCGGCGAGCACGACGCGTACGTGCGCCGCATGGAGAAGTACGGGATGTGGTGGGGGTATGGGGATCGCGAGTGCACGGGCAAGTACTACGCGCAGATGGAGATGCAGAAGCTGTGCGTGGAGATTTTCAGGCGCTTTGAGGTCAAGAGGCCGGTTGGGGGCGAAGGGTTCACGCATAAGCGGTGGGCGGTGGGGATGTTTTGGGGCCAGAGGCTGGTTTTTAAGGCGCGGGAGCGGTAGGTGAGATACCTGTACCTACCTAGGTAGGGTAGGTAGGTTAGATGGTACTACTGGAGAAGGGAAGGGGGCTTGGTCGGTTGGCTGGATCTTGTGCATTGTAAATGCCCGGACAGGGAGGCTTTTTGAATCGCGTTGTTTGGTGCTGCGGATAGGGGTGGACTCACAATTTGATCGCGTTGTTGTCTTGCGCGTAGTCTATTGATCCACACAAACGGAATGTGTGAGATTATACCGTGTTGCAGTACATCTGCAACCAAGAAGAAGAAAGAGGAAAGGAAGAAAGCTTGCTTTATTCCCAACTACGGATGGCGGAGTGCCAATATATGGCCATAAGGGCCATATGGAGCCTAAGGGTGCCTGAGGCACCTGCAACATACCGTGAGGTAGATACGCCAAGTAGTGAATGATTGACTGTGTATTAGCTCTCTCCAGTGTATGTTAGGCAGTAGCTGTGTAATTGACGTGGTCAATCTTCTCTATCAAGTGATCAAAGCGGTAACGCAAGCTTCGTTGATACCACCATCCAATATACGTCACGACAGTCATGAGCGCGACGCCGACAACACCAGTTGGAACCCACCATTGTCGCGCATAATAAAGTTGCTCGTAGGTATTATCGCCGAAGAACATGAGAGCGTCAGGATTTGTCCATCGATCCCACCAATACGTGGCCTGTGATCTTGTCAGAAATATCTGTCTCAAAAATATTAAGGGGGCAGGGGTGAATAGGGGTAAACGTACAGGGAGTGCGCAAAAGCAGTTGGTTAGAACGTTCGTCAAGGCAGCGACTATACTCATGTGAGCTCTATGTCTTCAAGTATGTCCAATATAGGTACCTGTTTTCGATTGACTTACTCGTTCCTCCGATGCTAGTCAGCGCGCTGAGCGCCGTACAGAGTGCAAAGAAGCAAGACCAAGTATAAGCGAAACACTTTGACTCCGACAGCACATGCCAAAAATGATGGAGTGTCTTTGGTCTGGGGTGATGGTGGATGTACCAACGCGTCGCCCACAGTATTTGAAGAAGCAATTGTGCGACCCCATAGATGAGCAAGATAATTGTACGGCAACCGAAACCTGTTCGTGGCGTATTGTAACTTCGGTTGGAGTCAGTATGAAAGCATCGCGGTGGATCTTGGATCTTAGGTGCTTACCTGACAAAAAGGGCGAAGGTTATTGGTAGGGAGTAAAGGGGAAACGAATAGAGACTAGAGATCCATAGGTCTTCTGCGAAGTGGTTGTCAAGAACCTGTTCACGCATGTTCCGAAGTTGCGGGTAAAAGTCTCCAATGTTTGCAATCCATTTGGCTTTGTTTGATCCTCTGTTCCACATCCACGCGGGCTTGAATGGCGTCTTTTCGAAAGCTAATGTGAACATATGGCTGAAAAGGTGGGATATAAATCTTGGAATGGACCTCAACCTATGTAGACCATTGCTAGAATCGCTCGTGATATCTCCCCCGTTAGTTCCATTGTTGGAGTTTGGACTAAGTAAGAGAATCCCTTCCGAGTTTGTCGACGGCAGCCTATCGTGTAAGAGCAAGCTTTCGGCGATGGTATTTTGCCATATGTACGGGTTGTTTCCCGCAAGGAGAAGGCAGCTGATAAGTGCAACGTGTGGTATTGTCATCCAGAACATACTGGCCGCAAGCTGATGTGCTGTAATGCTATTCTATGGTTACTTAACTATTCTCAAGTGCATGCTAGCTACCTGGGCCTGGGTGGGTAGCCAGGTGGTGACTTACTAGGATCCTAATTCCGCACGAACTTCGTAGACAGACCAGATGTAGGATGCAATGTAAAACATAACAGGCGCCCCGACCGAACTGCCGAAACTGAGTTGAGAGTCTAGCATTGCCCTTAATTTATGTTTGACAATAACGACTCTTCTCCGTTTCTGTACGTCGTTGGATCTCCGGGTGGTATTTCGAGGTAGGCCTTGGACGAACAGGTTACTTGATTGCCAAGCATCAACATCGAGGTTGCCTATCAGAATTGAGAGAAGTGTGTGTGCTCTCTGCTGGACGGTAAGGGAGTTCTCGTTGGTTCGACCTTCCAGATAGGAGAGTACCCGGGCGTCAATGAGTGCTTCATAAGTACCAGAGGTTAGCATTGGACCCGCCACAGAGAATACCACGCATGTCCATATGAGAACATCAAAAGTGATAATCACTGCAGCTAGGGGTATTTTCAAGGCAATAAGGGGAATGTTCGATATGGAGATAGATTTGTTGGAAAACAGTCCGACGGGAAGATCGAGGCGGCGGCGTCGAGGGATATTAAGGCAGAATATAAGAGACGGAAGTATGAATGCAATCATAGGCTTTAGCCATTTATCAAAGTCGTATGAACTTATCACGGGCCATCCAGGGCAATGTGTGTAGCACCACGAGTATGGAACCCAGAATTCTTGATGAGGCGCGTTAAGTGTCCCATTATATGTCGCGCCACAAGGATATCTTGGGAATTCCTCCAGTGTTTCAATCGTGCCAGTAAAGAATGTCTGCCCTGGGCGGATATAAAGTCTGTCATTTTCAACCATAAGGCTTTCGTTGACGACCAGACTGCAGCACATATTCCAGTCTAATCCCCCCATATTCGGGTTGAACTTGGCAGTGCTTGATTTCAGAGTCGATAGATATGGCTGATAGATAGGTACAAGTTCGGTGGAATAGTTTCGGACACCGGTTTGACTCATGGTGGCCCTCGGCCATAGAAGGAAAAGCCACATCAGAGTTGTGAATGGCTGCATCTTGGGACACAAGGTTAAATCATGCCAGGTAGATTGTCAATCCAGACATTTTCAAGGAGGCACAGTTCGAGGTGAACACAGATTTAAGTAGATTGGTTTTCATACGGACGTAAATTGTAAACTGTTAGGGGGCCCGGGGCCGCATGCAAGCTTCAAATGCAACCATGATAGCATGAGTTGGGATATCTCTGTTCCTGGCAAATCTTACCACCCAGTTCATCTCGGTGTATAAAAGAGGTGCCAGGTCTCAGCCAAGCCGAGGTGTTCTAGCGCTGTTCGTTTAGGCACCTACCAAGACAATGTAGCTATTCGTGGAAAAGACAGCCTTGTTTGATATGACGCGGGCGACGCCACGGTTTCATAATCTTGACTTTGGAAGCTGACACTTCCGCGGTATTTATTTCAATCACTACGTCGAAATCAATGTGACACAAGATCTGCCCCCGGAGTAACTGCCCGGATCCGAGGCGTCGCCATGTCCTCACCATTCTTTAATGTTGTTATGGTCCCGTGCCCCTGAGTGTTCTCTGGACAGCCGGGCTTTTGACTGATATCATCTATACCTAGGTATTATTTAGGTCGGAGACTCGTGGTTTTCGAACAGTGCCGTAGCGACTCTGAGACCTTGCCATTTTGGCTACGCCCTCTCCCCGTCTTCTTTTCGATGACGCTCTGCGAAGGTGTTTTTCCAGGCCAATAAGTCACCACCTAAATACGCTAGACCTGCGAGCTCGATTGTCCCTCTAACACGGGTTGACATTGCCTATTATGGTTGAAAGATTATAGTTTCATTCTTATTTGCTGAGTATCGCGACTACTACCTATCATAAATCTCATCATCGACTGGTGCGAGGGCGAACGGTATGTCTCAAGTCACTGTGTTTAAACCCGCTAGCCTACCTAGTATGTATGCCTGAGTGAGTTTACTTCACTCAATCGAAAAATATGTACCGTTTGGGATAGCCCCCATAAGATGGTATCGCTTACTGCTGCTCCTTTGAGTCTGCCCCAATAATAAGCTGAACAACAGCCTGGAACGCCCCGGACGCCTCAAGACTCATATATAATGCAATTGGGGAACTGTATCGCTTGAGTCCATGTCGTCGCGTGCCCAGCGTACATTAGTCCGGGGCGGTTACTCGGCCACCTTTGAATCCTCCTGTCGGTCTGTGCCAGCCCTAATAGATCTGAGGTGTTCGAGCTCTAGTATTCCTCGTGGCAGGGACGAGAGTACCTAACCTAAGGATAATTAGCTGACTTATAGTTACCTAACCTTATAAATGAACTTGGATATCGCGCGATGATTGGTGACCGACTTCCCCACTGATATGTGTGGTATATAAGGCTATATCGTCCAAACTAGCCGATGAAAGAATCATGTGGCAGAAATCTATAAAGACATAGAAGTTGATGAACACCTAAATATTGATTCGACGACGTTCTATAAGGTATATGGGAATGAACCAATGATCTGGATCATAATACGAGGCGCGCAGCACGGCTGTGGGCGGAATAGTCAAGCTTTATGTTGCAGATGCCTCAGGCACCATAGGCTCCACTAGGCCATATATATTGGCACTCGGCCAGTGTAGTCAGGAATAAAGCAAGTTTTATTCCTTCCATCTTCCTTCTTTTTGGTTGCAGTTAATAACTATACTGCAACTCTTTATGACCAGCAAGGGCTTCCTGCTAAGTAGAAAGGATGAGATGCCCAGCCAATTAACTACCAAGGTAGGTAACTTGGGAATGCGCTCAATCAAAGTCATCAACGACTCGGGGCCCATCATCCAAGGCGTGTAAAAACAGGAACGTTGTCATCAACATAGCTACACCCCGGACCACCCACCTCGTAAACGTCAACTCTTCACTCGACAGCTTCCGCATGGCGGCCGGGGGTACCTAGGCCTCTGCGGCTTTTCGAAATGTCATCCAAGAATTGCAATCGGGCATCGCGCATATCTAACCAATCAAGTGCTTTAATTTCTCTTACCTTACCTCCCAAATGTAGCTTGCTTGCACTTCCACTTGCACTTGCACTTGCACACTCAGCGACGAGATCGACAAGCTTGCGAACTAGGAGGCTGAGGTAGCAGCCAAGGCGATCGCGTGCCAACCCTTGCGGATGCCGATCGCGTTTGCTTTGCCCCAGCGGATACGCAAGGTTGGGTCTATCGATTTAACTACCCTAGTACGTAGTACGGTATGATGAACACGCCTAGTTAAAAGGACCAGAAGTGCATCAATAATGGCACCAGGTTGGTTGGCTGGTTGGTTGGGCCTACATATGGCGAAGAAGACAAAACGATGTGACGACTTGGAGAAAGGGAATGGCGATATATTGGGAAAGTCCAATCGTACCGGTACGTAGGTTGGTTGGTACCTGTGAATACGAGACATCGGATTCAGGGGTAAAATACTCACAGTTAAAGAACTGTCTAAAGCACTGTAATAACGAAACATCCCACCCCCCCACGGTCGTATGGTCTCGACTCAAAGGAACCTTTGGATCTTGTATACTGGTACGGCATCGATAGCTTCAAACTCCGACGAGGATTTGCCGTTGAGAGCCTTCTTTTTGACAAGAGGTTGGTGCCAAGAACATTTGTTTTTGTATGGCCTAGTGCAGAGGCGGCTCAAAGAGAATAACATGAGGAAATCTGTACATATGATGGATGTGTAGTGTAGGTATGATGTGTACCTACAGCACGGCGCAGGTGGTGCTAGTATACGTACACCGCAATCCAAATCGGGAAGGTTAGGAGGTTGAGCTTGGGCGATCTCAGCTCGTTTCCAGTTTAGCAATTAGCTAAAATATGCCCAAGTTGCGGTGCGCTTACGTCAACGTCGCACTGGACTGGCTGGTCGAAGGGGGCGATGAGCGCTGCTCAATGCTGTTGATGGCAGCTCCTTCAACGTGATGCGACAAGACTTGCGGGCCGAGCTGACCTCTCAGCTGTCAAGGCTTATGGTACTGCCGGGTTAACCGTGTCATCCCTGGCCCGTCTACCCTATGGTATGGAAAAACGTTACGAGAGCAAAAGGCAATAGGCAACCGGGGTCTTTTTGCATGAAAATGCCAAGTTGTCGGACAAGGCGGTGCTGTTCTTTGCCAGCTCTGGGGTACAGATGTCTTGCTCCACAGCCGACGCCAATTATATAAATAGGTCTGGTATTCTATTCCGCTGAGTAATTATATTGATATATAATATACAAAGCCATCTTTCAGAAGCATCGTCAGTTTTCTATTCGCTTTCATCCTCATCATCGTCATCCACCAACCAACGCATCACCTTATACCCAGAACTTAATTATTTCAACAGCCCAAAACCCGACTAAACCTCATCATGCACGCAAAGCTCGCTTTCCTTCTCAGCTTGGCCGGCAGCGGTCTCGTTGCAGCTTTTGTCCCTGATGACCCCAGCAGCGGCGTGCCTTTTGTCCCTGATGACCCCAACAGCGTGGTAGCGCGTGACGCAAAGGTCCCTGATGACCCCAACAACGTGGTATCGCGTAACCTGAAGGTGCGCCAGACCACCACAAACCCCGGCGGCCCTCTCGAGTCCGCAACCGAGAGCGCCACCATCTCCATCCAGACAGACACCGTCCCGGGCGGCGACGACACCACCGTCCCCGTCCCCCCCGGAAGCTCTACTAGCGGAACAGAGACCGCTACCATCACCAGCGGTACCGAGACTGCCACCGCAACCAGCGGCACCGAGTCCGCCACGGCAACTGGCACAGAGAGCTCCGGCTCCGGCTCCGCCACCGAGAGCGCCAGCTCCACCAGCGGAAGCGGCACAGGGGCCCCTACCTCAACTGCCTCCAGCACCGCGGGTACTCCCACCGGCTCCGGAACCGAGACCGAGACCGCGCCCCCAGCCACCACGCACACCTCCGTCGCAACCGCGACGCCTTCCCGCACCGAGGGCGGCTCCAGCGAGACAGACAGCCCCTCTGAGCCGGCATCGAGCACCTCCGACGGAGCTGCGGCGCCCCGCGAGACCGGCTTTGCGCTTGCTGCCGCCGCCGCCGTCCTTGCGGGCTTCGTGGCCATTTAAATGAGACGTTACTGGTAGGAAAAAAAAAAGTTATGAGTTGGGGCCGTGAGGTACTAATGGTAGATGGGATGGGTTCAAAAGCTGTATGATCATAGTGTGTGTGTTTAAACAAACGCTATCAGAGAATACGGCAGTGGGTTGAATGAAGAAAAAAGAAAAAAAGAAAAGTCTTTCCCACTCGTTACGAAATGAAATATGATGCAAAAAGGATGAAATAGGTGCAGCATGGTACGATATCGCAATACCCAGTTAGGAGTCCATTCAGAATTGAATTTGATGCGGTCGTTTAACACCACGTTGATGCTTGAATGCACGTAGTTGCATGCCATAACTACTATGCTAGGTGCCTAGTTAGTAGTCAGCACATGGTCTTTTCGTGATCTCCAATACCCCTTTCTTAGACTCCCAATTAGTTCGATGTAACCCTACTGAAACTGTTGGAAAGGGGGTATGGTAGTATGGCATTATTGGTACTACGCTTACCCTAGAAAAAGTGTGTACCCCTTTATTCCAGCCGCCATTAAGTAGTATATGTTTATACTACCTACTAGTATTGAATACCTAAGCATACATGTATAAGCACAGCTTTCAAAACACCACTCTACTATATGATGATTTCATCACGAGGATGGGATAATATCTTTGTTTACGATCATAGGCCCTGATCCCCTTTGTCTGGATGTTGATTTGTCCTCATGAAAGCCGTGCCTAGCGTTAAAGATTTCAGATCAACTCGGTCCTTTAAACCTATGATTTACATGAACCACCTCAAAGGGCGAAAATATGAGCTTCATGCACCTGGGTATGACAAGGGGAGATACAAGATTGCCATCGCAGATATTGTTGTCGCCAGAAGAGAATAAGTACAGACTGCATATAATGCGTAGCTATTTGAAAGAGCTCGGTCATCTCGCAGAGATGTCTGAAGGTAGTGGACCTTTTATTGGAAGTATTAGGCCCCCACGTGTCTTCACTGCATGATATCGAGCCCCTATCCTCACTGTTCCTAGTGCAACTGCGTCTCAGCGATATATTGAACTCACACAATCTCCCCAGTTCACATACCAAAGTGGCTAAAGATAGTGTTTTCTAACAAAACTCGCGACTTTCTACTTACAACCTTGGAACTGTGCATCTTTACAAGTACAAGAACATCCTGCTGTGTTTCTATTTGTTTCCTGTTTAGCGTTCGGTATGTATAGGCCGGTAGGGGCAAAAACATAGAGAAGAAATGAGTCTTCTTCTGTCTGCCCATCCCATTGCCAGGAATTGCCAAGAGTGGCCAGCTATGAAATCAAACAGCAACATCCCATTAATGACCACTGCTCTAGCTTGCACCCTTCAACAAACCTTGGAACCTACATTGCAGCATCTGTGTGATGTCTTCAAATGAGCATCCTCTCGACGGAGGTTGGTCAGCATGGAGTCAAGTTGGGGCAGCTTTCCTCATATCCTTTTGCACGATGGGTCTAGGTAACTCCTTTGGAGCTTTCCAAGCCTACTACGAGCAGAACACACTTGAATCCTATTCCGAATCAGAGATCTCGTGGATAGGGACAACGCAGGGGTTTCTACTCAGTCTTGGGGGCTTCTTCAGTGGCCCGCTTTATGACAAAGGCGATATCAAAATTCTCGTATATACCGGGACAGTTCTCAGTGTCGTTGGCTTGCTTAGCACCAGCTTTGCCGAACGGTACTACTCGACCATCCTCTCCTTCGGCGTGACCGTCGGCGTAGCGTGTGGAGCAATGTATGTGCCAGCTCAAGCTATGATATCAACTCACTTCGAGTCAAGAGCATCACTTGCTCAGGGTATCTCCATGGCTGGAACAAATGTTGGTGGCATCATTTACCCGATTCTAGTTCGTCAGCTCGAAGACAAAATTGGGTTTTCATGGGCTTGTCGCGTATTTGCGCTCATGAATGGTGTCATGTTGACTACCGCATGCCTGCTCATCAAGCCGCGACGTAAGCGACCAGGAGAAATAAAGCACTTTCATTGGCAAACCTTTCGAAACTGGAAGTTGTTGTTATTCGGTGGATGCGCATTACTGTTGAATGTTGGAGTTGACGTGCCCTTCTTCTTCGTCCCTACCATTGTTCTTTACAAGCTGAATTTGCCTCCGGAAGTCGGCGACTCTCTGCTCGCCGGCCTGAATGCCTCCTCTCTGCTTGGCCGTATCTTTCTCAACTGGGTTGCTGGGAAAATCAAGCCTATAAACGTTTGGCAATTCACCATTTTCGCGGCGTGTATTCTTTTCTTCTGTTGGTTTCTCATTGGAGATCTGGCGGGCATGATAGTTTTCATCATATTCTATGGGTTTCTTGTAGGAGGATTGATCTCACTCATACCACGATCTCTACAGTGCATCTTCCCCGATGAAGCCGATTTCGGTGCTCGGCTCGGTTTAATCGAGGCCCTACAAGGAATCGGCTTTTTAGTCGGGCCACCCATTGCAGGAGAGATTCTGATGTCACCGGCAAGCTACCTCGGAGTGAGTATTTTCTTCGGTCTGATTTACTTTACTCTATTCATGCTGGTGGGAGTCTTTACGTGGCAAAAGTTTGATGGAAAGCCATCGCGAGATGAAGAGGCAAGTCTAGATGATGAGCCTCTAAGTGTCTTGTATAGGGTGGCAGCAAGGGAGGGATAGAGGTGAAGGATTAAAAGTTCCATAAATCCATGGACTGCAAGTGAGGGCAGTCTCTTGAACACTCATTTCAGCGAAGTCTAGCCTTAGATATAACTATGAAGATGAATCAAAAGACATCAAGCTTGTTGGCTTGTCAAAACAACTTTTTGTATGTGTAAGTAAAAGGAGAAGTATGGAGATTAGATAAGAGTTTTGAACGTTCGTACGCAGTATTTGAAATTCAATCTCCACTGAATAAGGTCTGCTAGGTTGTCTGCTAGGTTAGTAAACAAGCCCGCGGCTATTGCTGGATAGTATCGGCACCTAACCTGAATAGGCCTTTTTGGTTAATACCATCTGTACTGCGTACCAGTGTGCCACTGTACCTAGGGTATCACCCCTGGTTGTGCCTGTCCCACATAATTTCCCCAGGCCAAGCGTCATAGTGGACCTTACCTATCCTAGCCACCTGCATCGGAATTCCATTGTTGAACCTTCTTCTTCCTTTCCGCTATCAGTTGCACGCTCCTTTTTTTACCTCCTGTAGCCGTCGACAACATCCGAAGCTTAACGTGCTACACCCAGTGCTACAGTATGTAGTACCTGCCCAGGTGATGTACCTAGTACTGTGCAGCGTCTAGGTGCAATGTAGTATTTGAATCTTGAACTCCCTTTATATCTTCCGATTCGCTTCCACCGTCATCATGTTGCTACATTATTCATTCATGTCACTTTCACTCTACAGCGGTTGGCTTCAACAGACCTGTGGTATTGTAGTTCCTCCCTGAACCCATTTGTTCGATTTCGATTTCGATTTCTCGACTTGATCAAGTCACACAATGCCTGTCTCGTCCTTTGAATTTGCCGAGCGTTACAAGTATCAAAACGGGTTTGGGTCTTACTTTGAGTGAGTAAATTATATATCCATGTCTCTTACTAAGAACCTCTCATCCACTTATTTCTAACCATGTACGTAGGACTGAAGCTATCCCGAATGCTCTACCCATCGGCCAGAATTCTCCTCAGAAGCCCCCGTATGGCTTATACGCCGAGAAGCTTTCTGGTACCGCCTTCACAGCCCCGCGACACGAGAACAAGCAATCATGGCTGTACCGTATCCTTCCGTCATGTGCCCATCCGCCGTTTGCCCCCGACGTCGATGGACCTTCTAAGGCCGATACCGATCTAGCCAAGCTAGAATACATACCGAACCAGTTAAGATGGGATCCTTTCGACCATGATGACCAAACGGACTTCATTTCCGGACTGCGCTTGGTTGCTGGAGCTGGCGACCCGACGTTGAAGCAAGGTCTCGGCATGTACATATATTCTGCCGGCAAATCTATGGCCGAGAAGACTGCTTTTTACTCCGGAGATGGCGACCTCCTCATTGTAGCCCAAGAAGGTGTTCTAGACATCAGAACCGAGCTGGGCTGGCTTCTAGTCCGTCCAATGGAGATCTGTGTCATCCCTCGCGGAATCAAATATCAGGTCCATTTGCCATCAGGTCCGGCCCGTGGATATGCGTTAGAAGTTTATCAGAGTCACTTCACTCTCCCAGAATTAGGTCCAATTGGATCGAATTGTCTCGCCAACGCCCGCGATTTTCAGGCGCCCGTGGCTTGCTTCAGTGAGGACTTTGGCGCAACCGCCTCGGAAGGCCCTAGTACATACACTATGGTGGTCAAGTTCAACAACTCGTTTTTCCAGACCAAACAAGCGCATACCCCTTTCGACGTTGTAGCTTGGCATGGCAACTATTACCCATATAAGTATGACCTTGGTCGGTTTAATACCATTGGAAGTATTTCATATGACCATCCCGACCCATCTATCTTTACCGTGCTTTCGGCCCTCTCGGACCATCCCGGCACAGCTATTGCAGACTTTGTCATATTTCCCCCGCGATGGCTAGTAGCCGAGGATACATTCCGACCGCCATGGTACCACCGAAACACGATGTCGGAGTTCATGGGGCTCATCGCTGGCGAGTACGACGCTAAGAAGGGAGGACAGGGTGGTTTCATGCCGGGCGGTGCAAGCTTGCACAACGTTATGAGTGGGCACGGTCCGGATGCCAAGAGCTTCGAAGGGGCAAGCAATGCCGAGCTCAAGCCAGCCTTGGTCGGTAAGGGCAGCTGCGCATTCATGTTTGAGAGTTGTCTGATGGTTGGCGTGACGGAATGGGGCCTCAAAATGTGTAAAAAGGTGCAAGAAGGCTACAGCGAGGAAAGCTGGGGTGGCGTTCAAGTGCATTGGAAGAGACCGGAAGGTGTGAACACGGATACACACCTACTAACCAGCAATTCGAAGTAAGATACCCAGGTAATGTCCATTGATGGGTGTCCAGAAAATGGTCATTGGTACCCAGTTAGCCACGACTAAAATGTTCAACTGTTTTTAATACTATAATATGCTCATCTGAAATAGTGAACCACATGAATAGGTATTACATGCCGATGTACTTCGTAGGTATCGTCGTAAGTTTGAGGTTTTATATCCATACTATGTAGAGAAGAGACATATATTCATGTTTATACACTAAAATGCGTGGAGATGTCCAACTCCCATACCTAACGCCACGCTTCCTTTACCTGTGCCCAGTTCTCGTCTACTGCCAGTCCATGATGTAGTAAAACAAAAGCGAAGAAAACCCGACTCCTTTGGGTATCTCATTCCAACCTTAAAAATCACTCAAACCCTCCTGCTCCTTCATTCTATTCTTATTTTATTTTGTTTCCCCTTTGATACCCACGTACTCTTAAGCGACCGGAGCAAACTTCAGCTCGGGATACTCCGGCACCGTCAAGCCCCCCTTATCCTCGCCGGTGACCGACGCGACCAGCCTGTCGATCCTCAACAAGCTCACGATCCTTATCACGGCGTAGAACAGCGCGACCGCCCACCGGGACTTCAGCGTCATCAGCTGCGGGACGCCCGGCATCAGCTTCTGCGCCTCGTCGATGTAGGGTTTCACATTGACGTTGTACGCCTCGAGCGCGAGCGGCACGTTCCCTTTGTTCCGCGCCAGCTCCCCCGCGAGCACGTACGCCGTGATGAGCGACACCGTCGTGCCCATTCCCGTGACGGGGCTCGCGCAGCACCCCGCGTCGCCGAGCAGCGCGACGCGCCCCTGCACCATGGTCGGCGCCTTCACCTGGCCGATGGAGTCGGCGTAGAAGTCCTTCGTGTCGCGCATCGCGTCGAGGAACTGGTCCGCCTTCCAGCCTGCGCCGCGGAATCTCTCCTCGAACAGCGCCTTCTGCGTCTCCGCCGGCTGCCGCTCCACCGCCTTCCGCACTTCTTCCGAATCGGTGCGCAACATCAGGTACGCCTGCGTCTCGGGCCGGGAGCCGGTGCGCGACATGACGGCCCGCCCGCCCCCCGGCTGGAACGCGCGCGCGAGCTCGTCGGTCTCGTCGGCGTGGCGGGGGACCGTGAAGTACGCGACGTGCACGTTCAGCCGGTGGAACATCCCCAGCCCGGCCTCCTCGCCGAACATCAGGCGCCGCGTGCGCGACCACTGGCCGTCGGCGCCGAGCACGAGGTCGTAGCGCCCCGTGCTGCCGTCGGAAAACGTCACGTCCACGCCGTCCGCGTCCTGCGTCATCGCCTTCAGCGTCAGGCTGAAGCGGTACCGCACGCCCGGGCCCTCGTCGTCCCCCCTCTCCCCCTGCGTCGGCGCCGTCCCCGTCCCCGTCCCCGTCCCCGTTTCGTCCCCCGCGACCGGCACCCTCAGGCTCTCGTCGTAGAAGACCTGCGCCAGGTCTCCGCGCATGATCTCGAACTCGCTGGTGAAGGACTGCGCGCCGTCGCCGGAGCTGCCGACGCCGAAGACGGCGCGGACTTTGCCTTCGGAGTCGACGAAGGCGATGCCGTCCTCGTGCACGCACTTGGCCTTGATGGCGTCGAAGACGCCGAGCTTGTGGGCGATGGGGACCCCCCACGACCGCAGGTCGATCTGCTGGCCGTCGGCGCGCACGGAGGGGTACAGCTCGACGATGGTGATGTCGTTGAGGGGGTCCATGCGTCGCAGCATGGTGGCGGCGGCGGGGCCGCAGATGCCGGCGCCGACGATGAGGACTTTGAGGGGCATGGTGGGCTTGGTGATGTTGATTGTAGCTGGGTCGTAGTAGTGGTGGTGGTGGTGGTGGTGGTGGTGGTAGTAGTCAGGGGTAGCTAGGTACACTAGTATATCTTGGCTACCTGTGTCGATTGTTTGCAGAATGCTTGTTTTTACCTAAATACTACCTAAGTAGTTGATAGGCCTTGAATGGTTGTTGAACTGGGGGTTATGTCGATGGTGTTTGGGTAGGGCTGTAAGAGGCTTCATAGCTTTATATATACCTACCAACGTAACTAGTATGAAAATCATCGATCTGATAATTTAGATCGGTGCCGTTAGAACGGCATAGGTAGCTCCACTGAAGCTCACATCGGTCACAGTCGGTTACGTCGGTTGCGTAGTCCCTCGACTCGTACCCGAAAAGCAAACTTCCTACATAATATTTCCCTGATTTAACTAACTTGCGTGGCAGGTAATTGAGTCACCAGTGCTTTCTTTTTTTCTCTAGGCTGCAGAATTATCAGGTTTCTAGTTGGTAAGAGATATGACCGAACCCACGAAAAAGGGCCCCAATCCGAATTTAACTAATCATCCTCCGAGCTCCGATCCTTTCCTCTACTTTTTACTTGGGGGCAATACGTACATAGTAACAAAGACGGTGGGGAATTGATGCATCATGGATGGATTGTAGGGCGGGATTTGAACCCAGGAGCTGAACAAGAGAAGGGTTAATAAGTAGGCCGAGACCGAGTCAACTACCTGGTAGGTTAGGGTCTTTGAACTGTGCCCCTAGGTAGCTCTAGCTGGCTAGCAACTAGCTGCTTAACAGGTAGGAATACTAAGAATAAGGTCATGATCCCAGGCTGCCAGGCCAGGGACTATGCTAGGTAATTCCCATCATCGCAACAGTTACCAATTAGCCATCAGTATCCATTCATGCTAAAGCTTCTACCTAAACTACTACAGTAGCGTAGCCCCCATTACAGCTCTACACATCAAACCAAATTATGGATGGCATCGGATGCCACTAATTTATTTGAGTACAGTGCTATTCCACAAGTCCACCCCAACTGTGGGCAACCGAAATCTCGGGGTCGGGGCCGGAGCCGGACAATTCATTGGCGAGTCCGAGATCTGTAACGGTAAAGGTATGTAGGTATCGTATTATTACCATCTCGATCGAATCAGGTGAACATATGTACACTCCCTACATAGCCATAGATATATGGGGTTCGCGGATGTTTAAAATAGAAATAAAAGCGAAAGCCGCCAAGAAATAGCTCATCTCAGGTACTAACTATTAAATCGTTAAATCAAAGCGCAATGCCGAAGACACGAGGATGCAGTTGGAAGCCAGTGCTAGTATGCAGGATCTTTTGCCGTCAATCACGCATCGCCCATCGCCGCTAATTTAGACAAGCCTCGCCATATCGGTATGATTGTTCATCGCGGCCTTGAAAAGGAAATTCACAAAAGTGGCTTGGCTGCTGTGCTCTGGATGACTTAAGCAGCGAAGTCATTCATCTTCAACCTCAATTGTCTTTTCAAGTATCGCAGCAGCCATAACACAATGTCGGCTACTCGCATACCCCAGGTATGCAAGTTAACAATAATGATAGACAAACGATCTCGGGCTCTACAATGCCCCGAAGAGCGAAGCCACTGCCAAATAACCATGGAATAGGTACCGCCTTCTCCATTGCAATGAATCTACGATCTCCTCGGCCTTTGAAAAGAGGCCAAGAGGCCAAGAGGCGATAGAGGCAGATGATGCCGCCGGCATCTTAATATTAAGCATAAAGCATGTATCTCGTTAGTGGGTTGGAACCGACCCCACGTGGATGCCACATGCTGTGGCTCATAGCATGTAGGATTTTACACCGCCGTGGGCCGTACTGCAAATCGTAAGACGAATAATGTCCCGTGTTATTATGACTCAAAAATTACGAAATTCCCAAGCTTTAAAGATATGAGGTTTTTTTCGGTAGCCGTAATCACCCGGTGTTAGTGCAAGCGCCCGTGAAAGGTCAAGCGCATCCTCTCCTCCGTGATTTTGAAAATCTCGGGGAACCAAGAGTCCAACTTCTTCAGCTCCTCCTCCTTTCCCTGTCCCTCCATCATCGTCACGAGAGCACGAGCGCACATCCAGCAAAGCACCATGCCGTGACCTTGGAAGCTACACGAGACCCAGAGATCCTTCTCTCCAGGCATTTCGCCAACGAAAGGGAGGCCGTCGGGGCTGTAACCCATGATTCCCGTCCAAGCCAAGCGAAGCCGACCCTCCGGATTGTCCACGCCCCAGCTATCACCAAAGTATCGCGGTAGGCTCTCGTGGAGAGCCTCGATAATGATGCCGTCGAACACCGTATCGTCCGTTGTACCGTATTCTTCCAGGCCTCCCTCGAAACCCTTCATGAGAGCCCCGCCAATCACGATATCATCCTCGAACTTGGACCCCTTTGGTCGCTGAATCATATAGTCGTAGCCTTCTTTGTATATGAAGCTATATGTCACTGGCAAACCTTCTTTCGGCATATTCATGCCAGGTCGTTGCGCCGTGACATGTCCACGCAAAGGAACGATAACGCCTTGGAATTTCTTCCAAAGATGTGCGGTGTAACCATTGGTCGCCAGCACAACTTTCTTGGCGCAAATCGAACCCCTATTCGTCTCAATCTTCCAACCGCCGCCCTCGATCTTTTCCAAGCCTAGTGCGGGGGTATGAGTCTGCAAGTTAAGGCCTTTCTCCAAGCACAGCTTCAGCAAGCCGATGACAAGCTTGTACGCGCTCAGGCTGCCCGCTTCGTACGAGATAGCCCCACACACGCCCTCATCTCCCCCACGACCACAGAAGAATTTCTCTCTCGCCTCTTCGGCGCTGTGTATCGTGTACACGGGCGCATCGCCGTCGGGCATCGCTTCCCGCATCGCCTTCACGCCATGCAGGCTCTGCTCCCACTGCACCGGGTCATATACTATGTTCACAGTATCGCAGTGGTTGCTATCGCAATCTATGCCGTGTTCTTTAGCAAACGCATGGACGGCGCGGATGTTAGCTAGCTCAAGACGTGCAATCTTGACGGCGGTCGCTATGCCGTATTGGCGCTCATGATCTAGAAATGAGCCATATGTGGCTGCTTTTGTGTGTCCACCTGATGGGTTTTGTCAATCAGTCCCATGCATGTAAACCTATATGTGGGTGGGTGGGTAGGTAGGTAGGCTTTGTCAAGGACAACTTGGAAATATACCATTCCTGCCTGTTGCGCCCGAGCACGCTTGTCGGGCTTCTAGCATGACAATATTACGAGTACCGTTACTCAGCAAGTTGAAAGCCACTGCAGCCCCTGTGATTCCACTTCCGATTATGACGACATCGGCTTCATCCGGGAGGGAATCTGTGGAGCGTAGGTCCGCGATCCCGTCAGGGTCAAGTTGCCAGTAGCTGCGTGTTGGATCACTCCTAGGCAGGGTGACTGGAATCGCGGCTCGTTTATCCATTGATGCTGATTGAAGGCTATACGTATATGATGTATTACGTCAATTCACAGGAAAACACCAATTGTAGCTGTAAGTTGTTGAGTATTGTGTGATCCCAAACGGTTGTATGAATCGAAAATTTGGGTTATGACCTCTTAAGTAGCTGCTACTTATCCAGAGAAGGAAAAATACATCAGTTCGCAAATCATCTTAGTATCACGATAATCCATGACACGACTTTGTTTCACGTCGGGATATAATGGCGCAGTCCCTAGTCTGATTGAAAATAGTTGGCTGTACCTAAGCAGGTATAAGGCAGGTATATCCATGGATAGATAAGAGAATGAAGAATGAATGGATAATGGGGGTAGCACTTGCAATGAAATCCAGATGTCCTTCATCAGATGATCACACAGTCTGATAGTACAGTGCGTATACTGTATCACACCGTAGCTCATTGTAACTTCCAAAGGTTGGTTAATCCATCCAAAATATTCCTATTGTCACATGACCAAACGAAAGTCATGGAAATACCGAAGCTACTGTTAACTAGTTACTTGCACTTGCTCTTCCACCTACCCCTTGGTCCCCTTCCCTAGGGCCCTCCCTTTCATTGTAGTCCCCACTACCAGTATACATCCCTTAGTAGCTGTGGACACGGATGACTAAGCTGCAATCCCAATATCTCTAGATAGCTTCGTATCCCTAACGTGACTTCTTAACCTTTAACTTTCTTCGCCTTCCACTATCTTTAAAGCTTTGAACCCACTATCTCAACACCACATAACTTGAATAGCACCTACATACCTACCTAGGGTAGATACGTGTGGCTCCTGATGTCATTTACATAGTAGTCATCTAGGACCATAGCACTTTCAATTCAAAAAGAGTTTGTCTTCATGTTATTGTAGCCAACGTCGCGATTGACAATGTGTTTTGACCAGGAACCCCTTACATACTACCCCAGGTAGCACACCAGGTAGCACACCAGGTAGGAAATTTCTCTAGGGTAAGCGTGAGCTATTTGAATTTGTGTTACTTGACGTGTCACACAACTTACGAATACAATACGATTCAAGGAGCTGTTGGTAACTACGACACAACCTTGGAAGTATTTAAAAGCTGTCCAGGTGGACAAAGCGAAATTGTAATGCAACCTGTTTCTTTAACAGTTGGTCTCAACATACCACGGCATATACCCTAGGTACTAGGTTAGGTAGGTATTTACCATCCACAAAGATGCCTAAGAGACCACCACTCTCCTTAATGGAGCGTATTACGTTCCCTTTGCGAGTCTTTCAGATAGGTATGTTCAACCTAAATAGTCCTCGGAGGATTGGCCACCTTAGAGATACCTACCTAAGTATTAACCATCGCGAAGCATATGTACTACTCTGGGCCATATTGAAGGCTCCTTTCCGAGGTCATGATGGACCACCGACCTTCCGACGATATCTCGCCTATACGTTGATGAGAACAAACGTTGAGATATTTTCTCTCAATCAGTGCCAGTAGGTATTCCCTTCCCCCTCTCTTTCCCTTTGAGAGGCGGCTGCATGTGCTAAGTTTACTGTGTAGCGCGCTGTTTCCTGATTTACTAGGCTCATATCTGGAATTTGCAGAAGAACAGGGCTTCGAGCCAGATGTAGTTGAGGTTGGGCCGGGAACAATAGGTTGCTGGATCGGTGACAAAACCGCGAAGACTACCCTCGTCTGGTTCCATGGAGGCGGCTATGCTCTCACTGTGAATAAGGGGCATATGGAATTTCTATCAAGCTTGGTTTCGATGGCTGGGTCCGGACTAGCTGCCATCATACTTCAACATGGTGTGTTTCCTTGATGTCTACCTTGACTTGCGCGAATTCTGATTGCCTCCGTCTAGATGTTCTCCCAGGGGGAACATATCCGCGGCAGTTGCAACAAGCTTCAGCTATTGTGCGACACCTTACTCAGGATGCCGGCAAATCATACTCAGATGTATGTACTTTCTTATGAAAGCCTTGTTATCAGAGCTTCGCTTTTAGCTAATGGCTCGTATAGTTGTTGATTGGGGGTGATTCTGCTGGTGGGCACCTTGCTTTATCCCTCTTGTCTCATTTATCGTTTCCTCATAATAAGGTCCCAAGGCTTAAAAACGATGGTCAGAGCTTCAAAGGGCTCATTCTGGTCTCTCCTTGGGTGACCTTTGACCAAAGTGCGCAATCTTTTACGGATAACGCACGAAAGGACAGTCTATCCTCTCAAGCGGTGAAAAAATGGTCCAAAATGTTCATGGGATCCTCACCAGTAGATCCGTACAACACGCCACTTGATGCATTTGATATTTGGTGGAAGGATGCGCCAGTCGAAAGAGTTCTCATCCTAGCAGGAGGAGATGAGGTCTTCAGGGACGATATCCAGCACTTCGCACGGAAGTTTAAGGTGTGTATTCCGATCATACAACGTTCAATTTTGTTAGACAGGGAAAGAGTCTAATAAATTCCATAGACGTGGAATCGCAATAAAACCGAGTTATTTGTCTCTCCGGGCGAATGCCATAATTCGCCAATAGCCGAACGTCAGGTGGGTATATACCGGGAAGCTGGCGGGATGGAAATCAAGATTCAACAATGGATATTAGATCGGGTTTTTTGAGAACGATAAGCTGCGTTTAGGTCAGTTATATGAATGCTTAAGAGCTCATGTTTAATCAAGGCTACATACCTAGGTACCTACATAGGTATCTAATGAGTTATAGCACACCTCAGGGCTTACAGAATACCTACCTACCAACAAGAATAAGAGGATTATAGCAACCTTGGAAGTAACGAGCCCTCAGGGTGTTTCACTCCATGTTATCGCTTACTCTCTACCTAACATTTCTGCGAAATTTATAGCAAGCAAGGGATAGATGCCTGCCCAAGTACCTAGGTCTGAGATCTTGGCATATGAATATCAAGGGGGTATCTCCCATTACTGTCATTACTCTCATACAGTTGCTTAATCAACGCTGAAGTCAACTTAGAACCTTAGGTACACAACATAACTTCATATACACTTACACCGCATCATCCCCCGTCCTCCTCGGCCCCATATCCTGCAACTCAACAACCTCCATACTCCAACTCGGGCCCTGCGCCATCGATTTCTTCGGCCCCTCTTCTCCTGACCACTTTCCCACTATCGAACAGGGTCGTAATCCCTGCCGGCTTTCGGATTTTCCCTCGAGCGCCTCCCCCAAGTCGGCGGCCTGCGGTGTGCTCCTCGGATCGTAGGGGTGCTTGTTGTGATGTCCTCCTGATGACAGCGATAGTGCTGTGTGCCGGAACGAGTCGATCGCGTCGCACAGGGCGCGTGGCATGGACTGCTTGATGGCACGGCCGAGCCGGAAGGAGAGGTGTGGGAGGTTGGATGCGAGGAGGCCGACGCCGATCTCGATGGTGGGCCAATTGAAAAATACTAGGGGGGTTACTGCGGTTATCATGATTAGCACGCGGTAAAACTACCTGGGAGAGCATGCAAGTACCACTGGCAGCAGCAAGTTCCGGCTGGGTGAGGTTGATGATCTGGATGATGGTGTTTATTAGGCCGGCAACGAATGCGCTGGGGTGGGTTAGTTGGGGTTCAACGGGGAGGGCAGGGAAAGACTAACAAGCCCCCTAAGAGGAAGACTACGATGACTGCTATTCTGCGCTTGATGTCTAGATGAAGGCGCCATACCTATAGATGTAGTGTCAGTGCCCTCCTTTGAAGTAGGTAATTATCAAGAAGCGGTGTAGGTGTATAGGAGGAGTACTAACAAACGGGATAGGCAGTATCACCAAGATGAAATCAATAAAGCTGTCCAAGGCAAACACACCCATCTGGACTTGAAACCCCCATAATGGGCAGACAGACCAGCCGCCCTCGAAGTTTGCTTCGAAGTTCGTACCGCAATAGAAAAGCCAAGAGATGACGGCGTAAATGATCCACAGAACTGAAAGCCCGACAAGGGCCCAATTACATATGTTGAAGATGGTGCCGACAAAGATACGACGGTAGAAGTATAACATGATCAACTTTATGAGGAAGTTGGCGCTCATCCAGAGGATCGTAAGCGCACCCGTGACCTAGAGAGCGGGTGAGCCAAGAACGTGTGTAGCCTATCTGCTGCTCTAATGGGGTTGACATACTTGCGCCAGGATGCGCTCTTTATCAGGGGACAGCACGTCGGTAAAGGCACCCTTATAAACTCCTGAGAAAGATGAGCATTTATGGAAAGCATTTCAACCGGGGGAGCGACCTGCGAGGAGTGCAGCGCAGCAGCCTGTTAAACAAAACTATGGTTGAAATGTTAGACTCCCGAATAGGTGAATGCCTTGGACGACGGACAAGACGTACCCATGCCGGAATGCAAAGCCAGTCATCCAGCTGGTTCTTCGTATCCAGCTTCCGGCGCGTGTAGAAGCGCAGACAGACAGCGATTCCGTCGATGATCGGGAAGGAAACGCCCACCGCGATAGCGCTCTGGGTCGTCCCTACACCGGACATGTTGCGCAGCGATTGGAAAAGGGCGTCGGGAGGTGATGTACAACTTTATTAGGTAACTAGGTAGGTCATCGAAATATGAAATTTCCTACCTAGGCAGGCAGGTAGAAAATAAGGGACCATCTGTGGCGACCTTTCAAGGGTATTAGTAGGCCCAGAAGCGTGGGAGATGGTGGGTGTGGAAGACACACACCATCGCAGTCTAAGATTAGTGAACTGGTGTCTAACACATGGCGATGAATGAAGCTTAGCCTTTTTTATTTATCTAAACACTGCTGCTATTCTCGAGGCAGCCTAGGTACATTTTCTGTAACGGCTAACGTTATCTTAATACTGCATAGTAGCCTTGGAAGTTGTCTGAATCCCCCCTCCCCTTTCCCCCACACCCGACCGCCTGGAATGAGCTTAGCGGAATCCAGCGGCCAGCGAGGTGAACATGGCGTAAACCTGGAAGTGAGGGTAGCCGTAGATAGGTCTCGATCCGCTAGTCTGGGAGTTTGGGACTATCTTGGGCATAGGCCCTCCCCCCAAGTTACCTGGTATCGCCTTATCAGACAGAAGCTTACCTCAGACCGAGAGACGGTGTGGAGGACTAAAAAGGGCTTACAAGGGCAATTCTGGAATCCCTATCTGGAGGTGATACAAGTAGATACAAGAACTATTTTGAAGCCAATTTCGCCATGTTATGCATACACTAGTTGCAAGCTGAATACGCGCATTTGCTGCTACGGAAGCTAGGTGCCTGACTAGTTAAGCTACTATATTCGCCATGAGGGATCCGTGCTCTCTTCTTTATCACGATGGTCCGATTTCTTCTTATCTGGGACCTTCATCCCTCCGTGTGTATCTCAGTCGGTACCTGCGTAGCCGGGTCCTCGTTGTTCGCTTCGATATCGACTCGAGGCCCAGCCCCAGCCAGCTGAACATTCGGCTCCGTTTGGGCTTTTCGGATGTCCCACCCACCCCGCCAACCTATCCAACTTTTTCTCGTCCGCCCCCCCCCCTGATGGCAATTAGTTACATAGTTACTAACTAGCAACCCTGCTATATCATCTGTGCGATGTTCAGGGCTCCCGAATTCGTCCCATCCCATCCCCCCTTTTTGCGTGAAGCGCATTGCCGACCGCGGTTCCCCCAAAGAGCTGGCTGCAAAGCAAACGTGCATACCTAACTACCATGTACACGGGATTTACACGCCGGTGCTATCTACATACGTGCGCGACAGCCACGCGGTTCGCAACCACGATGGATGGTGTTCGTTCCCAGGTCTTCTCCGAAAAATTGCCCACTTGACGGGGCCCGCCAGCGAAAAGGTTCCGACGAACGTGCCCAATGCAAATCGCCACGAGAGTCACCCAAATGTGCTATGATTAGGGCGCCGATGAGCGCAAACAAGCCGATCGCCAGGTGGAAGACATCGGACAATTGGAAGAAGGTGAGGGTGGTCCAGAATGACGTAAACATGTCCATCGTGAGGAACGCCACGAGCGCCATCTGGGTCAACGCCCGGCTTGAGGAAAGGGAGGGTGACGATATTCAGCAGGAATCCGCGGGTAAGACGTGCCGGGGCTCAGCACGGGATAGTCCGGCATCGAGAGGGAAAAGAAAACCCCAGATGAGAGGACCTGGAGGCCCAGGAACGCCGCGAACGACTGGGTGAGTGAGCGTGCAGGCAAGCCACTGGGGAAACGAATGAATAATACAGCCCGCTATCCATCTAGTTAGGTATACATATGCTATGTAGGTCATCGCGCTCACTATCATGGCCGTCGTGTGAAAACCAGACCGAGGATCATTGGCCGCGCGCGGTAGGATATCCCCGATTGGGACGATGAGCAGCAGGCCGGCGGCGTACCCCCGCCTGGCTGAAGGTCGGCACCAATGAGGACTGCTGATCCGAGACGCCAAAGTCATCCGCTAGGGTGTTTAGGATCGGGTGGCTGTAGGTAGTAGAGGTTCGCGACGCTGAATGATGCGGACTAGGTACCTAAGGAGAGTTAGCCAGTCAGCGTGAGATCGCATCGCATTGCAGCGAATCGCATTCGAGAGATTCGCGTTCGTGGAACATCTTGATATTATTCTAGGTAGGTAACTATTATCTGGCGAGTAAGTGAAAAAGAAAAAAAAAGAAAAAAAAAAAACTCACCATGCCAAAGAGAATGATCATCCCCCCACGTGAGATCATGATTCGCTTCCAGATTCCATTTCAACCATGGCGGCGTCCATATATGAATCGGCCGAGTGCATCTAAACCCCCGTCGCCGTAACCCGCCGAAGGCTTCTCTTTCGTCATTGCGCCCGCTTAGATGCGAACCCTTTCACATTTACATAAGGAAAACAGCAGGTGATGTTTGAATGATGTTGCACCGTATTATTCATTACATGGTATGATTATGGGCCCAAGGGCTAACCTGCTGCCTGGAATACCTACCTATAAGTAAAGGAGTACGCAACCCTAAGTCGCCGGGAATATTGAAGATTTAACTTGTAGGTACCTAGCTATTCCGGAAAATCGGCAGGATAATTGTAATTCCAAGTGGGCAGCACATAAGTTCCAATCGTCAATGGTGAAAGGTAAGAAATATAGTGTTCTATAGGGTATCTATCGTCCAAAGCTCAAACTACCGTCTACACCAACATGATATTATATCGGCCTCTTCCTACATGGCCCGCCCCCTTTTAAACCTCTAGGTACCTAGATAACCTTCTACCTATAGTATAGGTACCTACTTTTAACCCATCTCAAACCGCTTAAGCCGCATCACTGTGCTGCTTGCTGCTCGCATCTTCCACTGCCACCTGTGTCTCGGTGACCTCGACCTCGTGACTATGGTCGAGCTCGGAGAGCACAATCCACGTGAACGGGATGCAGAGCACCGTGATGCCGAAATTAAGCCCGATGCTGACGAAGTGGTTGGCGTTGCCCTCTGATTGCATGCTGTCGATACCAAAGTTAGCGAACCATTATCAATCAAGATCACCTAGGTCAAGTCTAGCAGGTACCAGGAAAAGGGGGATAAAAAAACTTACGCCCAAGCAACCGTCTGCCCCAGCGCCTCCACGCCCCTCAGAATCCCCGTGTGGTGCGACAGCGACGACAGATCCGTCGCGTACTGCCCGACAATCCAGTACAGGAACTGCTGGAACGCCTGCCCGGCAAACGTCCAGAAGAAGACCAGCGCGTACGCGCTCCCGAAGCCGCCCTCGAACCAGTCGAACACGGGCTTCTCGTCGGCGTCGTAGAACCGCTTCTGCAGCACCGACGCCCAGATCCAGGTGCCTATCAAGACGCTGACGATGGACACGAAGGCGACGCGCGCGCGCGTGCGGAGGCGGATCGCCTGCCGGTCGAGCAGCGCGGCGGCGAGGAACGAGCTGAAGACGCCGGCGAAGTTGGTGAAGAAGGACGAGAAGGCGCGCGCGCGCACGGTGAAGTACGTCGTGAGCCACGTGCTGACGAAGCCGTTGTAGAAGTAGCTGATGAAGAAGGCCGGGAGCAGCAGCAGCACGCGGCGCGAGCGCAGCAGCCTCCCCACGGCCAGAAACTCCGCCTTCCACGTCGCCTCCTTCCGCACGACCACCCGCGTCCCGTCCCGCCGCCACACCTTGCCCGCGGGGCTCAGGCACAGCGCGATCGGCAGGCCCAGGCACATGATCGCGATGAACACGATGTACGTCGCCGACCCGACGGACCCCGCCGCCGACCGCTGCGCGTTGAGGCCCAGGTTGATCGCGCCGCCGACGATCGGCCCCGCGGCCTTGGCGGTCTGCCAGATCGCGAGGTAGAAGGCGCGGTCCCGGGGGCTCGGGTAGCCGATGATGATGGCGGCCTCGGCGGCCCAGAAGAAGCCCGCCGACACGCCGCAGAGCGCGCTGCCCAGCAGCATGAACCACGTCGTCGCGCTCACGTTGTTCGTGTACAGGCCCGCGCCGTACAGGGGGTACCCGATCGCGCCGAGCGCCAGCCCGTAGCGCAGCCCGATGCGGTTGTTGATGGCGCCCGCGGCGACGCAGACGACGGAGAAGAGCCCGTAGACCAGGGCGTTGGCGGCGGAGACGGCGTACGGTTCCGCGGCTCCGCCGGCGCCCAGGCCCCCGAGCGCGTCCCACATGCCCGGGGCCGTGAAGGAGACGCCGCAGGCGACGGCGATTTGGAAGGGGACGGACCGGTAGAGGGGGTGTTTTAGGGGTTTGAGGGGGGTCTCGGTGGTGGTCCCGGCGGTGGCCGACTCCCCTGGTGGCAGCTCGGCGGAGGACGCTGAGGAGGCCATTATGTCGTTTTTACTCATTATGATTGACGGGGGTGAGTGGACGGGGATGGAAGTTTGGCTCGGTGGTGGACCCGAGGTAATCAAGAAGGGTCGCTCTTATGCGAAGGAAAAGAAATCAAATGGAGGCCTTAGATATAAGTACAAAGGGGGGATGTGTGTATTACGTAGGTATCAATTCGTAGTATTCACAATGTCGTGGTCAGCTCGCGAGCATACCCTACCTATATATTATATACCTACCTTCCTACCTAGGTGTACTTACATATACGCGGCATACCCGTCCGCTATGGTGAAATTCTCTTACATAGCAACAGAGAGAAAAAAAAAAAGCACGAAAAATTTCGAGTGGAGCACGGAGGCAATTGCGTGATCGATCTGAGGATCCAGGGCTGGCTTTTATGCCGGTAGCGTACCGTAAGCGTGACAAGTCGGGCGGAACGAAGGCCGGTAGCAAGGAAAAAAGGAAGAGTAGTAAGAAAATAGCTTCAAACTACCGGGAGGAGCCGCTCTTGATTTTATTATTTTCTTCTAGTGCCTACAATAGTAGTCTTCGTTTCGATGTATTAGCATCTTTCATAGACCTTCATTCCCTAGGTACCTAATGTCTAGAGATATTAGGTGGTTGGAGCAGAAATACCCCTATGTCAAAGTAGGACAAAGGTACTTGTATTGTACAGTAATAAGCAGAATATCTACCTTGTACGCAACCAGGAATACACCACTGTCACCACAACAGACATAATAGAGCCGCATCTAACCAACTACCCAGACACCGACACCACTTGACTCGGATATTTCCCCTAAATGGTTTAGTCTCGGTGAATTGTGACTGGTTAGTGAAATGGCGCCATCGAGAAAAATGTTTATAAAGGAAATTGAGCCCCGTACGTATACCGGCCTTATGGGGGGGACTAATACAGTAAACCTTGGCCATAACGATTCGGTAGACAACGATATTTTTGTATAACGATATAATTTTGGGAACATTGCAATTTTGTATGGGAAATAACGATATTTTAACCTTAGCGATATATCGTTAATTTTTTGACCGCCACCACCAAGATCGTTATGGACCATGTGTAAAAAACCGTTTATTTTGATAAATTTTGGTGGAATAAGTGGAATTTTGCGTTTGGTAGCCAATTGGACTGTCCTTTTTTCAGGTAAATCTAATCACCGCCACGATATTTAATCGCCGAAAAATTGGCTTACTGCATAATATCTATTGTACAATATTTTTCATAAAATAGTAAGTACCTTTTCCAATAAAATGGCAGTAAAGGTACAACGGCATTACACGGACCATGACAGTGGGTCCATCTCTACATAACGATACCTCTCTATAACGAATTAAGAGTGGTGTTTTTTCCATATCGTTATGGCCAAGGTTTACTGTAGTATTAAGGGTTCAAAGTGAAGAATCAGCTTTGTCTTGGGCCTTGGCCGACTGCAGTTATGGGGCATAGTATATTGAAGTACTACTTACATGTAGTTATCCGTAGCGACAACTTCCATATGTTAGGTATGTACTTACTTACGTACTGTATATATAAGCCAAGCATACATGCCTAGGTAGGTAAACACCGAAAGCCATATTAAATAAAGCTTTTAAAATCCATTGTCAAGGAAGCCATTTCAAGTTATAGTTACAACTTATGATTTAGTGCAACACTGTACAGTAGAGCACTATGAATGGTCATCGGTTACGGTTTGTTCAGCTATTCATTCATTGATTGATCTACCGACTTTCTACTACCCTTAAACCTATCTGCAAGGTTAACGTAGAGTAATAATGAACAATGCCTCAATTCCTCGACAATGATGCACTGCATTCGTGATCTCATTTTCACTGCAGTTCACAGCTCATACTGGAGGATAAGCCACATCCATCCCTTACTTTGTCTCCTGACTTTGTTCACCAACCACTGGCAAGCCGGCACTGGCAGCACTCTCTCCCACTTTTACCTCATCCTCAGGCACACCAGCCGCCACACTTCCTGTCATGCTTAGATTGCTCATGCCTCGCTCAATAGCTCTTCTCTCTCCCCTGCGGTCTCCAGCTATGGTTGTACCTCCTCCCATGGAACTTCCAAGACCAGTTGCGCCGCTGACACTAACACTAGCCGTGGTGCTCACGCTCTCGCTTCGGTCCCTTCCACCGCTGGTGCGGCTCGCGTCACTTGGTCGACGGTCACGTAGGGCACGTTCTAGGTCCTTGATACGTCTCTTGAGTGACTCATTCTCCCGCTTGGCTGTTTCCAACTCTTGTCGGTAGTGGGCTGTCTCTTCGTAACGTAGGGTTGCCGGCAGGAGTCCTGGGGAGAGCTCCGAGCCAGGAGTAGCTGCTACGCTCGTGGTAGAGGACGCAGAATTGCGAGGGAAGTAACCAGATACATATTCATGAGGGAAACCATGGGGTTGCGTGTATGAGGAACCTAGAGAAGTACTGATATGGTATGGGTGTGGTGAATGGTTTCGACTCCCGCTTCGGTGGGAAGCGGTACTATTCTGCCTACTCATTCCTGGCGCGCCTCGGGGGTTTCGCGCCGCCTCTAGAACCGAAGCAGCACTGCCGGAATGCGGTTGAGGAATTGGTATCGGCGCAGGAGTAGATCCCTGAGTAGCCACAGCAGACTGGTTGAGACTTCGTGTGCTAGCAGAAGAATTTGTGCGGTGGTGTCGACGGTCAGCACTAGTACTGGGAAGAGGGAAACCCGGACCAGACAGAAGATGGGTATCGGTGAAAGAAGACGGGTGGGTCGGATCGGCAGAGGTCGATGCGCTGGCAGACGAAGTATTTGAGGCCACAGAAGAGTTTTGAGCGGCTCGAAGCATGGTCAAATCACGGGTCAAACGGTTCACCTAAAGCAGCCAGGCAGTCAGTCAGCTTAGGGTCATCACAATAAAAAAAAAAGAGAAAGAAAGCCGAATAAAACTGGTATTGAAATATCCAGGTAGGTATCATACCAACAGTTCTTGCTCCTGTTCTAGTTGCGAATGCAACTCAGCAGCTGTCAAGGGACGTGGATGTCGCAAAGGGCCTGGGCCAGTACCAACGCCAGTGTTGTCCTGTCCGGGAGCAGAAGTTGGGTGAATGGAAGGCATATTAGGCAAAGGAGGGGAGGGAAGAGAAATAGAGGATGCTCGGTTGACAGTCTGCTGGTTTGATGGAAGAATGTTCAAGGAGGGTGAGATGGGCGCCGGGGGAGGAGAGACTTGCGACTGTCCATTGCTTTGGTTGGAAGCATGTCGAGAGGCAGCAAGAATATGGGGAGACGGTGGGACAGAATTCAGATCGGGCATTTTTACTGGAGGGTTCCCGTAAAGATATTATGTGAATGGTATGATCAAAATCTCTTGGGAAATTGTTGATTTGATGCTCCTTAAGTTCAACCAAGAGGAGATTTGGTGTAAGAAATGGGAGCTCCAAACGACACCATCAGGACTGGACTAAAAATGTTGCCGAGTCGAGAGAATCGTTTAAGTCACATTTCCATTGGATCAAGGGGAGTGAGAAAACCGACGCGGGGAAAGATGGTTGTTTGTTTGGGTCGTGGAACAGCTCAACCGTCAAGCGTGATTGTTGAAGTTGTAAATGGTTGGTCGCGTTAAGTGGTCGCAGACACTGAAGAGGTACATGTAACTACCTAAAGTTGAGCTATCGATACAACCTTGGAAGGCATCCATGGATACAGTAGGCGTATATTGCGGGGCAACGTCCCACTGGAGCACTGAGGTGAACATTGATGAAGAACTGTGGCACAGCTATCCCACTTCTTTGACATTGTGGCTGGAAATACACAGAGCCTGATCCTTCAATGTTCAATCAATCATTCTTGAGTACATACCTACTGTACATACCTAGGGTACCCTAGGTTAGGTAGTACATAGCACATGCATGGTAGTACATGCGCGTAACCTGAGGTTCAAGCTCGAAGCACTGCAGTGAGGTTTCGGTCTAGAAGCTCCGGGAGACGACTGTGTAAGTAAGCTATAAAGTACTGATAACTGATAAGGCCAAAGCAATGACGTAAATAGCTATGCTTCGAACAACTGAATATGGAGAGATGACGGCATCGATGATGATAGCTCTGATGTCAAATTGTCAAATTGTCAAATTGCGTTCAAAATAAAGTACCTCAAGTGATTGTTTGCCCATGTACCTGCTCATCTATCTACCGATCGCTTGCATAATAGGATACCTGAACTTGTCCCGAGAATCATATATAACTTTCCTCTTACACACTTACCTTCACCCTTTCGCATCTTCGACCTCAAGCTCACACAATAGAATCAACTACATAAATCACCTCCATACTCACAATAAACCCCTAAACCCAACAGCAATCTATTCACCAACTCCGTGATAATGTCGTCCGTGTCCAGAAACGAAGGCGGCGAGTCCCCCTCACCTGAGCGCCAGTCCGGTGCTCAACTCAAAGACACACCCGCTTCTGGCCAAGGCACAGACGATGCGCCGAACAAGAAGGAGGCGATGCAAGAACAGCTAAAGGTCAGTCTACCTACCTAATTATGTTCAGTGGCCCAATGTTAACATGGTATGTAGAACTTGACGTCAAATCCCCGAGGACCCCTCGAAGATGCAGTGGAAGAAAAGTTTACCAAAACTGCAAAATCGTCGTCAAAGTAGCGCAGGGTCTAGCTAGTGTAAATTAGGCTTTTCTAGGAATGACGGAATAAAGACGTTGCCAGGGGAGGATGACTTGTATTACTTATGATGTACTTAAGCATGGTTCTTCATTACATAGCTATGCACGCTATGATTAACGTTACCTATCACAAACCTTCAACGATTTTACATTTGCATGTTACTGTCGTGATACTTGTCCGCGTCCAGCTCAAAATACTATAAACACTATAAAAATAATTTGATCCCACAGGAACTATGCGCAATATTCTTTAAATTTAGTGATCATGGATTAATCATTTCAGCCAGATACACAGCTGGCTATTAGGAGACTACTATAAAGCTATACTTAAATGTAATACCCGAGTCATGATAATTCGTAACAAAGTTAGATCGCAGCCTTTCCATATTCTCTATGCTTTCTCGTCCCCGGGCGCCTTTGAGGGAATGGCCCCTGTGGTGGCCAGAGGGGTAGATTCGGTCGTACCAGCCTTGGGGCCGGGGGGAGGAACTGCAGCTAAATAGAACCCGTTAGTATAGGTTTTAAAATAAGTGCAAGACTTGACCACATCTTGGCTAGATATTCGCCATTGAGTTAGAAAAGGTATGTATTGGATTGACTTACAGCTATCAGTAGGGGCGCTGGCATCGCCTGGCTGTGTAGGCTTCTCTTTGCCGAAAACTCTCTCAAGCCCAGAGGCTTTGTATGCGCTGCCACCATGTTCCTCCTTCTTCAGGTCGGCTAGACGGCGGGCTTCAGCGTGGATGTCTTGTACTTGGCGTTGGCCTTCAGTGTAGAACTTGACCAGCTTCTTGCCTGTAGGAGAGCTCGTCGCCTTTTCAAAGTAGGAGCTGATGCCACTGAATAAGCTGTTGGCTCGGTTGGTGATTCCGTAAGATTGATCAGTCGCCTTGGCACGTTCGGTAGCATGATACTTCTGGTCAAGGTTCATTAAGGTGTTCATAAAACGGTTGGTAACGCCGTGCTTTGTGTCAAGCTCGATCGCGCGCTGTAGGGTCGCATCGCCAACAACATATCCGTGAGCAAGATATTCGGCTAAAATGCGACTTCTGGGCTTCTCCTCTTGTGTGATCTCGTCAGTGTCACGGTCGGTGTTGGTGGTGTGAGGAGTTCCATCATCAGCCTTGCCGTCGGCTGGCGTCACGGAGATCTGGGAGCCCTTCAACTGCGTGTTATTTAGAAGTTGTGCGGTCTTAGCGGCAGTCTCCTTCTCGAATGTGACGCTAGCGTCCTTGGTGTTGTTTTCACCTGGGGTGACCTTGATTTCGGTAATCTTGCCACTGTTGAAAGAATAAGTTTAGTAGATATTACCCAATATTTCTACAAAACTAAGGGAATGTGTTCATGGAGCTTACCAGAAGCTGAAGAAATCCTTGATCTCTTTGTCGTCGGCTTCGACGTTGATGTTCTTGACTAGAACAGTAAGGTTGGAAGCCATAGTTGAAGATTGATGACTTGGCGAATGGAGTTGAGGGGTAATGAAGTTAGGTAGGTCTGGCTTGGACAGATGAGATCAACAGTATTATTTTGTGGTAGTAATGCGTATGTAGGTACGATGTATGTAGGTAGGTATGTAGGTATGTAGGTAAAATCTTTTCAAACGACAACAATAATGATTAGGTATTTGTCTTGAGAAGTGAAGAGTGGAACGAGCATAATATTATACATTTAGGTGCATATATAACTAATGCCATGACCCTGTGACTTCCTTCATCTTAACGCCTGATTTTGGTTTGGAACTTGCCTGTCACAAGCTTGCAGGCACAAGCTTGCCCAGTGCAGGCTTGTAGCAAAACGAGGGGCAATACGGCAACGCAACCATTCATGGATACACGTCATTCCGTCAAGTCATAGGCCCCTCAGCCCCTCTACTAATTTTCCATTACTTCATGGCAGGATTATGCTTGTAATTATGCTAGTTTATGACAGTTTTATCCATGATTACCTAAGTAGTACCCCTGTCATCTCATCGTTGAGCAACGGACTAAACGCTCTTTGGTAAAGCTTCCTCTTCCTCTGAACTAAATGTTTACCGCAATGCACGCCCCGTACATCACCACTCCAAGTATCTATGCAAAGGTGCACACTCTACTTGTCAAAATCTTTTATTTACTATCACAACTTACTGTTACGATATGCATGATAAACAGTAGAGTCGGTTCTTCGCAAGCCTGGCCATATGTGATAGAGAAGTTTCTTCATCGACCGCTGCGTGAGTTTTGTTGCCCTTCTTAAAGGACGGATATCTGCGCCGATTCTGCGGACCCTTCTTTATGATATTAAGATCTTCGAGGCCAAAATCGCCGACTATCACATATCCAGAGTCTAGACTTTCTATTCACATTCGTAGCCACAGCGCGGTCAAAGACTGCAATACGAAGACACGGTGCTGAGCCATCATAGAATTGAATTCGATAGGAAACAAGCCACCATATCCGGCGACTTCTCGGGGGATTATCACATATAACAAGCAACGAAGGAACTCTTGGACAAATACTATGCCGAGGCTCGAAACACTGACAAGGACAACAGTATGAAATATTGCAAGACCAAGCGCCGAGCTTGTGATACTAAAAGAGCTAACGGCCTCCTTCGAGATACATATCCTGTGATCATCTCTCCCCGAAAAAATGTTTAGAAAGTATTCGATCTCATTCGAAGAAAAATGCTATAAATCAGCCACGTCACCCAAGGCCTAAGGCCTCCGAGGCTTGCTACTCGAAGACGGCTGGACTGTCTTCCTTTGAGTTACGCCTACAGAGTCCAGGCTCGAATTTCTAGGCCAATACTATCCCTCATTTTCGGAAAAAGCAACATCCATCATTTAGACCGTACTTTCTGACAAGTTTCTGATAATCTTGCGCGTCTTTCGAGCCGCAGTTTCGGTTCTTGCTAAGCCACCCTCAGGTAGGTAAGCTAACTACAAGCACAGCCCAGTTGTGGCTTTCGTGTTGAATGTCTCTCGAATGTCTCTACCACCACGCCAGAAACAGTCGACAAAGGCCACACTAGTGCCCTCATATTTTTAGTACCCTTAGACTTGGAGCCTTCTGTTTGTAGGCCGATCGAGTTGCAAGGAACAACAAGGGAACGCACATAATTTACCTAGGTATGTAGGTAGGAGAATATCGCTTCTAAGCTCCCAGTTTACAAACAGATGATGGTGAACAACAAGAGGGCCGCCAAGGGAGACATTCACACCTTTCTCTGGAGTGGACTGGCTCAAGAAGTATGCCACAGTTTAAGCAAGGCTGATGATCGTGATGGCACTTGCTTTGAAGTCCAAAAGATTATCAAGCAAGACTACCTAGGTCGGCACCAACATATTTATTATTATTTACCATGCTATATGCCCAGGTACCATAATCAAACCTAGGCAGCATAAATTACTACGGACCAGTCATAATAAGAATCAGGATAAGGGGTTTAGGACTCGAAGTTGCCTCCCATACATATACGCTCATAAGTACCTACCTAGGTAGGTACTTTAGGATGCAATATTGAATAGCTCACAACATGGAGGTTTTGCATATAAATATATGTCGTCTCATATATATATTTTCCAGATGGACATAACTATATCGTATCTGAAGCTTTTGCAAAGCACCTAATAAATACATCTCTCGCCCCCCAAACGGGCGAGTTTATATCAAGACAAACCGAGCACAAGGGTGGATCAAATCGTATTAGCAACCGAACTAATTGGTAACAGTCTAAAGGTTGGACGCAGTCCACGAAAACGAAGATAAGTTGTCGATAGTACCGCTGTATTAATGTGCAAGCCCTGTGGCTTAGTCCTCTCTACAAGAGAACTCTCCCTCCCCCTACCTACGCCTATCTATACGCGAAGATGGTAGTCTCAGTCTCGCCGCCCTCGGTACGAGCGTCAAGTCCACCTTGCTGCTGTTTCGCAAACAACGGTTTCGGGCCCGATGGCAGGCCGTTGTGCATCGGCATCGTGACGGAAGGCTGTGATTGTCCCCAGGGGTGCGAGTCTCGCCACGTCGGCGGGTCCTCCTGCCACGGCGGCGTCGGCATCCACTGGCCGCTCGGGTTGCGAACCGTTGGCTCGCGCGTATCTTCATCACCTCCTCCACCGCCTCTGAGATGAGCCGGCGACAGCGGATCTATGACGGACCCCGGCGCTGGCGGCAGCGGCCCGCCCATCTCAGACATGCCCTGCCGCGACCGCGCCAGCTCCTCGTCCCGCAGCGCGTTCATCTCCGCCTGCGCCATCCTCGCCCGCCGCCGCCGCCGACAGAAGAAGTATATGAGCCCGAATACAGCAAACACCGCTACGGCTGACCAGACGCCGATCGCCACCTTGGCCCCCATGCTGAGAGGCGTCGGCTCCGCGGACCCTATCGCGGGCTGCCCCGACGCGCCGATAGCGATGCCGGCTTGCGCAGAGTTCGACCCGTTCGCCGGGTCCTCCTCAGCGGAATCCTGCGACGATTCGCTCGGCGACGTGCCGAGGGATTCGTCCGACGACAGCGAGGAGTCGTCGCCTTCCTCGTTTGCCGATGAGTTCTCGTCCTCCTCCTTCTCCTCCCCCTCTACGCTTTCTTTCTCCTCCTCCTCCTCATCGTCGTCGTCCTCCTCAGGCGCGGGTGGGGGCGGAGGCGGAGGCGCCTGCCGGTTGTCGATCCCATGCCGTCGAAGAAAATTGTTCAGGGCGTCCTCCGGCAGGTAGGCCTCGCTGGCGCTGGTGCCCTGGATCCAGGCCGCGGTCTTGACGAAAGCCGCTACGCGCGCTGCGCTGATGGACTTGGGGAATCTGTACGCCATCCTGTGCGAACTGGGAAGAATCGAATAAAAAAATTGAAGAAACGAAACGAATGAAAAACTGTCGTCGAGACGAGTGATGAAGCGAAGCCCTTCTCAAGTCCTCCCAAAAAAATGCCTTTCGTAGCTTGAACCTGACTTGAAATGCCAATTTTTACACTTCTTTTTTTCTTACTTGCTACTATTCCTACATACGTGGACCTCCACCAGGGATGATTGAATATGATTGTGTAATAGAAATAGAAAGTAAGAAGACTTCCGAAAGGCTTGGGAGAAGAGACCGTGCTTGGACGACAAGCGGACGGTGAATGTCGGGTTGGGATGAGCAAGCAACTTACCCTTCAACTCGTCCTGAAGGTGTGATGGTTGGGTCGCCGAGGAACATTGGATCAGGGAAGGGAAGGGCAGAAGGGGACCTTGCAAGAGGGAGAGACCAGTCGTATATACGTACAGTCCTTCTAAGCGTCCAAAAACGGGAATAGCGCACGCGATGGTCTCTCGGCGATCGACATTTCTCCTGGGCGTGCCGTGTCGCAAACAATGCCAAGTCCAGATTGTTTGGTCCAATAACTCTCAAAGAATAATACTGTAGGTCACGGCCTACCAATCTGCCAGTTGCAAAAAAAAAAAAAAAAAAACCACGATGCGCTTTGGTCTCGTCTGGTGGGTGGGAGATGCAGGGTTCGCAGCGATGAGATGAAACCAGATCACAATGCCAAGTAGTATCAAATATTCTCTTGGCGAGCCGCATCGCTTTTCTTGGCTTCCCACACTTGCTTCATCGAATTTCCCTACAGGGGCTTTTTGGCTTTTCTCCCCCCCCCCCTTCTCTTTGTTACTGTACAGTAAAACAGCCGCGGAGAAGAAGAAGAAGAAGAAGAAGAAGGGGAGCCCTAATTATTGCATCTCTTCTTCCTAGCCTACCATCAGACGGCGCTCGTCGCAAAACTATGCGAACTGGCAGCATGAGTGGCGATCTTGGCTCGAAACAATCGTATGCCTACGCGTTGTCACTAATTGACTTGGTAGGGTTAGATGTTTCGACATCTTCACAACCTGGGTTCTTTAAAAAAAAAACTCCCTCATCCCCCCCCCCCTCCCCTTTCCTAGAAATAATTGCCCGGTAGCCGCTGGGGTTCAAGGTTAGTATCCTGTAGTTACGTGTATTGAGCAAGCCGAAGGGTCCGATTTCATTGCGTTCAGCTAACTACATATGTCTGCCGATGTCCATGTCGGCATTCGCAAGAAGAACCTCGGCACCAGCTTGGCCTCTTATAACATCGTCAGATCAAGCTCGCTGTGTTGTTGCCTGCAGTACCATATCTGGGTAGAATACAACGTGATCAACCCCAGGCCCGTGTTTCGATAACTGGTAACTAGTTATTTTACACGCGTCTAAACTGAACAGTCAGTCACGTAGAGCTGTGCTTCTCGTGTTCGACTGGCCTTCGAGCAATAAAAAGGGCTCCGTAGTTAATTGATATCTCCCTACCAGCCTAGGTTGGCAATGTAGTAGCGCAGGTAAGGCAGACTTGGTATGGTGGTCTTTGCGGCGGAACGAGCGACCCTTGCACCCACCACACTAGTGTAGCTTGAGCAATCCTAGTAGCAGGAGGCTATTCCCAAAGCAATGGGTCCCCTGAACGGCACGACATCCCGTAGGTATGCCGGGAATATTCTGGTGCGTCCGGTAGTTACAACTTTATTTCCTGGCGAGGGGAGATGGTTTCTATTCATATAATACATATCTACCCAAGAGGTCGCCAATTCCGTGGGGCGTGAATGATACACATGCAGAAACTCTATTGCGCTTGTCGGTATAAGGGGGTCAAAGGCTAGCTTGCCTTGGCGGAGCCCTTCATTTTGTCCTGTGGTTGATGACTTGCCTACAACTGAACAGCCACACATCCATGGAAATCTCCCGTCGCCGTTGCCCTGTGATTTCGTAGTTGGTGTTGACCAAGGCCATATAATATATCGACGAGGAGGGAATACTAAGAAAGAAATAGTTATACACATGGCTCTTGTAAATTAGGTAATCAATGAAACGGCATCATCTTTGATGACAGTACGCAGAGCTATGTACCATGAGAGTTATAAGAGGTACGGGCCAGTTTACCTTTGCCCGAACCTTCATCCCTTAACGGTGTCTTGACCTTCAGCTACACCATTAACCGTCCACCTCAGATTGAGTACAATATAGTATTCTGATTTTCATCTGAGAGTAAATGAAATCTGTCAAGGGTCTACCTAGGAGCACATGGGGGGTTCACATGGAACAAAGACGACTTACATACGTGTATATGCAGCTTCCATAGTCTCCGGGAGACGTTAGAGATCCCCGAGCAACAACGATGCTGTCCTTCGTCTTCTAGGTTCCGCCTCGTGACAGAATCTCTTATAACAGAAACGCGAGATATGCTTGTATACCTACCTACCTAGGTACCTACCTAGGCAGTGTTTGTAAATATCACAAAGCTTCCACTTATGTACCTAGGTGCGGGCTGTGCATGGACATATATCCCTATGTATGGCACTGGTTCTACCCAAGAGAAGTTCTACAGGACCAAGTTAACTTGAGTGTAGATGTAGGTGTAAGGAGTTTATCATCGAGGCTATCACTGTGGGAGACCGTATCTTCACCAAGGAAACATGTTGTAACAGTATCAAACGAGTTAAAGTCTTTAGGCAACTTGTGAGATTTGCGTCCAGCTGTAAGAAGTGTCTAAACTCTAGAGATAAAAGATAAATGGCGGCGATGGCTCATAGCATATCATATAATAATAGCACGGTGGAAAGAAGCACATTCTTGTTAAACTCAACAGGAAATTCTCACGGCTTGTGAATTTCATATGAGGCCTAGCTGGTGGAAAACATAAGGAATGTGACGAGTTGATGTACGGGCCATCTCGATAGGTGATCTATCACTTGCGCATGGCACCTATCGATTCCTCTAAGATCAAGTATTGCTATTCATATGTCAATGTAGCAGTACCTATACAGGCACTGGGATGCACGTGGTTGGTGTTTAAAAGATAGGTATTCGATTGTCTTTCCAGACTAAAATGCGCCATATACTGCTACGAGGCATAACCCCTTTTAGCTACCTGAGAGCAGTTCAGATGCTCGACCCTTATCAAGTAGGCAGTCGTTTTAAACAGAATTAGTTTCTGTCTAGCACGTATCAAACTCGCCAGTCATACGCCCCCTATCGGCCCCGAATCTACGGGACGGAGCGGCACGGGGGTCCGAGAGAAAAGCCACCTGAGACTCGTAGCACCAGCGTTCGAGTCGGGCCGGGGCCGCCACCTACCTACCGTGGTACATACATGTATCTCCCCATTTCTCACGTACATCAACAACACGTGTTACGGTACATGCATGCACGTGTATCTAGGTACATATACTACGCACCCAAGTATTAGGTAGCTGTCTAGGCATGTATATCGGTCTGTACCTACTACATACTAATCTGCAAGTTGCAGGATAATCCTTCCTTCCCGCCCGAACTAGTTTTCAGCTTTGGATATCATGCGGTTGCAGTATTAAGGTTGTTTGCCTATACCAGCCTGTCTGTCTGTCTGCCTATACCAGAACTCCATAACTTGATACCTACTGATAGCTCATTGGCTTCCAAGTTCCAACAACCTGACCTGGGTAGGTAGTTACCGAAATCAGTAACAACGGGTACATGCGCGGGGAGGGGGGGGGGATAAATACCTGAACTACCGTCACACTTACCACCACCACCACCTGCATGTTTCTCTCGTAAGCAAAGCCGGCGTCGACGTGGAATATGTAAAGGGGCTAGCTACCACATGTGCAGACAATGCACCTATCTATGTACCTACCCCATAGTATGTTACAGTATGTACCAAACAAACCTTTGTGTCCTGCCGTGCTGTAGCACCGTCCGTAGCAAGATAGGTACTTATATAAGGCTACATACGACAGGTACCTACCAATTTTTGAGATCACACAGCATATCGTATATACGACGTCAACACAAATCTTGTTACCTAAGCCCACCCAGGACATAGGTGCCTACATATCTGCCTACCAATCTACCTAACCTAGGTACTTAAGGACATACCTAACAAAGGCAAGCAAGCACACCGAGCAACTCTACTTTGCTGTTACCTATGCATTTTTTTCCCTGGCCCCTTCCCGGTCCCGCGTCCTCGTCCCGGGTGAGGCTGCCAGTATCCTGTTGGAGTTGGAGAGAGGTTATATAAGGGGGGGTGGGTGGGAGAGGGGAAGTGCTAGGTGAGGTATGCCCTGACTGGCGCGATAAGTGAATTCCGCCCGAAAGCCAATATTGGGAGCTTGTCATACCCACCGTTTCGGTAAAGAATGCCCTCTACCTACCTACCTGCCTGCTTACATACCCTGTCTACCTAGGTATGTATGTACAGTATGTGTGTAGTAGGTAAGTATCTATCTACATGCCGCAGCACACACGAATGCACGATACGGCTCTATGGGCTTGGGAGTCTTTGGCGACAATATGGCTAGCTGACTTGAGGGGGGGCTAGGACACATGAGAGCTAGGAGGTAGGTAGGTATATCTGATCACCACCTTGCATAGGTGAGCCAGGTCGGGTAGACAGACAACGTGGGCTGCTGGGGGGGTTTCTGGGGAAAGCGACGAAGTACATTGGGATCGACCGTCCACATACGTACATACCTAGATACCTGAGGTTAGGTGACGAGCAATACATCAATTGATCCTCACTCCTGATGATGCTGCTGCTGCTGTGTTTGGATGCAGACCGTGCAGGTGTGATGCCACAGAGCGGTTACTATTGGCTCAGGAAGTCCTGTTCGTCCGTTTTCAGGCACTGTGGGTATGACTTGCATAGCCGCTGGTGTACCCCGAGATAGATAGATAGATGGGTGTTCGAGAAGGATATCGGCAGGAGGGACTCTAACCACATATGTTGATTTGGATATATGGATGCATAGGTACTATGTAGGTAGGTAGGAAGGTAGGTAGTCAATCGATGTACGATGGTTCTGGCTACCTGCCTACTACGGGCGATATTGCTACTCACCACCAACCTTCCATCGAAGCCCTATGCAGACAAGGTTATATATTAGGTAAAGCCTCACGTACGTAATGCACGAATTGACTCGTGGAAAGAAACCCAGCGCCCAATGACGGATTA